TGCTCGAGAATTCTCATTCTTCGCTCATCTGTCCGAGCCTCGCATCCAATAATCAGCAGCGGAAAGGCCGGATTGAAGGCCTCCAGGTCGTCGAGACGTAAATACGCCCTCTCAACCATTGCGTCAATTTGAGGGGAGGTTCCTGAAAAGTTCCGCGATGCTCTCTTAAGGTAAATTAGAGCAGCTAGTTTGAAAAGCTCTATTGTAGCCACCCAGGCTGTGCTCAGGCCAGACATGGTATCCGATATACCTTCTGGTGCCAACGGGACAATATTAGTTATCCTGCTTTCGAGGCAACGCAAGGAACTTTCGTATTCGTCGTTGTGGTATAGTAAGTCTGTCGGTTGTCGAATCATCTCGAACATGAAATACAAACATCGAAGAATTTCATGTGAGCAGTACGACACATCTTTAACCTATCTCATGTTAGATAAATAACGGTGCAGAGATGAATGTTAATTCTTTAGACTAACCTTTCGCAACTGGCAAGTACCCTGGTCCACAGGTACAGAATTTTTGATTCCTTTAATAGACTCTTCATTTATAAACCAGTGTCGGATACTGAACCGGCTCATGACCACATGATACTCTACCCAGCCTAGAAGTCCGGAAAATTCGCGTTGCAAATATCGGCTGTCAACGCATGCGTTGTCGATTAAACGTTTAGCTTCGCTCAAATGACCTAGAATGCAAAATCCGGTTTAGCAATGTCTTTGAAGAATCAGGCCACGTATTTCACAACAAGGCAGCACAAGAACCAACACAGTAGACCGGATCAATCGTTCTAGGCTAAGCAAGTAGAAATAAATAGACCACACATCACTTACAGAACCACACGGATACTGCATTTGGCATTCCGAGGATCTTGAGCGTTGGTAAGTGTTTGTTCAAAAAAGACATAGACCCAAGCTCGAACATACCTCAAGGTGGCACAGTATCATATTAGCCGCAATATGCTGAACTACCGTGAGACTTTCAAAACAGGGAGTGCAAGATGTGACCAGTGCACGGAGAGCCCGCGCTTTGAACCGAAAAACGTCTTCTTGCAGACCATGCCGGTGGAACGTCGAGAGCGCCAACGCCGATTGTAGCACAGCCATAGAAGACGGTGAACTATCTAAAAGAGCTAGACGCACCAAAAGACTCAAGAATTTGTTCTCGTCAGGTTCGAAAATAGCCAGGGTGGAGGACGCAGTATATATAACTGCAAGTATTAGCTTGGTCAAATTCTACAAAATACTAGTAGTATACTTACAGTGGTCAAGAAGTTCTCTTTCCTTATAACCTAGGTTGATTGGGAGCCATGATAGCGCCATCGGCGGATCGAGTCTTTGAAAGGCAAATCCCTCATGGCTACCAAGTCCTATTTCTGGAGCATTAGTTGGGTGATAGGCAAATTCCGTGAGAGAGTCAACCTTGATTCATCCGTAGGTAATGGTGGAGCTGGATATCCCACGATGTCGCATTTACAAAGCTCGTCTGGGAGACACTTTTTGCCGTCCCAAATCCATCCTGAATGGAATGAGTCAAGCTCCGCTTCGTGTTCGTAGCGTTTGGCCACGACAGCCGCAACCCATACTGACATGGTATATTGGCCTTGGCGCACCTGGAACAACGTGGGCGTGTGCGGTTGCAAATGGCTCTGGAGTCTGTAGCGCTTGAGTAAGTAGGGCACTCACTCAAACGACAGGGGACAGGGGACAGGGGAAAGTACCTCTGCAAGCCCAGCATTCGTTCGCATGCATTGTGGATTGATTCCTTGACTGCGTAGGTTGACATAAAGTGTTAGGCATAAACAAAAAAGTTGCCATGTTTTCTCACTTAAATGCGCTGCACGGTGGAGCGCATTCCTGATTATTAATGCGCACTTATCTTTCCGCTTTGAGAAAACCGGCAACTTTTCTGTGTCTTGGCAATTTAAAGTGGACCCTCGCTTTAGACCGCCAGAGTTTGGTCCAGAACCTTAAATGAACACAATTATAAATCACAAGTTATACAAGCCCGAGGCCTCCAGCGAACCCTCCACCCCTAGTCTCAAAAACTGGACGCCACCGGATAGCCCAATAATGGGGTCGGCCGCGCCTCGTGCTACCGTGGAGGATCTTAAGCATCTTTTTGATGTGCTTGAAAAGGCGTTGTCTGATCTTACCATGAGTGATGCAGGAGGTGAGAGGGCCACAAGCCCAGGTCCGGAAACTGCAACGCTCCAAATACCCTTCTCCAAATGTCAGGCCCTCACCGCTCTCGCTGGTGAGGGCCTTCCACAGTCTAATCAAATTGCAGTCTAATGATAATTTTTCCCCTACCTACCAACCTTTGATGCTATTTACAGCGCCATCCCCTGTCTGTCTATACAATGAAGTGGCTGGCCGTCATCAAAACCGTGATGAAGCCGCACTTTGACCGGACAGCACACCGATCGAAGATACACGACCAAGAAATCATTTGATACTTCAGCCTTGAAAAATCCTTCACCACTTCTCCACATACGGCCGCAGGTCCATCTCAAACGCAAAGGTCGTCCGCGGCTGCGTATGCAGATGCCAGTACGAGTTCGCAATCTAGAGCACGTCCATCAGCTTGCTAGCCAAACCAATTGTAAAGTAGCTTCAACTTACAGCGTCAGGACTCAGCATAGCATCCTCATGCTCAAATGTCCAGCCTTTTGTGCGCGGGATTTCGATAACCCCATCGATGATGGCGTGAGACACATGCACGCCCTGCGGTCCAAACTCGCGGGCGAGAGACTGCGCCAGGGCGCGCAACGCGAACTTGGTGGAGGCAAAGGCTGCGCACTCCGCGGACCCTCTCATGCTGGCCGTCGCGCCGGTGAAGATCAAGGTTGGCGGATGCGGTGATGTATCTCTTGCCTTGAGGAGGAGTGGCAGAGTCCCCTGGGCGAAATTGAAGCCGCCCTTTCTGTAGATACGGTCAGTTTAAGATTCGATGTTAATCTTCGATACGAAACAAAATGCGACGAAGTAGATAGAAGGAGGGGAAATGTACGCCTGCGAAGCAAGAGCACCCGAATAATCTTCCTCCGTCAGCTCCAGGAACTGTTTCCGCACAAACCCGCCGCCAGAATTAAATATTGCCGCCGCAAGAGCAGAACCTGAGTACTGGGTCGCGATCTGGTCAAAAGCGGACTTGACGCTGTTCGAATCGGCGAGGTCGGTGCTGATGCCCACGGCCTGGCCGCCACCAGAGTTGATTTCCTTGACGACTGACTCATAGCTGGCCGGGTTCCGGGCCAGAAGAACCACAGAGTAGGCTTTGGCAAACCGTCTGGCGACGGAGGCGCCCTGTGCTGTTGTTAGGGTAAGGGATGAAGCCCGAGACAACAATGAACGCACCGTTCCGGGACCGACGCCGGCAATGATTGCGAATGTCTTGGAGGCCATGTTTTGTGTTTTAGAGTTGTAGATGAAGAGAGTGGTCTTGAGTCAAGTTTCAGGTTTTAAGTTGAGCTGCCGAACTGGGCGATTATAAATCGTCTATTTCGGTCGCGTGAAATCGCCGACGCTTAGAAATGCGAGGATCTTCCGGGGATTGTTCGTTCGAGTCCAGGATCCTTGGGTTCCAGGAACTTCGAATGCCTTTTCCTCGCCCCATTCCGACTATATTGCGCAGGGCATTTGGGCAGTACTCATCACAGGTTATCCCTCTAGCGCTATGAGACCAGTGGCTAGAAGGGCCTGTAGACTTCCATACCTCCTCGTATTCGTGACATTCTTTGCCAGCTCAAGCTGGTTGTCTGGGGTGACTAGGTGAACTAGGAGTCTAAGGGTCACGCTAGTCAGAGCTAGTCAGGTTGAAGCGTTTTGTGGTATATGTTATGTCGGTGGCGGGAACCCAACCCACGACTCCCAGTTTCATAGCAAATCCTCAGCAAAATCCCTCGCCTAGGAGCCTACTCGGCGTGCGTACCACAGCACAGCCGCTACCGACCCTAATCAATCGTAGGCATAGCGGCACGATCTGTTACCAATAGTCGCAGGCGTATCGGCGCGACTAGTTGTCGACAAGGTAGCAGTATGGTGCTAGCATATTCTTCACATTCGGGCTGTACGGTGCCAGCTCGTCTCTCTCGCAGCTATATCGGCGAGTTTGGTTCTCGACGGGTGGGCAGTATGGTGCTAGCATCTCGCAGGCACATCGGCACGAGTATAGAAGTCAAATGCGTTGCAGGCAAAGTCGTTGGATCGCACGATGGGGCCAGGGAAACCCAGCTATCTTATCGTCTCATACGGGGACACACTCCAGGGACACACGCCCACAGGCTGCAACCCCCGTTAGATGGTAGCACGGTGACAGCGTATCATGGTGTGTAACAAAGATAAGGGGAAGCAGAAACCTTAGCAAGTCCTTGTCAGCGCGCATTTCGTGGAGTCGGGCGGGCGTGGACGCGTCGGGAGACCAATTCAACGCGTCCACGAAACCACTGCGACCGGGGGATTCTTGGTTTCTTCATCAGAAGTCGAGTACTGACACCGGACACCACGAGAAGGTGATAATCCATCGTCCTGAGAGCTGACAGCAATGCTCTCATCCAGCGTGCTCGCAGGAGGCATAGCGCCGAAGTGCTTCATCTTCTTCTATAGATCATGATCTTCTGCAGGGGTCCACGGATCCCAACGAATTAAGATAATTTGCGATTGAAGTAGATAGGCTACTTCATCCATGGATCGTCGACGATATACGATACGCCAAAGTGATCGCATTAACTAGTCATTTACTTTCATACAGGGATACTGCCAAGACTAAATGCCAGGTTAGAGTAGCCGTAACCGGTATAACATTACGCAAAAAGGAATCCGGGATTGTATCGAAGAGAACAAGGTTGCGAAACTTATTTCGAGCGGACTGGTATCTGCTCCCAGCACATGTTATTCCGCAAGCCAACAAAACAGAAACCATTTGATGAAGACAGGAAAAACAGAGCCAATTCCAAAAAAGACACTAAGTCCCTAAAGGCATTTACCATTTCAAGGAAGCAAGCATCAAGCAGCTGGGAAGTGCCTGTATCCTACGTCCTTTACAAAGGTCTGTTGCCAAGGTCCCTGAGACTTGTGCTCGGCGAGCTCGACATAAAACTTTCCATGTGCCTCGCCACTGATCTTAGAGTATGCAGGAGTCCCATCAGCCTTCCGCTCATCGGCATAATAGAATCTGCGTTTCGTCAGTTTCAAAACTGCCAGAGGGAGGGAAGGAAACGCATACTTGAAGCCTTTATCAGAGTATGCGGCAGCGGCAGAGCGCATGATGTGGGCCGTTGCAGATTTGCCCACACCACCATCCAGAAGACTTGCAATTGTGGTCTCGTTGAGTATGTTGCCAGTGTAGATGAATGTCTTGGACCTATGGTCAGGGAGTCTGTCGAAGCTTAAAGCCGCCTGTTGTGCAGCGACAAACGCACTAGTCGTGTTGACGTGCAAGTCTCGACTAAAGTCAGCCAAGGGAATAGATAAGGGGTCCGCTGGATTGTTCGGAGCGCCGGCAGATGCTTCAAGTGTGTCAGTGGATTTCGATAAAAGGCTTCCATGAGGAACATGCTCACCATTGTAAACAACAACACTTGGCAGACCGAGCGATGCTTTGACTTTCGAAAAGATGCCCTTCACGGAATGAGGATCCGATAAGTCGGCGGAAATGTGGACCTGGTCCGCATTGCTGTCTTCTTCCTTTAGGCTTCTAGATGCAAGGGCAACTTTGTAGCCCTTCGCGGCAAAAGCCCGAGCCACATGCTGGCCGATATTGGGTCCCGAGCCGAGAATGAGAATAACCGGTGGTGTACTAGCCATATTTGAGTTTGTATGAATTGATGAGAAAGAACGACCATGAGGAAGACATATAAAGTCTTATTATATTTGCTTCAATGATCAAATAGCAGTTCCTTCCGTGTTATCAATCCGCCTGTTCGCTAGTTTTGCTCCGTTTGCTTGAACTTAAATCATAATCTCCTTCTAAGCTGACGACCGCTCTGCGGGTGGGTCTCCGGGTGGGTCTCCGAGCAAGTGAGTTTTGTTTGCATCCTAGTTTGTGCTGTTTGAATCGATGACTATAACCAATCAACGCCCCAATGCTCAGGCGGGTTGCTGCATAGTCCGTGGTTTGTGATGATTACTAGGGACTAATAAACGCCGATGAAATCATAAGAGAATTCAATATCTAGCTTACCAAGCGTTCGGTTTTCTCGGGTGCCGAACTGAATAATCCATGTCCTGATGCTCCCGCCATTGAAGTATACCGGTACTTTTAAGCAGACCAACCCTCGATTTATTAGAAATCGAACCATGGGTACAAAGACAATATTTTATAAAACTGACGACACTCCTGTTCTCGGAATCTTGTTTCTATTAGTGCAGAAGGGCTTGTCAAAAACCCGAACTTGACAAGAGCTCTCTATGCCTCGTCTGTTCTTTTGAGGGACTCGAGATCTTTCGAAAGTCCTCTTACATTCCTCGCTCACGTACGATGTCTAAGGTCGCTATCATCACCGGCAGCACACGCACACCTCGCGTGGGAACCAGTGTGAGTAACTGGGTGCTGGAAACGCTTAAGAGCCGACCCACCGCTGGCCAAGAGTCCGATCTGGAGCTTGTTCCCGTGGAGATCGCCGATTACAAGCTGCCGATATTTGACGAATCGGTCATCCCAGCCTCGGTGCCGGAGAAGGCACAATTTCAGCACGAGCACTCCAAGCGATGGAGCGGCGCGATTAAGTCGTTTGCGGGGTACATATTTGTTGTGCCCGAGTATAACTTCGGAGTCGCAGGTGGATACAAGAATGCGATTGACTACCTGTATAACGAGTGGATCGGCAAGCCCGTCATCGTGGTCTCCTACGGCATCCAAGGTGGAAAGACAGCGTCCGCGCAGTTGTCCAGCATACTGGAGGCTATGAAGCTCCGTGTGGCGCCGACCAAGATTCAGCTAGACTTCCCAGGTGGGCTGGGGCCAGAAGTATTCGGTGCCATGAACGAGGGCATTCTCGGGAAGGACACCAAGAAGTCGTGGAACGAGGCCGCAGTGAAGGACGAACTGTTCAAAGGATGGATTGAGTTTGTGGGACTGCTGAACGAGAAGGCTAAGGAGGATGCTCAAGCCGATAAGAACTAGAAGTAGACTGTTATCTGGGTTTTATCCCTTCTTTGAGCATGCGATGCTCAGTTCTCGTGCCGTACGATGCTTGCAGGACGCTGTTGGACATTTTGTTTTAAAATTAGAAATATAAATTATGTGTAAAATTTCCCACTCCGTAACTCCGTAGGGGAAAAACAGAAAGAGGATTGTTCATCTCACTACTCGTATCTTGCCTTGCTTGTAATAAAGATAGCAACGGAAGATAGGAGCTTATATATCTAAACAATATAAACAAAAAATTAAATAGATACCTAGATCGAATGACCTATACGCACCCTTTATATGGCGCCGCTATGTAAAAGGTACATGGCGGTTATGACGGTGTGGAGGACTCGTGAAGAGAACGATTTGGATTCCTCAGCCTTGTATAACTTGTGATTTATAATGCTGTAGTGTGTTGTTCATTTAAGGTTCTGGGCCAAACTCTGGCTATATCTAAAGCGAGGGTCCACTTTAAATTGCCAAGACACAGAAAAGTTGCCGGTTTTCTCAAAGCGGAAGATGACTGAATGCTCACTTATCTTTCTGCTTTGAGAAAACTGGCAACTTTTCTGTGCCTGGGCAATTTAAATTGGACCCTCGCTTTAGGCGCACCATGTAACATCATGACGGATTTGAAATCAGCAAAAGCGAGCAAACGATGCTCAAGGTCGATATATAAATACGTGCGCTATTGCAGCTCTTCTGGGTTCATCAACTCTCAGAGTCATCCTACAATCCCATCTCAGTCTTTATAAATTTTATAAACCATCACAATGTCTTCCTGGGTGATTACCGGAGTCTCCCGTGGCCTTGGCGTACGCTCTCATCCCTGCTTCACGCACAAGACTCGTGGAACTAATCCACATACTTCATCGTCTAGTTCGAGTTCGTCCGCCAGCTCTCTGAAGACCCGGCCAATGCCGTCTTCGGCCTCGTCCGCGACAAAGCAGCCGTCGAATCCAAGGTTGCCGCTGAAATCGGCCGGAAAAATATTCACATCATTCAGGCCGACACCACGGACCCAATGGCATTGGAGGTGAGCTAATGAATAATACATTAAAACCGAAGTCGAAACTAGCCTAAAGATTTCGCAGAAAGCAGTTCAGTATGTTTCGGAGAAGACCAATGGCGCCCTTGATTATGTCATAGCCAATGCCGCGCTTCAATCTAAGACTGCGCTGGTTGGCTTTGATACTCTGTAAGTTCTAGGCGGAGTGACCAAGGTCCCTGGGATAGTTGATTTGGTATTAATTTCTCAACAGGAGCCGCGATCCAGAAGCTCTTGAACAAGATGTGATTGACCACTTCCGAGTCAATACCATCGGCGCCGTCCATCTTTTCAATGCTTTCATGCCCCTGATTTTAAAAGGTCGGGCGAAGAAAGTGATTGCCATCTCCACGGGCATGTCGGACCCTGAGATGACACTCAAAGCCGATATCTACCAAGCCGCATCCTATGCAATGAGCAAGGCAGCCCTTAATATGGCCATGGCCAAGTTCAGCGCCTTGTACCGTGAGAAAGACGTCCTCTGCATGGCTATATGCCCTGGTGCTGTAGACACTGGTAGTCTTAATATTGGTATGTAGTCGTCTTGACAACTGAAATGGAATGCTTTTTGCTAACGTTATGGTAGAAACGGAGGAGGAGGGACGGTTGGCTATGGCTATGTTTGGGAAGTTTAAGCAATATTCACCCACCTTCCACGGACCTATGAAACCAGAAGCCAGTGCCAAGTCGGTCTTGGCTCTCGTGGATAGGGCTACTGTTGACGGTGGTTATGCAGGCGTCTTTCTCTCTCATACGGAGTCTAAGCCGTACCTTTAAGACTGTGTATCAAGAACTGTAAGGCTAACAGATAATGTTAATATGCTGATTTGTTCTTGTGTCCCATTTAAAGTACACCATGGACCACGGCAGATACGTGCCTTGGCTAAAAATTGCCCTAAGTGGGGCTATAAGTGGGATCTCTACTCCGTAGAGGGTTCCTGTCAAGGCATCTACATTTAGATGCCTGGAAGGGAAACCTCAACACAAGTAAAAAGGCTTATTCAAAAGACATATTTCAAAAATATTACATACGGGTTTGATCAAAACGATTAATTCGTAGTTGGACATACGAAGAAGGTATAAGAAACAGTAATTTATGAGCACATGTTGGTAGATTTATCCATCCTAATTTAGGAAGGCGTGAAAATTTTATGAATATGCGGGACGTGAGGGTCGCTCTGCGGGTGACCCTCTAAATATTTTATGACCCTCAGGTGCGGTGAGGGTCGTAAGCTTACGACCCTCCTCTGGAGGGGCGGGTCGCGGGTCGCGAGGAGAGACCCACGGTCCGGGTCTTGACGAGGTCTACATGGTTCCCTTTACGGTGCAGTCACACGTGGTCCAGGAACGCCTGTTCCTTCAGCCTGGCTCCATTGGCCCTGGGCGTCTGTAACACAGCTCCAGGGTACCCCCGGTCGGCATGCCCGAGTCATTCAAACTGTCGGTGGCGTACACTTTTTTTTGTCTAAAAATATCGTTGTATTCTATATTGTGGAGAGTTAGTGAGGTTGGCATGTAACGATGCTGAAATATATTTTGAATGTATTAAGTAGTTGCACCATATGATGATGACGATGATGACGATGATGATGATTTCATTTGCCCGATTTAGCTCGCTCTAAGTGCTGTTGCTATGCGGGAGTGCTGTCAGGCGGCCCAGGCCTGCCGACAGCTTTAAGGTGGTCGCCAGCCCACTGGACGACTATTTATTGGGCTCGCGGAGCGAGCTCCTGATTGTTCATCCAGAATATATGCAAGCAAGCAAACACTGTAAACAAAAAAAATCCAAAACGAACGTCTACCCCCAAGGCCGTTCCACAACACGGGCTCTCCTTCACTAGACAACCCCTTTCTTCCCACCTATCTTCTGCCCAGCCATCCGGGCTGTCAGCTACCGCTCTCGCGTTCGCTTGCATCAAGGGAGTACAGTGGACCTGGCACTGCACTCCTATCGGGCACCATCCTTCTTCCGTCACACTGTCCTGAAGGGTCATCCTATTTTTCGTCGCCGTCTTCCACGCCGAGAATCATTGGGTCGACTGTCTGGTACTGGCTCAAGAGACACGGCCAGACCATGAATTCGGCCACTATTGTGCGGGCCTCCAGCCGTGCCAGGAGCTCGTCGCGTCGAAGAGAGACTCCGCAGTCAGATAGAGCGTTTCTCATCCAGTCGCGCTCATTCGGGAGCAGCGGACTTGGCGATGCAGTCACGCAACCATGAGATTAGCGTGATTAACTCCGGACATGACTAGAGAGTCTCTAACTTTCGGCTTTCTGCCGTCCGTGTTTCTCTTTTTGGCTGGTTTGTGGATCAAGTTGAGAAATGTTTGTGGTACCCAATAACTGCTGACCTCTAGCCGCTGTTCGTGCTTGAGATTCCGAAAGGCAGATATGTAGAGGCTCTCAATCGATACGCGGTACATTTGAACAAACGAGAACTGAATTGTGATCGCTCTTCAATTGACAATGCGGTGTCGATAACTCACGAAGCGAACGAAAGCAAGTGCATTGATCAAGATGGTCGACTGCACAGACTCTGTCTCGGCGCTCAAGGAACCCACTTGGTGCGAAGGTACGTGTGGCAGTGTGTGACCAACACGCGGGTCAAGTCCTGATTGGCCGTGTTTTCGTCATCGAGCACATAGGATTAATAAATCATCGCCTATTCTCGAGGATATAGAAAGACCATCTCATCAATCCTTTAGGAAGCAAAACCCTAACTGGAAGTAAAGGTGGCAGGTGAGGAAATACGCCAAGCTGCAAGGGCGTTGGGATATTTGGTGTCAGTGGACATGGGGGATGTCGTACCTCCTGGTATGGCTTCCTAGGATATGGAAACGAGTAGTAGCCTACAACGCCATAAACTTTTGTTTTTCTGACACAGTTGACGTACGGAGGAAGCACACAATTTCGCGAAATCTCAATTGGAGGATATATTATTACGGCTTAACTTTGTAGACAGCTCCAACACTCTAGGTCGTTCCTGGTTGGTCAATTGTGTGCTGCAACTGCGCCAGTCAGGCCAACATGAACCAAATAAGTACCCTAATTGGATTCCGAGCCGATCTTACAACAACCAAGTATAGGACAAGAGACGTCAGTGATCTGCTCGACTGGAGATAGTAACGAGGTGGAGTCTTTTGGCTTTCATGATGCATTCTCACTAGAGAATTTCGCGCGCCCGTAAAGTACCCCTCCTCGCTCATCACTATCACATGGCTTAATGCATTCCGGATTATAAAGTCACAGCAAGCAGAGACCCAGGCTTTGATCTCAGAGAATATTGCTTTTCAACCAATATCAGGCAACAAATCGAGTGAGCAGTCCCAGCCCGCAACATCTAAGACCCCAAGATTACATGGATTCACTGACAGGAAGTACTCTCGGTCAGCCCTGACATGCCAGGTATGGCTAAAATTCGGGGCTGGCCAATATTATCAAAATCTGTGCTTACGGAAGTTTTCTAAGACGAGGTGCAACACTTGCAGGTGACACTTAAAAAGGAGGACATTGTTTTGGACAAATGGAACAGAGACGCAGGTCCGTTTGTTTATACTTCATGTTTCGCGTTACCCATCGCCATTCTCTCGACAAAAGCTTGTCTATTGCGACCATACAGATGCTCAACCAATCACTACACACCCTCCATTTCCTCTCCCAACCAACCAGCCAACCAACCAACCCCCCTCTTTTGTTTTGGCTAACCAAGCAAATGTTTGTAAATTTAATATAAACGAAGATATTAATTTAATGAACCCATTTGTTGAAATTAGAAGACAGAATTGGGCGCGTGCCTAAAGATATTCGGGCCCAGCCCTGGGGGGCACATAGTAAAAAAGTCTTGGCAAAAAGGGGGGGAGATAAAATCTTCCACCCCCCCCCCCCCCCTCTTAAGTAGGTTAAATCCTGAGACATTTTGATCGGGGTTTCTGGATCTTTTATCAGCATAGTCTGAATTATCTGTCAATTAAATTAGATTACAAAATATATTAGTAGAAGGGCTAAACTTTAAGGGGTCTGGTTTGGTGGTGGATTTTTTGATGGGGATACATAATACGGCTACTGTTCCTAAGTCTAGGGTTATTACCTTAGCAATCTAGTCGTAGATTGGTCAGTGGAACATGCTTGCGGGCAGACTGGTCAACATACTAGCGGGTTGTAAGAAGATACTCTATAAGTCAGGATAGAGGCCTGTCAATCAGGTAGAAGAAAGGAACCAAGTCAATTGCTCTGAAAGGCCAAAGACTGTTTCTTGAGGAATGTAAAACCTCTCCAACTTGGATCAATTTATATACAGTCATATCGCTCAAAACAGGAAGGAGATGTATCCTAGGTAGGGGAATGGGAGCGGGGGAAATACGAGGCTTGTGTAGCCTCTACAAGGGTCTTCCTTGCAGGAGTTCGTACACGTACTAGCAGCGAAGCCCCAGCGAACCTCCACGGAAAGCTTGGCGGCTTACCAGGGTCCAGGTAGCCTGAGGCATCAGAATTTGTGAACAACGTCATGTCAAGTATATTGTAACAGAAACCTATGCCGTCGTGCCCCTAATGAGGTTAAAATTAGGAGGGGAGTATTATCACGGGCCAGTGCCCGATGTTAGTCACGTATATCACGGACCTTGGCATGTTGACGTGGAGAACGCGCAGGATAAAGTTCCCCTCGTTAAGCTTTTTGTAATCAGCATGTTGGCCTACCCGGTGTGCCTGAAATATATATCTTAGTTGGTGAACCTTCAAAACCCTACACTAGGCTGTTGATGCTTTCTGTAACATATCTACGGATACATAGTACACCTAATTAACTTATGAAAACAATCTTTTGGGTATTACTACGCCTGTGGCGCTATGTTTATATATAGGGTTACCTATCCAGACTACCCGTAAGTCAACATTTCCAAGTCCATCCCACGTCAATTAGAGTACAGCTAATATATTGCTTCATATAGCCAAAAATATTGACTGCTTATATACAACTGGGCTTGTGGTTTAGTGGTATAATACTCCCTTAGCATGGGAGTGGTCCGGGGTTCGATTCCCCGCGAGTCCAGCTTTCTTTTTGTCTTTTTGTGGTCCTCAATGGGACCTGGGATTGTTAGTTTTTTGGTCAGGAGTTGATATGTGGCGCTAAAACGTCCCGAGACTAGCTTCTCAATCAGATTGATCCACCATCTGATGATATCCACTGCGTTTATATTTGCCGGTTGGATTTGCATTTTTTGTGTAGCCTGACACGAGCAGAACACTAATCACTATTCCATTCATAATCAGGCTAAAGAAATTGACAGAAGCAATAGTCTTGCTCTTTTCCTCAATATAGATCTACAGGAAAAAACCAAACGGTTGAGCCCCTCAGAAAGCTACAGTATCTGGATTCGGCGTTCTTATGCAGCGAGAGAGATGCTAGTCCATGATGCATGGCCAAAAGTACCAGGCGTACCACGGTCCATTCAATCCAATTATGCAGCTATAGACTCAGTGTTTCATATCATTCGTTGTTCCATATGCCCATTTGCTGTTCTATGACGTAGGCGACTAACCCATGGGTTGCTGATCAGCCGCCAGTGGAGACTCCGAACATCCCCGGAAGATAGCCTATTCGTGGATCAGTTCGTGGAGGGGTTACGCTCAGCTAGCGCCGAGATCTATTCCGAAGACTTTCGTTGTCAATCGCAATTCATGGTATGCATCTGATGTTTTGGATGGACGATGAGCTCCACCGTTCTCGCAGGTCAACCAACGATAGACTATTCTCCAGCACGGAGTGATGCAAGACGGCATGCAGTAACAAACCTACCTGGGAGAAGTACCATAGCAGTGGTATTTAGGCAAGGCTGATCCTCCCTCCAACATGTCCTTTCTATCTGGTGGTCTACCACTCTTGATTCTCTTTTGTTGAGGGAACCTACTACTACTACTATATATTCCACGCAATTCGCTTCTATCTAAGCTGCACACGATGGCACTCAATGGCAAGGTTGCTTTGATCACCGGGGGCGTCAAGAACCTTGGAGCAGAGTCAGCGCGCGAACTTGCAGGTGTTGGTGCGGATCTGGCCCTCCACTTCAACTCTGCGAGTAGCAAGAAAAATGCAGCCGAGCTGGAAGCCGAGTTGAAGCAGAAGCATCCAAACTTGAAGGTTGCATTCTATCAGGGCGACCTGACCTCCGCGGCTGCCGTGGACAAACTGTTTGATTCGGTTCTCAAGGACTTTGGCAAGATTGACGTCGTTGTGAATACGGTGGGCAAGGTGCTGAAGAAGCCGATCACCGATATCTCAGAGGAGGAGTATGATTCGATGTTCGCGTAAGTTGTCATGCTGCTAATTTACTGTCAATATTGGTGCTATGGTTGACTTGTATAACGGGATAGAATCAACTCCAAGGCGGCCTTTTTCATTCTTAAAGCAGCTGCCCGCCACATCTCTGATGACGGCAAGATCATCACTATCGTGACTGCTCTGCTGGGTGCTTTCACAGGATTTTATACCTCCTATGCCGGGTCGAAGGCGCCCGTGGAGCACTTTACCCGAGGCGTTTGCAAGGAATTGCAAGCACGGCGTGTGAGTGTGAACAATGTAGCTCCAGGCCCGATGGACACGCGTAAGTTATGCCAGATTATTGTCGAGTATGAATGTGACTGGGGCTGACTCGAAGTAGCATTCTTTTATCCCCAAGAATCGCCTGAAGCGGTCGAGTTCCACAAGAGCAATGGCATGGGAAACCGCTTGACCATGGTCCAGGATATTGCACCAGTGATTCGATTCCTGTGTACTGACGGGGCGTGGATCACTGGCCAGACCATCTTTGCGAATGGCGGGTACACGACTCGTTGAGGGATGGACAGAATGTTCTGATGTCAGATGAAACGGATGATATATAATGTATTGGAGATGAACCCATCAAGCAGTTTTTCGAAAATGAGTGCGTCAGAAAGTAGGGTCCTTTGGCAAGAGCAAGACGTTAACAGCCTGGTATTTCAGGCTCACAAAACAATTGATGGCACAGAAGGCAGTGGATCCCGGAGAACGGAGATAGTATTAACCCGCATATATTAGTCATTATTATGCCCACATAAATTGCCAGATAACTAGGGGCTTTATAGCAAATCAGACTTGTTGATATCCAATTGGTGCGCACCATGATTTACTAAGCAGTATTTCCGTCTAAGTTAGTTACAATGCTGTCACCTGAGGTCACCTGGCTGTAGAGTTGCCCTACTTCCAAGCCCTAACGTCGTCATTTGGATAGGCATGACCCCCTGAGTCACCTGACTGAGCTGCCCGCCCTAAACCCAAAGTAGAAAGAACGGTGACATCAGACCCCGACTCGTATTGAATGGCGTCGCCAGTACGGAGTACTTTTTTTTTGGAGGGGAAAGTTCAACATAACAGCTTCAGCCAAAAGGCTCCCAAAGAGCCAGAACTTGTCCTTCGTCACCTCCCCCAACTTGCTAATCAACCTCTTTCAATCAAGTTCCAATCGTCATTGTTTTGCCCCTCCTTGACAGCTGCCAACAGGTCTATCCGGTCTGTGACGAAATACCTTTGGTAACCTCCCCACTTCTGCTTTGTCTCACCGGAATTGGGTTCAACCCCCTCCCACTGGCCGTCATTAGCTTTACAGCGTTTAACTGTGGCCAGTTTCCAGTTCAATCTGATCTCGTCTTTCATCCATCTCATCAATCCCTTGAAGCGGTTTGTTCCTCGACCTCTCCCCGGGAAGGTCGACCCTCTTCAATTCCAAACATGGAGCCCGCCAAGCATCCCGTCGATCCCCCCAAGAAGCGCCGCATCGGTGTCCTCACTTCTGGTGGTGATGCTCCTGGTATGAACGGCGCCGTGCGGGCCGTTGTCCGTATGGCCCTGCACTCCGATTGCGAGGCCTACGCCGTCTTCGAAGGCTACGAGGGCCTGGTCAATGGCGGCAACATGATCCGTCAGATGCATTGGGAGGATGTCCGCGGCTGGCTGTCGCGCGGTGGTACACTGATCGGTTCTGCTCGAAGCATGGCCTTTCGAGAGCGCGCTGGTCGTCTGCGGGCGGCTAAGAACATGATTCTGCGTGGCATTGATGCTCTCGTGGTCTGCGGTGGTGATGGTAGCTTGACTGGCGCCGATGTCTTCCGCGCCGAGTGGCCGACTCTGCTGGCCGACCTCATTGCGGCTGGTGAATTGACCGAGGAGCAGGTTGAGCCCTACAAGGTTCTGAACATCGTTGGTCTGGTCGGTTCCATTGATAACGACATGTCGGGTACCGACGCTACCATCGGCTGTTACTCGTCTCTGACTCGTATCTGTGATGCGGTCGATGATGTGTTCGACACTGCGTTTTCGCACCAGCGAGGCTTTGTCATTGAGGTGATGGGTCGCCACTGTGGATGGCTGGCCCTCATGTCCGCCATTAGTACTGGCGCAGACTGGCTGTTCATCCCCGAGATTCCTCCTCGGGATGGCTGGGAGGATGACATGTGCTCCATCATTACCAAGGTATGTTCCCGAACAGAGAATCAGTGGCGTATACAATCAAATAACTGACCAATTGCTTTTCTTTCCAAACAATAGAACCGCAAGGAGCGTGGCAAGCGCCGCACGATCGTCATTGTCGCCGAGGGAGCGCAGGATCGCCAACTCAACAAGATTTCGAGTTCGACCATCAAGGACATTCTCACACAACGACTGGGCTTGGATACCCGCACCACCGTGTTGGGTCACACCCAGCGAGGTGGCGCGGCTTGCGCTTATGACCGATGGCTCTCCACTCTGCAGGGTGTTGAGGCCGTTCGTGCTGTCCTGGAGATGACGCCTACCTCGCCATCGCCCGTTATCACCATCCGCGAGAACAAGATCATGCGCACTCCTCTTATGGAGGCAGTCCAGGCTACCAAGGAGGTCACCGAAAAGATCCACGCTAAGGATTTTGCGGCTGCCATGACTCTGCGTGATGCGGAGTTCAAGGAATACTATCATGCTTACCTGAACACAGCAACCCCGGATCACCCCAAGATGATCCTCCCCGAAGGCAAGGTAAGATTGTGAAGAAATGGCATAACTCGATCCGCTCCTTGGGGACCAGATTCGCTGACTTTTCCGTGCTAAAGAAAATGCGCATTGCCATCATTCACGTCGGTGCCCCCGCTGGTGGTATGAACCAAGCTACCCGCGCCGCCGTGGCGTACTGTCTGACCCGCGGACACACTCCCCTTGCAATCCACAATGGTTTCCCCGGTCTTGTCCGTCACCATGCCGACAAGCCGATCAGCTCTGTCCGTGAAGTTCGATGGCTTGAGTCTGATAGCTGGGTCAACGAGGGTGGTTCAGATATTGGTACCAACCGCAGCTTGCCTTCGGAGGATATGGAGGGCACTGCCAAGTGCTTCGAGCGATACAAGTTTGATGCTCTCTTCGTGGTTGGTGGCTTTGAGGCCTTCACTGCTGTCAGCCAGCTACGAAAGGCTCGTGAGAAGTACGATGCTTTCAAGATTCCTCTTGTCGTGCTGCCCGCCACCATTTCCAACAACGTGCCTGGTACCGAGTACTCGCTCGGAAGCGACACCTGTTTGAACACCCTAATCGACTTCTGTGACGCCATCCGGCAGTCCGCCTCTTCGTCTCGCCGCCGTGTTTTCGTGATCGAGACCCAGGGAGGCAAGTCTGGCTACATCGCGACCACGGCCGGTCTAGCTGTTGGCGCAGTGGCCGTGTACATTCCAGAGGAGGGCATTGACATCAAGATGCTCTCACGCGACATCGATTTCCTGCGCGACAACTTCGTTCGCGACAAGGGTGCTAACCGTGCGGGCAAGATCATTCTCCGCAATGAGTGTGCCTCAAGCACCTACACCACACAGGTGATTGCTGATATGATCAAGGAGGAGGCCAAGGGCAAGTTTGAGTCGCGTTCGGCTGTTCCTGGTCACTTCCAGCAGGGTGGTAAGCCTTCGCCTATGGACCGTGTCCGCGCCCTGCGGATGTCCATCAAGTGCATGCAGCACATCGAGTCCTACGCTGGCAAGAGCCGGGATGCTATTGCCGCGGATCCCTTGTCGGCTACCGTCATCGGTGTCAAGGGCTCTCATGTCCTCTTCTCACCAATGGGTGGCGAGACTGGACTGGAGGAGACCGAGACTGACTGGGAGCGTCGTCGTCCCAAGTCGGAGTTCTGGCTCGAGTTGCAGGATGTAGTCAACGTCTTGTCTGGCCGCTCTACCGCTCGGGCTGTGGATACCTGGACCATCTACGACAGTATGTAAACCACCAACAATCTCCCATATCTTTCTGGAAATTTGCAACCCATTGGACCTTTGCGCGTTTGCCCGTCATCGGATCTTCAACCAGCACGTTCATTGTGCAACGATGGTGTTTTCGGTTTCTCTCCCCCTTTTTTCTACTGGATGTTAACTTTTTTCGCTTTTCTTCCCCGTTCAGATCCCGCTACGGTTCACGTTATTCCTTCCGTCCCCAGCTCTCCTTGAAGGAATCACCCATGACTTGGTTCACCATTCTTCTGACCGTCACCGGAAAATCAGCGACGCCTGACCGTCCTCCGCGGAAGCTTCGGCCTTCGCTTTGATACCAAATCTGCCGTTTTTCAGCTGAGTTATGTCTGCTGGTGACGCTCTTCATTCACCTCAACGTCACCACGATAGACGCCTCCCATTTATGCTTGTATGATGATACGCCACGCACCGCCCAGATGCCATATTGACCTGGACAACATTCGTGCTTAGTTGTGAGGGGCTGTGCTCTGCTCTTCTCCTTGCCCTTGTCTGTCCCATTTTTTGTGTTTTTTTTTGGACCCTGGCTCCAAACGTACAGACAGTTATCGCAAGTAGATCTGCAAAATACAAAGACGTTTAGCCAAACTCTGCTTCGATTGTAGATCGGTCATCTAACACTTTACTCAGTGTAAAGTTTGAATTAACCCAGCTTAAGATGCTTGAACTGGGTATGTTGCATTACTGTTATAGACTAAAAACTGAGATTGCATGCTGCATGCTACATTATTATATCCATGAGAGACAGACGCCTATATGCTTTCCCCCTACTTGGATGGGTTGACCGCACCTTCCAACTCATCCAAGAGATCCACAGTCTCTGCAGGATTGGCAATCCAAGCGGTTGTCGAAGCCAGTCGGGCCTAATTAGATATTCGAGTGAGCTCATTTAATCGTTCGAATTGAGATCAATGTTTGTTCATACCTTGAAGTCGTTGGCACCCGCAGACAAGAATTGATCGCCAATGTGAAGCGTCTTGGACGGATCGATACCACCAAAGTATCGCTGGCAGGCTCGAACACCCCAGGACTTGTCACCGATATCGACAAAAACGTCATTTCCGCCTATAAGCCGAGAGTTAGTGATGCAATCCTCCTCGAATTGAGTAAAGATTCGGAGAAAAACTTACCGTTAAAGGCGCAGAATGGAAGTCGCGCACCGACCGCAGATCGTTCTACGGTATTCTGGACAACGAGGACGGTCTCCTCAAGTTGTTCGCGGTTAATCCGAACTCCATTAACGGGGTAGACACCCACAGCACGATCCTTCCGCAGAACCGCAGCTGGAAGGCTGAGATTCGTCGCACAGGCTCGCAGAGCGGACTCGGCGAGATCGAGAAGTTCTTTGATATCATCGTCTCGCCACGCGCGCATCTCATCGAGTAACCATTCCTCCCTCGGCACATAAGTCAATCGGACATCCGACTCTGAATCAAAACGAAATAGGAAATTACTCTCCCCACCCATAACGATGATACCTTGTTTCTGGGCGGGGGTCAAGCTAGTTGACGCATGCACCGCATCTAGCAGACCCTGCAGGCGACCATAATATTTCGGAGCCTCTTCGTACCCGGCCGCAGTGACGATACCCACCTTACGGCCTTGCTCGAGAAGACGCATGATACGTGGGATAACGGGGTTATCTGCCGTGAGGCAGGCGCCGTCATCGTAGAGGGTTACATCTCCGTCGAAGGTGACGAGCTGGACCTCGCTGGAGCGGACGAGACCCTGTAGTTGGGCGGAGTTTAGGATGAGTCGGATATCGTTGAATGAGGGCGCGACGAATCGGCGCCGGCTGATGAAGCGGCGCTGATCTTGGTACTTGAAGGCATCTTCTAGATGTAGGCGTGTGAAAAAGGTCCCGACTGAAGGCACCAGTAGCTTTAGCTTGGATTTGCCGGGGGCATTGCGTTCGTGATGTTCGACTGTGGGGTGGAGTGATTAGCAATCAGTATTTTGGATAGAATGGGTATGATTCAAGTGGGATTGATGCCTGATTGACGGTGGTGATCATCACGTCAATGGGATAGTTATTGTGTTGCCTAGTGGATGATCTGATCCCTAGAGGCGAAGCGAGGCTAGACTTACTATGATCGAGAATCAGGTTCTCGACATCACGCATAATCTCGGCATAGCGCTGGTGAGTATCAGCAGCAACAGTGTTGAGCCGCTCGCTGGATTCTTGCGAGATGGCGATGGGCTGGGAATGCAGCACAAAGGGGACTGCGAGGAGACCCTATTTTCTTGCTTAAATATCGGGATAGCATACAATAGATAGTAGGTTAAAGGCGTACCTTGATCCATTCGATCTAGAAACATCATCAATATCAGCATTAAATCCATAGAAACCTAGGTGAATGGTGAGGACATACCAGTTGATCGCGGCGATGAGTCTACCCCAGAAGATGGAAGTCAGTGAGGGGGGCGATCCTGTGAGGGGAAACCAGTCGGGCGTACCTTGAGGGCATCTAGTTGGTGGCAGATCAGCAGGCAGGAACATTAAATGATTACGCCATTTGATGCAAATCAGCAGTTGGAGAGGCTTACATTCAACACGATAGCGAGTCGTCATGGTTGTTGGCTGATTTGCTTTAGTTTGGAGGTGTGTCGATCGATCAGGAAAGGTGTCCAGGTGGAATTGAGGGGAAATAATCCAACAATAACAAGCGGATGAGATGCGAGTGGACAGCCGCCCCGGTGCACGTCCCTCCGAGATCCTAATAGGGTTAGTACGGCTATATGGGAATCAACTGGTCAATTTATTGAATTACTGCCCACCACCAGGACAGCAACATGTACATACGTCAATAACTATTGTCCGAGTTTAGCTAGTCACTCTCATCAACTGGTCGGTACAATTCCGCAAGATAATCCTTGTAGAGTAGACTAACTACGGGCATCACAGAGCCGGGCCAACCACAGCAGTTCTATTCATCACACTAAATCAATTAAGTTGGTTAGCTTACCCCACTAAGGTCGTAAATCCATCTGACTCACACTGTCTCATGCTTGAGTCAAAGAAGAATCTGAGGAAATTTCCCAAGAACGTCGTTAGTTGACCCCATAGTTAGATGATTGTAGTTCATCTATTGGGTCAATATGAACAAGTGAGGCTTAATTCCTACTATCTCCATTACCCATATCCCCGATTGGAGCAATCAAAGATCCATGTAGCCAAGGCACACCGCTCAGCCTTGTAATCCTCTCACCTTGTCAAGGGAAGGTGCATTACGAAGTGGCGGTCGCTCACAGCCTCGGCGAACGGTCGGAAATTCCATTGGGTGAATTAAGTGATCAGTTACTTCGTCGTATACTGCCTACTCTGGTTGAGGCTTCAAGCGAGAAAAAAAAAGCCAAGGTCTAGATGGCCCGACCATCCCAGGATCTTGGATGACGGATTTTAGGATTACGAATGCCTGATGAGACACGATGACTCTTCAGGCAGCACTGCCACGACTCTCGCTCGTGTCCAATACGATTCGGATCTTGGCCTCCGAAATTGAGTACGAGGTATCGAGTAGTGAGGGACATAGACATGTATAAATGCGTGGCCATGGATGCCTGTATGTATAGGAATTCATCAACCAGGCAAAGACATTCTCAGCATACGAAGTATACAAAAGCTCATAAATTCATTTCAATCACCCACCATCCTGAACGAACAACATCATCACCGTCCTCAATATTTAGTATGCTCGTCGCATCAAGGCCATCATTCAACACTATGTCTTCCACAATGGACACCCCAGATAAACACAATCCATTCGACGTCCCTCCACCCTACAATCCCTCTGAAGCAGGAAGCTCCAACCCCGAATACCCCCTCGACGAAAAAACCTTCCTCCCCCCAAACTCCTCCGAACCAGGCCTAGCAATAGCATCAACCCTAACCCGCGGCCTCCAAGTTCCCTCCCGCACAGCAGCCACAACATCCGGCTTCGCCTACCCAGCCGAGCTACTCGAATACGGCATCTCGCAAGACCACTGGGCCCAATTCACCCAAGTCATCGTTGACGAGGCCAAGCTTTCGCGCCAACAGTGGAGTACCGTTATTGGCAAGGGTCTCGGTACACTTGCTATTGGCGGACTGATGATTGGAGTTCTTAGCGCTGTCCCGGCGATTTTTGTCGCGAGGAATGCGAGGAAGAGGCAGGAACAGCGGAATTTGATTGCTGCTATGGCTGGTGTGCAGGGGGAGAGGCTTTCGAGGCATATTTCGAGTTGGAATGAGACATTTTTCAGGCCGAGGGGAGTCGTTATAAGGGTTGATTTGCCTGATGAGTATATAGGGGATATGAGTGGTATGGATCTTCATCGGACGGATCGGAAGTGGGCGAGGTCAGACCAGGAGGCGAAGGAGAAAGCGGCGCTTAAGGCGAGGATTGTTATTATTCCACTGGAAGGCGAGGTTTCGGGTCGTTCTTCGATTACGAGGGATGATAGGAGACAAGAATAGGCTGTCTAAGCCAAGGGTTTTGTTGATTGTTGGTTGTGTTCTATTTTAAAAAATGGGCAAGGCGTCGGGCGCATTCTGATTATTGGCTTTTACATGTTGAGAGTCTGCTACAGTTATAATAGTATCCAGTGATTTCATGTTTAGAATCATGTTCAAATTCAATTGAATTCATCATGGCATCTCTCATCAGATGACATAAGATTGCCTCTCTGTAGATCATCGAAATTAAAAAATGGATAAGATCCCCTTCTCAAACATGGGTCGACGCATCCTTTCGCTCCACATGCTGCGAAGTGCCATGCTGAGAAGTCATAGCCTCCATCTTCTCGTCAACAACCTGATCACGCTCCTCAGCATCCTGGTTACCGTATCGGCCAATGCGGTACCAAGGCAGCTCGAACAACCGGTCCATGCTCTCCAGAGATCGACCAGCAGTCTCGGGGATAGTGAACCAAACCCAGATACCACCGATAAGGGTGATGGCACCGAAGAGCCAGAAGGTTCCCTTAGGGCTGATACCGCCCTCGGCAACGGGGAGCAACATGTTAGGGACGGCACGGGAGTTGCCATACTGGTTGGCGAAGTGCAAGGTCATAGCCATCGAAGTGGCCAGGGCACGGATGCGCAGAGGGAACAATTCAGCCGTCAGCAGGTATTGCATCGAGTTCCAGCCAAGGGCCCAACCGAAGCCAGACAGGTAAATCATGGCGATCGCGCCCTCACTAGCGCCCTTCTTGCTTGCAGGAAGCTTGAAATTCTTCACCACGCCCATCTCAGGCACGGCAGTCAGGAATCCAGCAATGTAGAACATAGCGATAGCCTGCAAGGTGATTCCAATCAATAGTGCACGCTTACGACCGATCACATCGACCAGGAAGAGAGCACACATCACTGCTGCCACCAGTTTAATGATTCCAAAAACAGCCGTGACCAACAGGGTCTCGTTGCTACCAGTGACGCCAAGCAGTTTGAACAGATCAGGGGCATAGAGGGTGATAGATCCAGCACCCGACCACTGCGATAGAATCTGCGCCATCAGGGCCAGGTAGACACGGTAGAGGTTAGAGGGAATCAGGAAGGTCTCCTTGATAATACCCAGAGGACCAGCACCCAGAGTCGCTTCCATCTCGATTTGATGGGCTGTTTGAATCGCGGTAATCTCACGAACCACGTACTCATGGTCGGTTGGCAGATTTCGAATGCGGGAGAGGTTGGTGATGGCCTTCTCGAACTGACCACGCTTGATCAGATACCGGGGGGATTCATATTGGAAGAAAGAGAGACAGAAGATCAATCCAGCGAAGATGACGTGGAGACTGGTAGGAACCTCCTGCTAGCTGTTAGTTCTGCTCGGAGACATGCGGAAATAAAGCAGAAGCGAGACGAATCTGTCCTTACCCATCGCTTGTGAGTGTTATCGCCCATATGCACTTGACATCCATAGTTGGCGAAATATGCAAGCACAATTCCTAGGAAGGAATAATTGGTTAGAGACAGATCGATGTATTGTAAAGACCCGAGGCATAGTCCAATCGACTACGTACCGAGATATACGAAACCAGTGAAGACACAAGTGCAAAGACCTCGAATCGCTGCTGGGGCCTGGAAAAAATTTGTTAGTCGTGTTGCCCAGAATTGAATCGCAGCCAGTCAGCGTTTTGCTGACCCGTTGCTACTCACAATTTCCGCCAGATAGATCGGGGCGACGACCACGGTCTGTCCAACACCCAGACCAGCAATAAATCGACCGGCATAGACCGCACCGAGATTGCCATTGTTGCCCATGAAGATGGCAGCTCCAATGATCCAGATGAGGCAAAGCTGTCGAGTAGCCCAGATACGACCGATGCGGTCGCAAACCAGGAAAGCACTGCAGTGAGAGAGTCGAGTAGTTAGTACATCATCCGTGCAAGGCAAGACATATCTTGCGGTCTGGCGTATTCCCCTCCTCTCCTCATATTTCTTTCACTTACAAGAGAGCACCACCGACGGAACCAATCTGCACCATGGCCGAAACATTGGCCTTGATGTTGGTCTGCTCCACGGTGCTGTAGGAACTGTAGTTGATATAGCGCTGGAAATCCTTAGAGTTGAAGGCGCCGGAAATAAGACCCTCATCGATCCCACGGGCAGCACCCATCAATCCGAAAGAGACAACCGCAAACCATAGCTTCCAGTTGAAAACTTCCTTGGGCTCGCCCAGGTTCTTCAAGCGGAAGATGTTGACCGGCTTCTTGGCTCCGCCTGCCATGATGAGCTATTTGAGGGAAGAGAGCTCGATTTAGCAGGAAGTGAAGGGAGGAGGAAGAAGAGGAGGAAGAAGAGGAGGAAGAAGAGGAGGAAGAAGAGGAGGAAGAGGAAGGTGAAGTGAGAGAGGCGGGCTAGAAAGAGACAAACAACGGGGAAATCCAGACTTTCTTTAATACTTTTGGATCACACGATGATCCTCGCGAAAATTCTCCGTGGTACTGCGGGGGAAAAAATTCGGGGTACGGGGCCCCAAGGGACATGCAGCACGAAAGCTCGGACGACCACACGAGTCGGTAATTGAGCCAGTGGTAACCAGTCCAATGAGGAGTAACATCTGGACCTTGTTTGCCCCTCCTCTTCATTTTCTTTGTCTTTGCCCTCTTTCGGAGAATTCGATCCACCTTACTTCCGAGGAGCACGACGCATAAGCACCCCAGAATCTCCGATTTGCGAACGGCTCTAGAACACACAGCACCGGGGGTTGACCGAGTATCGGTGGGACAAGACGGGGTCGGCCAAGGTTGAGTGGACAGCGCCAAGGGAGCTTGGATGCCGAGATGACATGTATAATGGACGAGCTCCACGGCACGCAGCTGCGATTCGACGGCATCGCCGGGTTGGTTGGGTGATTCTGGCGTTGGGGCCCCGAGGGGTTGCAGCCGCGTTGGCCCCGGTAAAACTACCACATGGTCGCAGATGGTGTGGGGAGGGAATACATCGTGCGGGCTCGGCTGTGGTGTGCATTTGATGTGCATCGATCTGCCCTGTTTGGAAAGCCTTTTCGGCGATCCCGAGGCTGATATCCCTGGATTGGTGATTTTGGGCGCTTCTCTCTGGCATCAAGGCGACCGATTTCCTCCGCCTTGGCTCATTTTGCTCCCAGTTGACAGTGTTAATTGACTTCCATCATTTCTCTCTGGCACCCGCATTAGGAAGCCAGTGGGATAGAGATGAGACAGCAGTGGATCCTTGGCCCATGGACTAAGCAATGAACAAAGTTTGCCCTGGCTGGGGCTCGGGAAACTTCCGGTGGACGTGCCGCACCGCCAAGAGAGGGCGAAACTGGGGTTGGCCGGATTTCTTACTGATCCTGACACCCTGATTGGCTCATGGTCATAAGAGAATGGCAGGCCGCTGGAAGAGGTAAATCCGCCGTGTACTTGGCGTGGGGGACGAGGTTTGATTTGGTCGATGCTGGTTCGTTGATGTGGTGGAAAAAGTCGAAGGTTTGAAGTGGGACGAGGGAGGCGATCGGGGAAATCTGAGCTCGGAAGGTCACCACATGACTGGCACATGACTGACATTCTCCTAGTAACTACCTACTGTATGCGTTCTTTGTTCTGTCAGCCTTTGTAGTTCTGAACCACCTATTCCATTATCATAATTAGCGCTGTCTGCTCGTCATGTCAGTCGCTTTCTGACTTCAATGCAAATTAAGTTTACCGGCGACGACTCGCGCCATGGCGTGGCGTGGCATTCATGATATACTTCGTATTCCCTGTCAGTCTTGCCTGAGAAACTATATTTTTCCGCCGATGCCAGGAGATTCTACGAGAGAACAAGCAAGAAACATGGTCCGGGCATCGGCAATAGTTAAATTTCTGTGCAGTACCAACGGCTTTGATAGAAAGAGACTTCGCCTGCTTCGGTGGAGTGGGCCAGTAGGGCTAACGAAGTGAGCTGCCGCTGGCTGGACTATTCTCGACTGTCCAGATTGCACTGTGGATTCTATGAGGCATTTACGGATCTCGGTGAACGGTGAAGAAGCTGTAGACAGAATTATTCAAATGCTTATGATGTTATTTGCATTTCCTAATCGAGGGCCCAATTGGGCGTGAATGGTACAAGATTGCATAAGAGAAACATCAATGGAGCTCAGATTGACTTGAAAAATCAAAGAGAAAATGCCCCTTGATCAGTATCATCTGTATCATTGATATATGAGCCCTTTCACCCTGTATACCTGGTTGAGCGAGCTCCGGCGGAAAATGTGATGATATACGCGGCGCTCGCCTACCTCGGATGTACCTCGGACAAACCACCCCCCCTATCCAATCAAAAATCCATCAAACGTGGCGTATCAAAGTGTCCATACCCCTTGACCACGCTCATTTCGTCGACATCGGCAAATTTAGTCTTGAAGGTCCAACCCCCACTGAATTATGGATCATTTGGCACCGATGATCGGATGTTTGCTTGGATTGTGATTGCCATAGACAGCTCCCCAATATGCCTAGCTCAGAGACTGTCTCCCCACTGTTCAGTGTCTCGGGACCCATGAGGAGATTGGTCTGGATCGGCGGTTGAATTCGCTCCATTAGGATGTATGAGCACCACCGTGCTCGTGGGATCGAGGATAGATAGTCTGGGATTTCTGCTCCGTGTACATTATTTCCTCCGCCTTCGAGAGAGGGCTTCAAGATGTAGTTGGCTGATTTGACTGGATCGCATGCTAGCTTTCGGGCGAACAGACCCTGTTCGGATTCGTCTAAGGGATAGACTGGTACAAATGTCTCTCGGATGGCTGCCGCGTCCGACGCGGATAGGAACCGCTCTAGTGCCCCCGGCGCGGTGAGTGCCTGTTGAACTTTCTTGAAGGTTGTGATGTGAGAGAGGAGAGAAGGGCATTTAATCGCCGCTGATATCTCGAGCTGCAATCGCGCTTCCCAGCCGACGTGATCGTATTCTTCTGCTTCATACCCTGCGCGCAGGTACACCACTGAGATTTCCACGGGTTCTGTCGATGCGAGCCACGGTGGGTGGAAGAGTAATACTCGATCTTCTGTAAGCCGGGCGTATTCCAGGATATCGGCGCCAAACTCGAGACGATACATTGGCACGGGGTCGTCTCGGTTCCAGAGTGCATACTCGATGGGGCGCTCGTCTGCTATGTTGAACTATCTCACGATTCGAGTTATGCATGGCCCAAGCAAAGGATCGGAGATTCAGACTGATTGCTTTGCGATACTCACGTTATTTGGCTGCACGATCATCAACACTGCCGTCTGTCTGGCTTCTTCACTCCTTGGTTTCCCATAGGTGGTATGCGCTAGAGCCAGGCAGGAGGCGAGTGATTCGATGTTCTCATTCTTTGGGAGTGACGAGATGTTCAAAAAGTTGTCTCTCCCATTATAGACTCCAGTTCGGGCAAGATAACGATGCATGTTTCCCACTTTGTTTGCATGGGAGCCCCCAGACGCGGAGAAGGTGTTCATCTCGACCTGTTTCAGACTCGTTTCAAATACTGCACCTGGGTCCCGAGGTTCAACACCATCGTTCAAATGGAGCATATAGTCCGAACGGAAGATCCCTACGGAAATATTCTGGAGATATCCGGTTTCTCTAGCCGCTTCATAAATACTCCATAGTGCCGCGGCGAGGGGCTCGACGGGGATGATTTCTTGAATCACGTCGTGGATCCACTGTTCATCCTCGGCGACTGAGCAGTAAAGCCGATTGAATGTTTCCTGGATGTCGAGCGCTTGCTGGAATTTGGCTCGAGGCAGAGGTGTTGGGAAGCACTGATACGGAGGTCCTCTTTATCAGACACCATCACAGGTTCTTTGAATGAAGGGCGTCCTACCGAGACCCCGACCGGGTAACTGTACACGCTGCACTCCGTCTCCGAGCGGACATGCTTTAGCAGGGAGCCATGATTGACTGCCAACTCATGTTAGCCCATCTGTTCGGTTGGTCGAAGATTTTTCTCGTGAGATTACTGACTCTGTTGCGATTTCTTAGTACTGAGGCTAAGCGAACAATGAGGGGTGGAAGGTGGGGGCTTTGTTTTCTGTCAACGAGTCTCACCTGCCAATCTTTTATCTGCGCGACCAGCGACAGCGTCTGTTCTTCACTGAATCCATTCATCTGGGCAATGAGGTCTGATTTGGATCAGTTTTGACCGGTCGGAGGCAGTCAGCAAGCGACTTTGTCTGCGGTGAGCTCATACTCGAGAGCCAGATGCCAGGTCCGTTCACAGCGATTAACAGTGGGGGCCGCTGATCGCCGCGCCACCGAATCACCAGCGAGTGTTAGGGAAGATAAAGAAACGTTCTCACCCATAGTACCATGTGAAGAAGTTCATTCATCGCTTGGGTTGTAAAATAAGATTTTTTTTCTTCCAGATTCTGCTTGTCTCACCTGATCATGTGGTGGATATGAAGCAGTCAAGAAGATCCTATTCGTGACTTGTCCCCACCACATGTCTTTTGTTTTCGTGCGATTTGTATTCGGTGATCAAGATCGCTTGAGTGCCTTTCGAAAGACTGTCTTATGCATAATTTGAGAGAGTGATATTCTGACAGGTAGGAATTAGAAAGTGATCTGATATCTTAGTTCTGCCGCTGATCGCGTTGATTGCATGTTGACGATATTCCAGATCAGGAAAGTCATTGCGGGGCGATGCTGAAGAATGTATAGCCGAATACTTTTTAAGGGTCCTCGAGCCCCATTGGGTGCAGGAATTCTCGGATATAATTAGTATCCACTATCTTTTCCAGAACCGGATATTATGATAGTTATTTGTCCTTGTGAAAAGGTAGTTGAATAGCCCTTGGAGCCTTAGGCTTCTGTACTATACGAGGTTGCCTGCCTAGGCTTTCGTTTCCCGCCGTCTGCCTCCTATATACACAAATCTTCCTCTACCTTCTTCATGACCTAGATGCACCTGTATATATGGTTGACAAATAGGAGCAATATTTCTATACTATGACCGGAGATCACGGAAGAGATATATCCGTAAGGAGCCAAGATCGCCCGCGAGGATATTATTATTTCCATCTAGGAAAGTCATCATCCAACAGTGCTGAAGTATGTATGGTCGATATAATTTTGAAGACTGCCAAAATATCCCGGGGCTTAGCTTCCATCCGTGACCTCCTATATAAGATACCTTATTTTACATGACCATATCATCTATAATTCCCTGAAAAGGAAATTATGCCTATGCAAATAAAGTTGTGAGAACATGGCCTGGACAACGACGGAAGAAGAGGACCCGTAGGTAATTAAAGTCATCGGATGGAATGAGAAATATCATGAGATAGAATGTCATCGTGGGACAATGCTGGAGGATCGATGGACAAGTCATTATTACCAGGAATGTGGGATAGAAGTATTGACTTGGGTCTATAAAAGGGTATGATCGAGACTTCGATGAGATATGTCACGAACTTCCACTCTGTACGCTGAGTTCAAGATGATCCGTTTCCTATATTTCCTTTCCACCCTATCAGTTGCTGCTGCAGCCCCTGCGGGCTCTTCTCCAGCTTTGACATATGACTATGTCATCGTTGGAGGAGGTACCAGTGGCCTTGTGATTGCCAAACATCTCTCGGAAAACTCCAACGTGCCTGTCCTCGTCATCGAGGTCGGTGGTTCCGTTCTGGATAACACCAATGTTACCAGTATGAATGGATACGGACGTGCCTTTGGTACCGACATCGACTGGCAGTATAAATCCGTTCCCCAAACGTGTGGTGGGAACTCCACCCAGGTCCTTCGCGCGGGTAAAGCGTTAGCTAGCACTAGTGTGATTAATGGTATGCTTGACCATGATAATATGCTTGGACGCAAAGCTAATGTTTTATGCTATAGGAATGTCGTTCACCCGTGCGGAGCATGTACAGATCGACGCTTGGCAGACCATCGGCAACAATGGCTTGACATGGAATGCCCTGTGGCCTTAGTACACGAGGAGCCAGAATTTCACTCCCCCCCTCCGAGAAGCAGCAACTCGCAGGAGCGGCGTACAACGGAAACTTCAACAGCGAGACCGGTCCTCTTAAGGTTGCCTTTAGCAACTTCCCTGCTGGCAACGTCACTACATATGTGAATGAAACCACGCAGAGTTTCGGCATTCTTTTACTCCAGACGTCAACGGAGGCAAGATGCGTAGCTTTAGTATCTTCCCCGTCACCATCAATTTCGACAACTACGTGCGAGAGGATGCGGCTCGTGCCTACTACTGGCCATTCTCCTCGCGTCCCAATCTCAGTGTCCTCACTAATTCCTTCTTGAACCGCATTGTCTGGAAGACTGGAGCCACCACAGATTCCACTAACCTAGTGATTGCTTCGAGTGTTGAGGTAACCTTCGCGAATGGCACTGTTGGTGTGGTTGGAGCCACTCAGGAAGTCGTTGTTTCTGCGGGTGCTTTGAAGACACCTGGTATCCTTGAGCTTTCTGAGATTGGAAATCCTACTATCCTCAGCCAAAATGGGATTCACGCTCTAGCCAACTTGCCGACTGTTGGCGAAAACCTGCAGGATCAGATCACCACTACCATAGGTGCAGATGGAGTTGAAACTGTTGCCGGTGCTTAGATGGTCGTCTATCCCAATGTCGACGATATTTTTGGTGACAAGGCCCAGTCCATTGCAGATGCTGTCACCAACAACATTTCGCAGTACGCACAACGAGTATCTGCAGCAAGCGGGAACACGATGAAGAACATGGACCTCCAGACATTGTTCAATGTTCAGTATGATCTGATATTCAAGCAGAAGATCCCAAGGCGGTTGGTCTTCAAGACTGTGGCCACTGCTTTCATTGCGCAAGCCGAATACCGGTCTCATAAACGATTGCCTGTTGCTGAGGTCTTGTGCTCTCCGTCCGGAGCGCAGGCTTTGAATTCGCTGTATTAGGGACTTCTTCCTTTCGCTCGTGAAAACGTTCACATTTCCTCATCTGATCCAAAAGCTATGCCGACCATCAACCCTAGCTACTTCATGCTTGACTGAGACACGGATAGCTAGGTTGCTATTGCAAATTACATCAGGAAATCCTGAGAGACTGCCCCTCTGAAGACTCTGATCCAGCAAGAGACTCTTCCCGGGTATACTGCCGTTCCCGAGGGCGCCTCTGATGATGTTTGGAAGCAGTGGCTCGTTACTCATTGTAAGTTTCATGATGCACAGTTGAGAAGTGCATGATTTCAGGTCAGGATACTTTCCTGAATTGCTTCTGTAGACCGTTCCAATTTCCACCCTATTGGCACTGCCGCGATGATGCCTCGGGACATCGGTGGTGTTGTGGATGTCAACCACACAGTCTATGGCACCGCTAAAGTGAGACTTGCCGATGCTTCTGCTCTTCTATTCCAGGTCTGCGGTCACCTGGTCAGCACCCTCTATGTCGAGGCCGAGAGGGTGGCAGATGTCATCAAGAGCCAGTCTCCTCTTTTCTAATTTGGTTTAGGATGTTGCTTTTCTCGTAAGTCCTAATCTTCTTTGACCGCGCGACTCTCGATGGTGTTCGGTCAGCTTGGAGGAAATGCTTCGACTTCCGATATTTGAAAAGGGTACCACTGGACACACAAGGGTGAGATAGATGTTGCGTGTATCAAGTACGGTCAAAAATTGTTAGATAGCTGAAGTATACATGATGATGATTGTCCTAGAGACTTTTTTAAAGACCAAGAGCAAGTAGATTTTGCATAAATGCATTCTTGTAACCATTCTTTGACAGTTTTTTTTCTCCCATATTTCGCGAAGATCTGAACCACGGTAGCAAGTGATGATAGACCGAGAGACTACTATAAATCACCGAAGACAAGGATGAGAAGATATCATAGCGCAACACCGAAAGAGATCTGCCCGTATTCATGCACAAGAAGCGAATTGACATCTGTAGTTTCAGCAGAGTTTCCCCGCAAAATACATCGCAGCTGTGATGCATATCGAGGGAGTGCTGCTTTAAACACGGGGTGATACCAAAAGACCCATGTCGCCGAGAAAGCAATATGAGTATCGGTATTTCGCATGAAATTATTTTCTTTTCCACGAATCTTACTTCACATTTTCTGAGCTGAGTTGCATCAATTCCTTCACTGTATCGGCATTAAGAGAATAAACCCAGCGTGATCTTGTCATTTGACTCCCCGCAGACCTCTGTCCAGTCCCAAAAGAACTTGCTAGGACGGAGATGATCCCATGTCCTCCGCGTTCGATGTTTTCTCCGCAATTTCTGGGGTTAATTCAGCCAACTCCGTGTTGGTGGCGGACGCCACGAGTACCCTGACAAAGGTAAATGGTGACAGTCACACCACTAAGATAAAATGAAGCTACAAATTGGATAATGTGTCACAGGATTATTTGAGTTCATCTGATAATCAGACTTCCGATGCCTATATATCCGATTCCTGGCTCAATCGTCATGAAGAACGAGCTTTGACCAGGGCAAAAAGCTAGCTGGCTAGTCACTGTCCAGCTCTAGATTTTGGCGCTCCTCTTTTTGTCGGAGAAAAATATTGAACGAGAGATAATTAGGTGCGTGGAACACTACACATGTAGACGCCTGGAATTATTTATTCAGGAATATTTGCACAAATAGGCAGTTTTGCCAAGGGCGCCTAGCGTTTCTGTATTTTTCCGACCTCTGCTGCTAAGGAAGGGGCGGGTCGCATCATGTGTTTCGGAATTTAGCCCATTCTTGTCAATTCCCTAACATCAAATTGCAGGAATATTCGGCAGCATATCCGATCTCGACACGGACTCTTCGAATCGGTCGGCTCGTGGCGCTTTCCCCAATATCTGGAGGATTGTTGCATGGTGCCGATTCGAAGGATGACGACAATTTAGCCCCACCTCGAAAAACGTGGATCCACGATCCATCAATGCTCCCTGACAATGATCGTTTCGAATCCTGAGTGGAGACTCATCAATAATTCTCCCCAGCAGGTATAAAGTCGAGCGCCTCTGTCGATCGGAGCGGGATAGCAAATACCTGCAACTCCGAAAAAAAAGGGCGACCGAAATCTTCTATCCTTATTGCAAAGACAAGGAGTGATCTCATAATCATTATATGAAAATGCTGAAAGTTGTTGCCCCAGTATTGATGGCTACATTGGTGGCTGGCCATGGTCACGTCACAAACATTGTGGTCAACGGGGTCTCCTATCAGGGCTGGGATATCAATTCGTTTCCCTATTCAAGCGACCCCCCTACAGTTGTCGCTTGGGGTACTCCCAACACAGGCAATGGCTTTATTGCGCCAAGTAAGTAAAAATAATTCTCCTCTTCAGTCTCAAATTGATCCTGATTCCTCCTCCCGTTGTGCGATATCCCTCCGATTGGTGATACCTTACATCTGACTGGTTGACTAGGTAACTACGGAACATCTGATATCATCTGCCATCTCAATGCAACCAACGCAAAGGGCCATGCCGTGGTTGCTGCAGGAGATAAGATCAATCTCCAGTGGACAACCTGGCCTGACACTCACCATGGTCCAGTGATTGACTATCTCGCAAACTGTGGTGACTCATGCGAGACTGTTGACAAGACGACATTGAAATTCTTCAAGATTGATGGTGTGGGTCTCGTCGATGATACTACTGTTCCTGGAACCTGGGGGGACGACCAGTTGATTGCCAACAACAACAGCTGGATGGTTGAGATTCCTCCCACTCTCGCCCCCGGAAACTATGTCCTGCGACACGAACTCATTGCCCTGCACAGCGCTGGGAGTGAGGACGGTGCTCAGAACTACCCTCAATGCTTCAATCTGCAAGTGACTGGCTCAGGCTCTGCCCAGCCCTCGGGTGTTTTGGGCACGGAACTTTACAAAGCAACGAATGCAGGCATCCTTGTCAATATCTATACCTCGCTATCAACCTATGTTGTACCTGGGCCCACGCTTATTAGCGGGGCTGTCTCTATCACGCAGGCCACCTCAGCTATCACTGCATCTGGAACCCCGGCCACCGGAGCAGGCGGTGCTGTGACTACCAGCGCGAGCGCAGGACAGACCTCATCAACCACTACGGCACGAACTATCACATCCGCCACATCGACCACCACGAGCTCAGCAACCACCCTGACAACTAAAGTCAGCACGAGCAGCACAACCCTTGTCACCAGTAAGACTACCACAACCGCCGCTTCGGATAGTTCAACTCAAACCGTCTATGGGCAGTGTGGAGGAAGCGGCTGGTCCGGTGCCACTGCTTGCGTTACGCAGGCTACTTGCACCTCGATGAACCCATGGTACTCTCAATGTGTCCCAACAGCTGTTTAGGGGCAGCAAAGTCTTCAATTTGTTCTTTAGCTTCGTTTGTACGGCAGGACCGACTGTTTCTATGTGAAGTATAGCAATGAAAGCAAAATTTTCTTCATATGTTGTTTCCTTTTGATGAGGGGAATCTTAGACCAGTAGCGCTGGACATCTATTTCAGTGACCAAGTACAATATCGGAAACTGACAAACCTTTCATCGTGGAACACAGTGAATATAAATCAGAACATCGCCCTAAGTAGATTAGTATCACAAAACTACCCTTTGAAGGACCCGTTTGATAGCAGAGGCTAACTGCGACATCTTATTGGACGAAGACTGGTCTTTCACTCCGAGTGGATTCTTTCCATACCCGCTATACCCGAAATGACTCCCCCTTCACCGCGACGCGACGCGTTCGTTTCGTAACTGTTCCATCTAACATCCTCCTACGCTCGCGAGTTTCAGCATTTTACCATGGATTCCCAAGCTATCAGCCTCCCCAAAGGCTATAAACTCCAGCCTGGCTACCCTCCGACCTCCCAATACCTTGAACTTCGCTTGGTTTCCGGACTCTCCCCGAAAACACCATCCCAGGCCGCTGCAGTTCCCACTGGCAGCTGGTATGGCTTTTACGTCACTTTCGAAGCCACCAAGGGCGATCCACAACCGATTGGAATGGGAAGGATAATTGGAGATGGTGGCTGGTATTTTCATATTGCCGACATGGCTGTGCATCCTGATCACCAGAGGAAAGGCCTCGGGGATGTGATTCTCAAAGCGCTCCTCCAGCATATTCACCGAGAGGCTCCTGCTGATGGAAAGCCATATATCACACTGTTTGCAGACGAGCCTGGTCGGAGGCTATACTATAAGAATGGATTTGTGGACGCGGCTCCTGGTCAGCTAGGCATGTGGCTGAAGTGAACACAGACAGCCCTAGAGATAATTTGGATGACAGGTAGACTCGGAACAATTCATGAATGATATTGATGAAGGTTTTGTACGATTTAAATTGGAGAGGCTCTATTTTCCTTCACTCAAATACCATGTTTATCGGCCATTCAGCCTATTCTCGGCCACTCTTGTTCCCCACAAACTCTCTCCGCCTGTCAGTTATCTGCTCAACCCCGCAGTCTCACCTACAAGTCTAGAATTGCGAAGGCGTGAGACGAATAATCGGGTTTGACGACTCATTGGTCAGAGAAGTGTTATCATTACAAGACATCCATGCTCTGTCTTACAACATGTTCAGAATTTCTCAGCAAAGAACATTGGGGTCATTGGATGTCGGCGGGGAGGACCATCTCAATGATGAGCCTCAAGATCCCCACATGCCACATCATCCACAATCTATTTAAACCCCTCGATAAGCCCACGCGATAATATTTGAACTGTAAAATATCATGGCTCCTCCATTCCGCACTGAGCATGTTGGCTCTCTGATGCGCCCAGCAAATCTCCTGGCGGCTCGCTCTGCTGCTGGTGTCACATCTTCGTATTCTCGATTAACGGAAGATGTTCAAGCTGTCACTGAAAAGGCGATCGCTGAAGTTGTCGCCAGGCAAATCGAGCTAGGCATTCGCCCAATCACCTCTAGAGAATATGAGCGAAACATATTCTACTCCGGATTCTTTGAAAATCTCCAGGGCATGGAAGTTGTCGAGGCAATCCCAGTTGACCAAGGCTATCGCACCGGCTTTCCAACCCTCAAGATGCTGAAGAGTCTTGGCATTCCTACTCGCGATTCTGTCGTTGCTGTCGATCGCATTAAAAACACTGATTCCCCTTGTCTATCAGAGTGGAAATCTTTGCGGAGCCGACTTTCTCAAGAACAGTGGAAGGATTTCAAATTGACCATGCCTCCAATAACGCACAGCCATATGCAGGTAATCCATTTCTAAGGCTTTTCATTGCCATTCTACATCATCACGTTGTACAAACTAACAACATCCCTACATCTAGATGGCAATTGGGACCGCCTACCGTCCAAATGCCTATTCATCAGACCAGGAATACTTCAAAGATCTCGCAGAGGCATATGCGGCCGAGTTTCTTGTACTCTACAACGAAGGGCTGCGTTCAATCCAGATCGACGACCCGTGTCTTTTGTTCTTCGTGACGGATGAATTCCGATCTGGCTGTGTTGCGGATGGTGTAGACCCTGATGAGTTACTCGACCAATATATCTGGGCACACAATCAGTGTCTACTCGGAAAACCCGCAGACCTTCATGTTGGACTGCACCTGTGCTGTGGAAACATGACCTGTTCAACTCATATCATGAGCGGATCGTACGAGCGCATTGCCAAGAAAAAGTTCACCGAATTGGCTTATGATACGTACTACCTTCAGTGAGTCGCTGCCATCATCTGAATTGGGCATTGATGGAAAGACATTGCTAAGTAATATTGGCTTTCAAGATACGACACCGAGAGGGCTGTGACTTGAGCCTCTCCGCCATTTGCCCACCGGCAAGAACGTCATTTTAGGCATAGTTTCTACCAAGTCGCCGGAGCTGGAGGATTTGGACGTACTTGTTACTCGTGTGAATTCCGCAGCGGAGGTCATAGCTCGTGGACAGGGTCGCAGTGTGGATGAAGTGTTAGAATCAGTCCGCAATGCGGATTTGCTAGTATGAGCTCCGGCAGGGGCAGTGGAATGACGATGAACATTATGTGGGAAAAGCTAGTCTTGGTTGAACGACTCGCTAAGCGAATCTGGGCTTGAGCTTTTCTACCATCATTCCATTAGGTGTGAGTTGCAGAAATTTGAAACTTTGGTAAATCGGGCAATAGTATCCATTCTGCTTCATGGGTCGAACATGGTCTTATCGAACCTTAGGCTTCGGGTATTTTGCGAAAAACCTCGCCCAAGGACGTTCTAGATTTCTAGAACGATCGAGATTCAACGCCTATCGCTGCGATGAAGTCCGATCCGAAGGGCACTGAAATGGTTAAAACCTAGTGCTGACAATCGCATGGACGCTATATATTGAGGCGGTGTCACGGTCTTAGATGATTTAATCCCTCTAGGTAGAAGACATTTTAAATCTACCATCCTTTTTCTGTCATTATTTCGGAGATAATGATCGATATCAGATTAGCTTGAAACTATATCACCTTAAGCGAAGGGACGATCTGCAGATACAAATCAAGAATTCCAGCCAGTTCAGGGAATCGCGCCGGAAGCCGAAGAAACTCCGGGAACAAAGCGGGGATCCCGCGGTTGCAATGATCGACCACATGGCTGCCCCTGAGACTCTCGTTGGACTGTCTGATCGCTCCTTCAGCGTACTCAGCATAGTAGTGTGCATAAGTCAAGACCACACGACCCGCACGGTGCTGCCAATCTTCACCAATCCGCGTCATTCGTACCTGACTTCTTGTGGAGTCGCTAAGGAACGCGTCGTGGATGTCTGCCTCAATCCAGAAGGCGATCGTCGCCATCGGCCGTTCGATAGCCGTGAGATCCACTCTCAAGGCGGATAAGCCGTTGGATGGTTCGATGACTGAAACGTATAAAATCCAGACCCAAAATCCTTGAGCGAAAGACGGTGACTGCTTGCATTCACTGGAAGGCTACCGTGGATTTGAACTCAGACTAGCAAGATGCAGTTCAACACGATCGCGGCCCTGTTGGCCTCGCTATCAGTTGTGGGATCCGTTAATGCAGTCAACATCATCTCTTCCAACGACGATGGCTGGGCCGAGGTGAACATTCGAGCTCTCTTTGACACCCTCACTGCTGGTGGTCACTCCGTTGTGGTAGCTGCACCAGCTGAGAATCAGAGCGGAACCGGTGAACCGATCATAGAATCTCCCCTTACTGCGATCAGTTACTGATACTGTTGATCTCCCAGGGTCCTCCCAAAAGACACCCACAACTCTCACCGAAGCCTGTGAATTCAACAGCTGCCCTTCGGGTAGTCCAGCTGTGGGATACAATGCTTCCCAGCCTCGTCTGAATTATATAAATTCGTATCCGGCGACGTCTATGAAGTACGGCATCAACTCGATTGGCCCTCGGTTTTTCAATGGTGCCCCCAATCTCGCGGTCGCTGGTCCGAATGTGAGTCGAGAAATTCCGAGAGAAGCTTGGAATTTGCCCAAGTCAAATGTGCGAATTCTAATTTCATCCTCTAGGTTGGAAACAACATTGGCCTGGCAGTCTTGCTGTCCGGCACCGTTGGAGCGACCACCTATGCTGCATATAATGCGGGAATCCCAGCTGTTGCATTCTCTGGAGCTACCGGCTCCCAGACGGCATGGAACGCTTCTGCAACCTACCCGGATTACAGTCAAATCTACGCAGATCTTGCGCTCAACCTGACAGACCACCTAGTCACCTCTGGGGCACCTTATCTCTCAAACAATGTGAGTATTCTCTCTACAGCGACTATTATATTATCTGATGACTAAATCACATCTTTTAGATCTGGCTCAATGTGAACTTCGGGGCCGTCTCTTCGGAATGCAGCAAGGCCGAGGACTTTTCATTCGTGCTTTCACGAATCCATGTCGCGATTCCCCTCATCACTGCCGACGACGTGACGACCTGTGGTAGCTCCCGGCTGCCGAGCGAGATCGCAGTGTCTCTCAAATCAGGTTGTTACGCAAGCGTGTCAGTCGGCGTGGCGGACACCAAGGGAGACGCGAACGCCACTATGCAGGAGGTTGTTCTGAAGAAGCTGAGCACTCTCCTCACTTGCTTGCCGTAATTGGTGGAGCTTTTTACACATGTAGAACCTCCAGCACCTATCAGCTGGCCATGCAAGCCCATGCAATGTACTATAGCTTAGGCTCTATGTTCCTAAATGCTAGCCACACAACTTAGTGCACAAAATGACCGACCATTTCATGCGGAATGATCATTTTGTGTCCGTCGTTAATGAAGTAGTCAATAAAAAGTGCGCTATATCACGGAAGGATGGCCAGACTAACGATATAGATAAACAAAGTCTTCATCAGAGACGAATCAAGAAAGGCGGGGAACCCACGAGGAACATAATCGGCGAGATACCTCATCAAGGTGGGGTACCGAACTGTCGGCCACCATCCCATTTCGGGACTGAAGACCGTTTCGGAGCTGGATGGTCTCGGAGCCCGTGCAGATCTTTGTCTATCATGCTGTGAGCTTTCGAATCGGAGAAATCCCTATTAACCGCTGAAAAATCTTAGACAGGGATTGCAAGATATATAAATCAAGCCTAATCCCTCAACAAAAATTTCCAACAACCAGCTCCTTGTTTAGAAACATCAGTACCAAGAAGCCATGATCTTCAACCGAGTCCTTGGCCCTTTGGCCGTATGCTCCTTGGCTGCGGCGAACCCCACTCGCAAGCTCGACCGTCGTGGAACTATCGGAAATGCTGATATAGGTAAATTGCCCTTCACGATTCCTCGGTCCTTAATATCGAAGTATCACTTGGATTCCATTTCATTATAGATTGAGGAATGCTTCTTCAGAGTCCTTTACTGACATCTATTGCTCAAAAAGTTGGCTTTTCTGAGACCGTTCCGTCTGGTACCACTGGTGAGGTCTATCTCGCCTACAAACCTCACTTGTATGTGCAGAATGGCTGTGTGCCATTCCCAGCTGTGGATGCAAGTGGAAATACCAAGTAAGTCCGTATATATTGTCATTCTGGGTGACTTTCGAAAGCTTACTGTTTCAGCGCTGGTTTGAAAACGACTGGTGCTTCCAACGGTGACTGCAGTAGCAGCACAGGCCAGGTTTATGTTCGTGGCACAACCTATGGGGATTACTATGGACTGATGTACGCGTGGTATATGCCCAAGGATGAGCCATCCACGGGCCTTGGCCACCGTCACGACTGGGAGGGAGTCATCGTGTGGCTGTCTAGCTCTTCAAGCACCACGGCTAGCAATGTTGTTGCTGTTTGCCCTTCGGCTCATGGTGGATGGGACTGCTCTACCGATGGGTATACTCTTGATGGCACCTCGCCATTGATCAAGTACTTCAGTATCTGGCCTGTGGATCACCAGTGTGGCTTGACAAGCACAGTTGGCGGTACCCAGCCTTTGATCGCATGGGAGTCCTTGCCTACTGTGGCCCAAGATGCTTTGGACACCACCGACTTCGGTGATGCCATCGTGCCATTCATTGATGCCCACTTTACTACAAACTTGGGCAACGCCAGTTTCTGAGCAGAACAAAGGCGTTCCGAGACCGATGCTTGCCAGGTACATAACCTATCGAGAGTGAGCCTTCCATCGAACAGCAATTGTTCCCGCTGGGCCTAAGCTATAAATCCATGGTTTGATCCCACATTCTCAATACACACCTCACATGAGTATAATGGGAGCGTGAGTTATTGTTGATGAAATGAAGAACTTTTTGTATATGAGTCTATCCGAATAGAAAGAGACCACCCTCGTTCAAAAAGGAAAAAGAAAATGTTGATTGAATAAGAAGAATGATCTATAAGGGATATATAAAGAGCAGGAATTTCTATGTATAGTGAAGGAAAGCGTCCAGAGTGAGAAAGAACCAAAGAACGGGAAATGTTGACAATTTGAGAAGCGCTTTGATCAACCGTGGGAGAAAGATTCAGACGGAGGATGGTACACGGTTTTCTGTGTCCATTATTCCGATCGGGCGCTTTTGGTCTTCTTACTGCGCAGTTTCATCATAAGAAACACGCAAGCATAAGACGAGATGCAGAACAAGGCGGTGATACCAGTCTAGAATATTTCGTCAGTAATGAATCGGAACAGTAGACAAATCAAAAATAACTTACATCTCTCCAGGAGTAGTATTTGGCTCGGAGGTTGAAAGTTTTGGCATAGTCAGCACCTGTGGAATACTGACAGAACGAGCAAGTGCTTGTAGAGTTTGCATCCAGCAAGTAGCCCGCTTGTGTTGAAAGGAAGTCTGCCATGTATTCACCGCAGGTTTGTCCAGAAGGAGCCCTGAAAGTGACAAATTCCGAAGGCTCGCATTTAACCTGGACATCCCACAGAACTTCACCCAGAAGGCCCCCAACAAGGTAGGTGAAGGGATCCAGATAGTAGATCCAGTAGCGCCAGAAGGCTTGCAATTGGCTGTAGGGAACGACGACACCGCAGAAACTAATCATGCCTGCGCCCAGCAAGACCGGATTCATAACAGCCGCAAAGTATTCGTTGGGCGCATATGCAGCGATTGCCTGACCGATGGAGGTGTACAGGAACTCATAAACTAGAAGCTTGTCAGAACCGCATCGGATGGAGAAGACAGAGGAAACAAGACAACGGAATGCGTACAGATCATCTGGAGATAGAAATGGCCAGAAACACTGGCTCCAATAGGGAAGCCTACGGTGAAATAAAAGCAGACGAAGTAGAGCGTAGCACAAATAATGAGATACGGAATCTCGGCGACGGCTTGAGCACCGATAAAGGCAAGCCAATGGTAGGTTTTTGACTAGAGGATATTAGCCACTTCGGTCACCAATTTTCTAAGGGTGTGACCTTGGATCAATATGGCCATACCTTCTTTTCACGCGTCTCAAAGATATCACGATTAGCCAAGAAAAAGGGTTGCATCTGATTGATGCAGCCCGGGGCAACGAAAATGAAATTGAAGATGGCAAAGAGTCGCAACTGGAGAGAGAAAGTTCCATCTCCAACCTTCCAGAAGGTGAAACCGCTGAAAAGAGCCGCGAAGATATGGAGGATAATCTTATTCCACATGTAGTCCTTGAAAGACAGTTAGTTTCAAAGGCGACTTGATTATAAAGTGATAGATAGATCATACCGGTGAGCGCCAAATCTTGATACTGAGACGCGCAACAACCATCTTGAACTGAAACCAGTGAGAGGTAGCGAAATTGGCGGTGTCTTCCACATAGTTTGGATCCGCAAGACCGGATTTGTTCAAGGCCTCAAGCTCCTCGAGGGCCTTTCGTCGCTCCTCGGATTGACTCCAAACCTCAACCCAGTCTGTCTTCTCCGTCGAGCCGCTTCCTTGTACAACATCGATGATATGCTCGGCTGGGTTGGCATCAGGTGGGCAAGGTGCGCCGTTGCGTGCGAAATAATCCAGGATCTTGCTCGATTCATTGCCGGCTGCAGGTTTGAAATGTCAGCGCTAGATACAAAACCTGAGTGCTTGACTAGACCCACTCTCTCCAAAGTACGTCATTCTTCCGCCCTTTGCAAGAAGCAGAAGACCATCGAATGCGTCGAACAAGACAGCAGAAGGTTGGTGGATGGTGCACTTCCATAAATTAGCACCAGAAGAACTCAAAGGTCTCATGAATATCTTACCAGCACAGCTTGGCCTCCGTCAACAAGCTTGCGTAGGAACCGCACGATATTGTATGCACTCTGTCCATCAAGACCTGAGGTAGGCTCATCCAGGAAAAGCAGAGAAGGCTTTGCCACAAGTTCGACACCTAGGGTCACCCGCTTGCGCTGTTCAATACTGAGACCGGCACCCGGAACTATTGAATGTTAGTTTCTGTGAATAAAAGAGGAACAAATCGCTCTGACCTCCAATCAAAGCGTCCACGATATCTCCGAGTTCCAGGAGGTTGATAATGTGATCCACGTAAGCAATTTTCTCCTCATGTGAAACTGTAGACGGTTGACGAAGAACGGCAGAGAAGATGAGTGCTTCCCTCACGGTCGCTGTTGGCTCGTGTACATCCAATTGTTCGCAGTAACCCGTGGTTCTTTGGAAGCTAATGCCCTGTGGGCGCCCGTCGATCAGGATTGATCCATAAATCTCACCCGAGTCCTTTCTCTGAGCAAGAACATCCAATAGTCTGTGAATTTTGTAAGCAAAGTCCCTGAGAAAATGGTCAAGAGAGTCACCGACGTTGTTTTTCCAGCCCCGGAAGCTCCCATCAACGCAACGAGATTTCCGGGCTTCACATAACCAAACACTTTGTTCAAAAGCTGTTTCTTTTCTCCATTGAACGGAACTTGGTAATCAAGGTCATGCCATGTGAAGATGGATTGTTTTGCTGAGCCGGTGAGGGCCGGCGGGTCTTCCTTCTTCTGGGCCGTAATATTCATCTTTGGGTCAGTGGCTCGCTTTTTCTCACTTCCACGCTTGTAGAGCAAGACGGAGGAGCTGCTCTGGCTGTTCTTAAGCTCAAAGCCCATCGATGTCAAAAAGATGAAGAATAGCCAGAATCCGACAATGACTCCGAAGCTGCGCCAGATGTGGCCGAACGAATAGCTGTACTGCTCTCGGATGTAAGCCTCGCCATCAATGATGCCGTCGGCATTGCTTCCAAGCACTGAACAGCCTCGGTGCGGCGAGGCAGCATCTGAATAGCCAGAACCGTATGGGATATAGTCAGGCTCTTTGCAGACAAGTTGCCGACCGACAAACTCATTTGCCATGAGCGCCTCGAATGCGTATGCTCCCGGGTTCAGGTAAAAAATCCAGCGGAACCACACGTGCATCTTGTTGAACGGCACCAGATAACCTGAACCGATTTGGTTAGCGGATGGTCTACTCAAGGGAATGTCCAGATCTATAACATACCTCCATAGACAAAGAAAACCGTTGAAAGAAGACCAGACATCTTGGAAGCATTTCCAAATCGAGAGCAGAGGGCGCCAATCGCTCGGAACAGCTGGATGAAGCACAAGGTTTGCACAATGATAATAATCCAGTAAGTGAAGAACCTTCCGGCATCCATTTGCAAAGCCGCCATAAAGTACAGGATCAGCGAGAAGCAAGTCACTTGAATCATCACAACTGGCACATCTGTAATGGCATTGGCAATGCAGAAAGCTGTTGGGCGGTAAAATCCGAATCGCTTTTGACGGGAGAGAATTGGGCGACCCATGAAAGACGCGGTCGTCTCAGACAAGGACTCGAGAAGGAAGTAGAGGACTGGGAAGAAGAGCACACCGGGGCGCAAGAAGATAGAGCTGCTATCCTCGGCGAGGTTGTAGAAGATAGATCCACAAACCAATGCCTGAATGATAGCCGAGCCGACTTTAACCATGAGGGAGAACTTGTCTCCCCACATGATTTGGAACTGCCGCAAAGTGCAAGAACGAACCTGATCCAGAAGGTTTGCCGTGTAGACACTCTGATTGCGAGGAAGATGCTGTTTGCGCTTTTCGCTGGATACGGCCATCTTAAGATCCTCCGTCTCGTGGCTCAGCTTGTCAGGGGAATCAATGGAATCCAGTTGCTCTTGGCAGATATAGCTGTCGCGGTATCGAGACTCGAATTCTCCCGCAGTATTGGGTACTTTGTCCTCCCATCCGGCACGGACGATTCTCTCCGTGAGGACGGTAACAGACGTAAGAAAATCCGCAATATTGGCGCCCTTAGGACAAGTGAAGCCAAGTGACTCGAAGTATCCCTTAGCCAATCGACGAGGGCCATAGTAAGTCACTCTGCCTTCGGCCAAGACGAGAACCTTGTCAAAGGTATCGTAGATTCCATTTCCAGCTTGATAGGTGGTGGTAATGATGGTCTTTTGATTCTCGTCTGCTTCCCGTCGCAGCAATCGTGCAAACTCCACGGCAGCCTTTGAGTCGAGACCACGCGTAGGATTATCCCACATTTGAACGGGGCTCTGTTTCACCCAAGGTTAGCTCATGAGATGGAGTTTAGAATAGTTTGATTACTGACCTGCCCTGCCATCACTTCGGCTAGAGACACGCGCTTTCGCTCGCCTCCCGAAACTCCGCGAATGAACTCATTGCCAACACGAGTCTTCTTCGTATGCCCGATACCGAGAGAGTCAAGAATAACATCGCGTTTTTCCAAAACATAGTCTTTGCGGTTGGCTAGCGCCTCTGGTCGCTCATTGGGAACTTTGTTTCGGAGCGCAAACTTCATCGTCCGGTTGACGGTGAGAGTTGGGAAGTGCAAATCATCTGCAGAGATAAATTTGTTAGCAAGGCGACATTCAAGTTAAGGATAACTATAAACTAACCTTCGTTGTTGAACATGATCTGCTGACGGAATTGCTTTGCAGCTTTGTGATCCATACTTCCATATCGAGTCTCACCACTGACTTCATCAAAAGTCTCTCGGTCATTTGCAAGAACTTGTAGAAGGGATGTACAGCCAGATCCTGGACGACCGAGAACCAGAAGCTACATTTGTTAACCTCAAAATATTGCGGGCGGCAAAATCACGTTACATACCATTTCCCCTGGCTTGACTTGTCCTGACACATCTTTCAGAATTGTCTATCATAGTGTTAGTATTTACGCCCAAACCCTTATTATACTGTGATCTCATACCCGTTTGTGTCTCTGCGTCCGTTTGAACAAATCGCCGAGCTGGCGGGGGTCAACCTCTGACCACAACGTACTTCCCAATGCAGCATCTGGTGCCGTCACTCGAACATTAAGATCGCGAAATGTCACCGTGAGGCGTTTGCGAATACTGCCATCATAGCCAGCACTTTCCAAGTCGGCAGGTGTTATCGTCCCTGATGATGGAGTATCCATCTTGGCTGATTTAGTCGCCCAAAATGGAATTCGACCTGGTGACTCTTCTTTTCTTGTACAATAGATGTTTTCAATCAAACTTCGTATCTTATATCGTGGCTTGATATTCCAAACGGGGAGAAACTTAAAACATGATGTCAATTGATATTTAAAAGACCATCCCCAAAATTGCAGCGCGATGTCTAAGCTGCAGTACTCATACTTTTACATCCGTATAGCCGAGAAGTGGGTCCTTCGGAGATCCGGCCTTATCATCGTGCCTGCAATCTTCGATAATCCGGGATTAACAGTAGGGCGCACAACGGAAATATCTGCGTAGGCCATCGGGTTTACCCTTTTCTCCCCTTCTTGTACCATCGTTTGTCAAGACGAGGGCTGAATAATGGATCCACTACGGGGTTTATCCCTGAAGAGCTTTGTCAGAACGCAGCTATCACGTTTATCTTCGGATATAAACCTATTTTCGACGATCTCGATCTGAAATATTTTCCGAACTGTGTGGATCATCAGCCAAAGCTCAGTCACCGAAATACTAGCGGCCCTTCTAGAAGGCCCATTTTGCGGCAGTTCTCAGATCAGGGGCGGCGAGCTGTCAATACAAGCTTTGACCTCTAGTTTGATTGTGCCTTGATGGATTGCGTAGCCTCGGCTTTACATGGAGTTATGGCCACCTCCACCTAGCAAGTGGCAAATCCTTTTGATCCCCTTTGATTTTAGGGTCGACAGATCAGCAAATCTACACTTCCACGTCGTTAGTTGTGCTCCTCTGTTTGTTTATGTATTTGTTTTGCTCGCTTCCAGGTTTTCAGATATCTGATAAGTCGGTTGAGACAACATTTTAGCATTAATTGCATAAAGATGCCGGATTTTGTCATAGTTTGTGTCAAAAATGATCGTTACTTACTTTGCACTCCGGCCAACTTCAACCGGGAAATCTATTAGATATTATACAGGTAGGCCAACAAAGAGAGCTGAAACATAAATCCCCCAACCTGCACGAAATGATAAACACTTTTAAGGGAATGCAGAATCTGCAGCCTGATGTGTCGAGAAAAAGGCCTCCAAGTCCATAGTCGAAAAATCAAAGTTCCAACCCATGTCAGACTGAGTAAAATCAAGTAGATCCTCATTTGAAGCCCCCGATCCCCCCGTCTCCGGTCCATCGAGTAACGGCAAATTCCATTGTGGCGTTGATAAGTCTGGTTGTTGGCTGAAGAAGGGTCTTTGAGGGAGTGATGGGTCTGGAGGGACCCATGACTGATTATTGTGGTTTCCTGGGGCCTGGGAGATGGAAGTTGGTCGTTGTATGTTCGATGAGGAATATTCTTCGGCTTTTGGATAGGGTGACCACTCATAGGAAGGGTTGATCTTGCGCAGGGTTGTTTGAATGGCTGAGATGGTGGCTTTAATTGGATCACCTTCTCGCATCGTGCTCAGGCTTTGTAGGGATGCGTAGATCCAAGGTAGATGGGTTGTGGCTGTGGTTGGGTCGTGAAGAAGGTCGTATATCAGGGTGAAGGTCGAGCTGGCGAGGAAATATCCGTGGTATCGTAGTTGCTAAGGGGAAGATCAGTGAATAGTCTGGAACATGGCTGGGCGGACTGAATGTACCTTAACAAAGTCATTACTGCGAGACGCTTCGCATAGATGATGGATAGTTTTCTCTCGCAGCTGTAAGGGTGTGATTGCAGGCCTCATTCAACCAAGTCGGCATCTCGGTCGGGCGACTTGCCGAGCCCCCGCCAGGCTGTTGAAGAGACGTTTGCATGTCCCTCTGCCAGTGACCACGGAAAATCAGGAAGGGGCGGAAGGTCAGAAGGAGAGTATGATAGTATACTGTTGTTAGTTAATAGCCAGATCGATCAAGACGGGGTAAGAGACCTTACGAGTAATAAATATCGTCTGACGGACACCTAGAGAACCCGTTTGGATACTCCCATTCAGGCCAAACCCGAGCGCCTGCTGCATCTGCACCTCATGGGCACGAAGGTCATGAGCGATCGATCGAGCTACTCGCCACATGTGCAACAATGACTCGTGTCGTTGGCCGTAAATCTCATCACCGGAACGAGAAACAGTCTTGCAAAATTCAGTCAAGAGCCGAATGAACGGATCTTTTGCATATTCAATAGCGACATCCCTCAAGGACAATGAGCTCGGTCGACCGACGTGAAAGCAGAACCACCTGGAATGCCAGTTAGCAATTTATTTGATCCAATCTTTTGAATGAATGGGGACAGACGTTTCGAAGGAATAGAGAGACCAGAATGTGATTCGTCGCTCTTCAATGGTCTCCTGGTCTTGAGTGTCCTCATGAGGGACGTCTTTGTGCAGGCCAGCAGAGAGGGCCTTGCGAGCGGCTGATCCCAGATACAAGAAAGCTGAATTCGGTCGACCTTGTTCATTCTGGTAGTTCGCGTATTGACTGGAAGACTATGTCAGTTTTGAAAGTTCAATCGAGGGTGGCAGGGGCCGACATATCATAAGTAATCCGATTTGCACGGTCTGTAGGTTTACAACGTCATCATATGAGACCAACGACGCCTTGACACGATCAAAAAGAACATCTCCCCAGGCGAAATGATCGGTGCCTAGCGAGCCCGTTGCTAAGCTGATCAAGATGATAGCTTGAGTAAGGGCATCGGGATGAATAGTAGGGGATGGATTGTAGAGCTTCTCCAAACATTGCTCGTAGTAAGCCTTGGGGCGATGAGGCAGCATATGATAGAGATGAGTTAAGAATCGTGAGAGAAATAGCTTTGCCAGCTCATATGGCAAGAACATCATAGGGATGTCACTTGGGATGTTGGACTTGCCGATCTCATGAGTATCTGGAGTTCCGAAGAAGATGCGTCTGAAGCTGAACAAGTCCAGGCCAGCACTTGCTTCTTCCACTTCGCCAGAAGGTGCCGGGTGAATGGTTGGATTAGAAACAAGGTCACGATAGGTGTGTTGCATTAGTGAGAAATGCGAGGTTGGCCCATAGTATAACTGCATCTGGCATGAAGGCGATGCCATATGAGTTGCCGATACACTATTGGGGAACTCAAGCATCATCGATGGGCCTCCAGTTTTAAATGACTGAGTAACTGGCGGAGAGACTCGCTGGGGCTGCTTGTCCTCATTATCAGAATGTGGATATTCATGCTTTTTCCTCCGGTGTCGGATGACGTCTCGGTAGACACAGGGAGTGTTTCGCTGCTGGCATGTTTTGCACCTGGGAGGAATTGTCAGATCATCATCCACTGCCAGTCTATTAGACCCAAGGGGCGCAATCTCACGGGTTCACTCCATTACACCGGATTTTGCGTTTTCGACACTCCTGGCAGGCCTTAGGAATGCGCCAACCCGCAGTGGGGGGTTTAGACGCATCAGCCATATCCGAACGACAAGGATGGCAAACTCGGCACTAGGGTCCTGGGCATGCAGGGGTGATGTTCCAGTACGGGCAGTAACCAATTAGCCGAGCAATGAAATTGAGAGACACTCGGCCCCTAGTGGCTTTCTGTACAATGGCTATGGGGATTGATTCTTGTGTGGTGGATATGAAAAGGGCGTGGGTTCATCCGCTTCATCCGTCTATATCCGAAGAGTCACGTGATTACACGGTCGCATTGCTTCATTCATTCCAATGATAAAGGAGACAAGTCCTCACGATGAAATCCCACGAAAAAAAATCTATAAAATTGTCTCAAGAACCAAGGGCCGTGGGGGTAAGTGGACCTGGAACTAAGTTGTACTGGCTGTATGCGGTGCTTCTCATTCAGACAAGGGACTAATTATGACACAGAACTGAGCAAATCCACTCAAAAGGACCGACGTACCCGATGAATTGATTGCATAATAGAGACCATGATTGTGACAACAGGCTCCATGGCCTAAGTCTATGGTCTGAACGTTGGATGTAGCCCAATTTGGGTGGATTCTGGCAATAGAGGCAAGGGAGCCACATACTCTCATATTCTGAAAGTTCAGATGATCAGCAAGAGTAGTGGACTTTCCCCGAATAGAAGAAGATCCAAACAGACTATCATAACGGACCTCAAGGGACTGACTCGCCAACTCAGATAGCCGATGTGCTTCCGATGGTAGTGACCGTCGGAACCCCCGTGTCCGCGTCAACAAGGCACAGCTGCTAAGATGTCGGCCCTGGCAGTTTTCACCTGATCACTAATAACGGAGTCACTACGGAGTACAGTAGTAGATATGGTACTCTGTAGAGTGTGGAAGATGAAGAGTCTGGTAGAGTCAGTTGGCAGTGGCTATCGTGGCGTTGCCGAGACCGTGTCGGGTAGAGCTATCGGCACTTGATGCTCACGGGTGACAGGCCGAAAGATGGAAAGATTATTAGGCTTGGGCGGCAATGAGAAGCAGGCTGAGTTGCTGAGTTTCTAAGTCTCTTGAGTTTGAGTTTTGTCTGTAAGGAAGTGCTTCAAAGGGCTCAGCATACATGCCGTACTGTAGTGTTGAACACACGCGGGACTGGTCCCGCTTGACGGTTTATCTTCCTGTCAGCTCCGTCCGGGGTTAACAGGGTGTCCGGGGTAGAACCCGAACCATTCTCGCTAAAGGACTCCATCGGATCGGAATTGTACCAGTCATTCGGAAGCAATCCGTACTAGCGTGACCCCGTCCATGATTCACCTCCACGTTTATCCTTCCCCATGTTTTGCGATGGGACCCTGAGTCAAGTGTGGATTGACCCACTCCAATTATACAAAGCTGGAGAAGGATGATAGACACATAGATTATCTTAACTGTGATGTCTGTTTGATGTACGGAATAATAGAGCTGCATAGGAGACTAACAAACACCTGCGCCCAAATCTGCATCATGATGATTGGCCTATTCTTCCCTCAAACTCTCCGGTCCCGCCAAGTGCGCCTCCCACCGAAAAACAACGCAAGTCACCAACTGCCAAGCAGACCGACTCCGTTCATTCTATGGATGGCTCATGCCCTTTGGGTCCTTTTCCGAACGAAGAGGCGTCGATGATTCTTGGCGCCGGCAAATCCAGATCAGAGGATAGCCTTCTAGCTGAGACTGGGGAAAACTCGTACCGCGGTCAATGCATACCTTATTGCTCAGATTTGCCTTCCCCATAGTCTAGACATTCCCCGCAACCCCAGATTCGATCTAGTTCGGGACTTCCGAGCGGGAGATAAAAAATGAGGGACCTACAGCAGACCGGGGAGGACATAAAGCTATAAATGAGGACAGGATGCACCCGGTGATCGTTATAAGCGACTGCTTGGCAACGGATTCTCACATTTCCACCCCCTCCTCTGCGCCCGTGAAACCTCCTAGCCCCTAGATCCCTACTGAATTCTTTTTCTTCCTTCATGGCTCCGACCATGGCGATTCCTGTGGCCGACCCTGAGGCTGCCAGGGATGAAAAGGCTATCTCTGATCATAAGGAAGACCTCATGACCGAAGTAGCTCGCGATGCCGCAGAGCGTGGCCATCTGGCGACCGATCAATATGGACATCCCATTGTCGAGTTTGACAAAGCCGCCGAATCCCGGCTGCGATTGAAGATTGATCTGTATATTGTTCCTACGGTGGCTTTGATGTATCTTTTCTGTTTCATTGATCGGGCGAATATCGGTAAGTCAGACTCATGGACAAGTTCAACCAGACCCCAAGCTAACGAAAGACAATCTGTGCAGGCAATGCCAAGCTGGCCGGTTTCACCAAGGATCTCGGATTGAAGGGTTACGATTACAATGCAGTACTGTCTATTTTCTTCGTCGCATATATCATTTTCGAAATTCCCAGCAATGTAAGGCATACTCTGGTCATCTGGGCAGTTGGATCCCAGGAAGAACTCGACTGACAACGCATCTATCATATAGCTCGCATGTAAGTGGATTGGACCAGGATGGTTCCTTCCTGCTGTTACGCTAGGATTCGGTATCTGTTCGGTTGCGACAGCTTTCGTCCATGACATCCACGGTGCCTCTGGTGTCCGTTTCTTGCTCGGCATGTTCGAGGCTGGTCTGTTGCCCGGTATCGCCTACTATCTGTCTCGATGGTACCGCCGCAGTGAGGTGAGTCTCTGTCTTCGCCTGTGTGAGTATTGAATATCTTGTCGCTAACAAGATCTAGCTGGCTTTCCGTCTCTCCCTGTACATTGTCATGGCCCCTCTCGCCGGAGCTTTTGGTGGCCTTCTCGCTTCCGGTATCCTCACCCTGGATCACTTCGGCGGTCTCCGCAGCTGGCGCATGCTCTTTGCCATCGAAGGCATCATCACCATCGGAGTGGCTGTTCTCGCATTCTTCACGATGACCGATCGTCCGGAAACTGCCCGCTGGCTCTCACAGGAAGAGAAGGATCTGGCCATTGCCCGTGTCAAGTCGGAGCGTATCGGAACTACCGAGGTTCTCGACAAGATGGACCTGACCAAGACTCTGCGAGGCATCTTCAGCCCCATCACTCTGGTCACCGCGTTTGTCTTCCTGCTGAACAACATCACCGTCCAGGGATTGGGATTCTTTGCCCCGACCATTGTCCAGACTATCTACCCGCACGCGACCGTGGTGTCTCAGCAGCTCCACACTGTTCCTCCCTATGTCGTGGGCGCGTTCTTCACTGTTCTGTTCCCCTTCCTCAGCTGGCGATTTGATCAGCGCTTGATCTTCTTCGTTATCAGCCCGCCCCTGATGATGACTGGGTACATCATGTTCTTGGCCAGTGAGAACCCCATGGTCCGGTACGGAGCTACCTTCATCATTGCTAGTGGAGCCTTCGCCTTTGGTGCCCTCTGCACCGCCCACGCTTCTGCGAACGTGGTCTCTGACACGGCTCGCTCCTCGGCGATCGGAACTGTTGTCATGTTCGGCAACATCGGTGGATTGATCTCCACCTGGTCTTTCCTGCCCTCTGATGCGCCCAACTACCACATTGGCAATGGCCTGAATCTGGCAACTTCCTCCATGACTCTTGTGCTTGGCGCGAGCTTGTGGATGTGGATTTTGTGGGACAACCGGAGACGTAGCAAGGTTGATGTCAATGCTGTATTGGCGGGTCTTTCGCAGAAGCAGATTCAGGATATGGATTGGCGCAACCCTGCTTTCCGCTGGCGCCCGTGATCTCTCCATCTCTGTGATGGGACGGTTTTTATGATGTTTTCGACTCATAGGAAGGACTTGATGTCTTTATTTTCTGTTGAGGGTGTATTAAATTATTATGAATGTGAATATTGCTTCAATTTGAAGCACAATCTTTGGCACTGTTCCCTTTTGAGTCTTGAGTGGTATTTTGTAGTAACCTCAAGCGAATTCAGTAACCAGCCTCTGTAAGTGAAATTTCAGTGAAGGTTGCCGAGAGAACTGGGCAGCGGCCTGCTGTAGGGGGTCGATTGTGCAGATGGCGCCTGATATCAGACACGTGGTGTAGGCTAGATCCGCTTCTCACATGCGACGAGGCTGGATTTAGTTTCTGACTTAAACAAGCACGAGATGATAAGCCTCTACAATGTATTGAATGATGAATAAGTACAAGAAAGAGCAAATACCTCGATGTGGACATCTTCGGTGACTTGCTTTTTCGAGAGCCCGACTCCCGGTTCGGGTTTCGGGTTTTGTACTTGTCAGGCTGGGCTTCCTTCCCAGGCCGGTCCCGGGGTGTCACCACGAGAATAAATATGCGATTGTTTACCCAAACTTCCAAACCTGCCCTCCAAGACTCACCAGAATCGAAAACCAACTATTAACCAATCTTCATGTCTTGTGAAGCGTGCCGTAGTATTCCGCCCGTGACGGCAAATGGATACACCCCCCAAGGCCAGTTTGAGAAAATCGCCGGCCTCAACACCTGTAAGATGACTATCCCCCCTCCCTCGTGAAACTGCCTGACGAGTCTAACCAAATATCTTCCAGACGTCACCGGCAAAGCAGATGCAAAGATTGGACTCGTAGACATCTACGATGTCTTTGGAATGGCCAGCCAGACCATCCAAGGTGCGGATCTGCTCGCAGCGAGGCTGAATGCAGTGGTGCTCATCCCGGACTTTTTTGATGGAGAGCCGCTGAAGCATGAATATGTTCCCGCCAACACCGAGGAGAAGAAACAGATCATTGCGGAATTTATGGCCCACAAAGCCAATATCCCGCGCAACGTTGGTGTGGTGATCGAGGCCGTTGAGGAATATCGCACCCGATTCTTGTCTGTCCGGAAGTGGGGTGGGTTTGGCCTATGCTGGGGTGGAAAGGCAAGTCTGACCTTCAAGCAAGATGATGCCACATTTAGAGACTGACTACTGTCAATAAGGTCACCGTTCTGGCGTCTGGCCCCAACACCCCGTTCGCTGCGTCGGGCCAAGTGCATCCCGGGTAAGGCCTTTGTTCAGACTCTAATGAACCCTACTGACCAGAAGCTAATGTTCCTCCACAGAAGGGCCGACCCGGCGGATGCGCAAGCGCTGTACATTCCTCATATCATGCTGGCCTCTAAAGATGAGCCCGCTGACGTTATCGCGGGCTACGCTGACTTCTTTGCCAAGGGCGAGAAGGAAGGATATGTTGAAACATACAGCAAAATGTGGCATGGATGGATGGGTGCTCGAGCGGATCTTGAGCAGGAGGAAAGCCGGGCTGAATACGCTCGTGGGTGAGTTTTGGATTGACGTGATGGTTACTGAAAATTGGATACTGATTCATCATTTCTATTCCAGGTACAACCAGCTGGCCGACTTTTTTGAGAAGCACCTCTCTTGAAAGCCCCATGTTAGACAAGTAGCAGTGCCTCCTTGTGTACGGAGTATATCAATATCTGATTCAACAAAGCGCACATAAACCTCCTGCGCGGACATTCTCGCCGCAATATATTTCTTCTGTTGTAAACCACTCGCTCTCTGTAGGTGATCCAAATCTCAAGATGCATTGGAATTTTTATTCTAGCTCTTTGCTTTCTTGATCTGATTTGATAAATTAATCTTCAACGTAGAAAGAACGCACCAATGATGTTGTTGGCAACTTCACCTGCAGGCAAGTCGGAAATGCTGCTTAGTAAAACATGGTGCGCACCAATTGGATATCCACAAGTCTGAATTGCTATAAAGCCCCAATCTGGCAATTTATGTGGGCATAATAATGACTAATACATGCGGGTTTAACTATCCCTAAGTTACTCCGGGATCCACTGCTGCTTCTGTTCCGTCAAGGCATGAACACCTGAGGCACCAGTGATACCTCACGTGATCGGGGAATTTCTTAGGCCGTCTAGGTGCGACTTGACCACTTTAGGCAATTTTTGAATCTTCGCCGCTGGTCGAAGCATGAAGACCCACTTGTTCGACAAATAGTGCGCGATGATTCACCCAATTCACTCAAAGCAATCCCGGTAACGGGCCGCCAACGGGATCAAAATGAAAACACATCAAGACTTGAGAGGAGAACCGGCTCATCAATGGCCATGGCATTTGGTACATATTCGATGATATTTGCCTTGATTTGATGGACGGTTCTCAACCTCATTTGACTCATGGACGCGACAAAACAAGCCATTCAAGGCGTGGTTGAGATCCATCGCTCTTCGCCCGAGAACCATCCTGCTTGTGAAACGGTATCAAATTATGAGCAAGCACCATACTCTCTCCCAATCAAGCCGAATGAAAATGACCCGTCAGAGCAAAAGGAGGGTGACGTTGTCGGCGAGGCTCCGTACAGCGTCCTCCCTCATAGCGAGAAAGCGTTCGTGATCGTCGTTGGGTCCTTCGCCGCACTGATTTCTCCGCTGTCGAGCAGCGTGTATCTTCCGGCACTGAACTCTCTTGCTCGGGATATGGACGTTTCTGTCTCCTTGATCAACCTCACTATCACGACCTACCTAGTAAGGCTACCCATTTCATCCCGCTTCTGCGACCACGAGCCGGCGAATATGCTAATCCACAATCCTTGATAGATCTTCCAGGGCTTGGCGCCATCCTTTGTCGGAAGCTTGTCCGATGGCCATGGCAGGCGACCTGCTTACATTGCCGCCTTCATTGTTTACCTCGGTGCCAACATTGGCCTTGCGCTTCAGAACAGCTACCCGGCATTGATGGCCTTGCGTTGTCTCCAATCAGCCGGTAGTAGTGGGACGATTGCCCTGGGCAGTGCTGTAGTAGCTGACCTGACCACACGCGCAGAGCGAGGAAAATACATCGGGTATGCTAGTATGGGGATTTCTCTGGGTCCTGCTCTCGGGCCAATTATTGGTGGACTTCTGGATCATTTTCTGGGATGGCGGTCCATCTTCTGGTTTCTCGTGATTCTCTCGGGAGTCTGTTTCATCGTCATTCTTCTCGTTTTGCCTGAGACGTGCCGCGCTGTAGTTGGCAATGGTTCCGTGATTCCACCTCCGGGGAACCGCCCTCTTTGGGTCATTTTGGCACCTAAATTGCGATCTCGGCGAGATGAGAGGTCCCCAGACCCGACAACCATCCAGAAACCCAAGCGGCGACCGAATCCGATCTCCTCATTACTTATTCTCGCCCAGAAGGAAGCTGGATTGATTTTGCTGTATGGGGGGCTGCTGTTCTCGGGCTACGTGGCTGTTCTGAGTACGCTTTCGACCCAACTGAGCAGCCGCTTTGGGTTCAACTCCATCCAAATCGGACTGTGTTATCTTCCAATTGGACTTGGCAGTATCAGCTCTCGCTGGACTGTTGGAACCCTGCTAGATTGGAACTTTCGAAGGGAAGCACACCTTCAGGGTATGGCCATCCACAAAAATCGACAACAAGACATCGAAAATTTCAACATTGAACGAGCTCGGCTGGCTATTGCACTACCCATGATCTATGTGGGGTCACTCAGTGTCCTCGCCTATGCCTGGGTGATGCAATACCACACGTCGCTCGCTGGTCCCATTGTGATGCTGTACTTCATGGGTCTCACCACAAGTGGTTCGTTCAATACACTGAACACGCTGGTGGTGGATGTGAATCATCAGAGCGCTGCCACGGCTGTGGCTGCTAGTAATCTTTGTCGGTGCTTCATGGGTGCTGGTACCACTGCGTTTGTGGGCCCCCTGATCGATGCCATTGGCATTGGCTGGACTGGAACTATCGTGGCTGCTCTCTGGGGCCTGTTCAGTCCTATGCTGTGGCTTATTTTTCTGCGTGGGCATTCGTGGAGGCAGGAGCAGGCGGCTCGAGAACAGCAGAGGGAGAACGCAAGTGAGGACCCACAAGCCAGACCTGACCTTGAGAAGGGAAGTAGAGAAGTTCAGTCATAATCTGGGGAAAGCTTGCTGGTACAGGATTGAATCCATCATTTATGTGTACCATTATTCGAGCACCAGTGTACTGCATATACGCCGACCTCTGTGATAAGCTATTTTGGAAAACCCTAGATGTGAACACTGCTTACAAGACACCTTCTTTGTGTAGCTGCTCATTCATGATCTACGTATCTTACGCCCCGATCCAAGGATGAAGATATAGGCCCGAGGCGTTAAGTTATCTGCCGGAAAGGGTGGAAAACGATGGTATTTGGACTAGTGGATACGGTTGGCTATGTAAATACACTGACGGTCCTGAACAGCTTTGCTCCGTCATTATCAAGGCACCAAGGCATCCTAACACCCTTTTGGAACGAAAAGTCAATGCACAGACCACTGCTTACTGACGCGGCCTTTTGTTTGTCTCAGAAGAAGCCTTTCACGAAAATATTCTGATAAGCGCGAAGCGGAAATTGCCATTTCGAATGCATCCACTTCAGAGCGGATATGCCCCCACTCTCCTATCTCGGCATCAATCTCCACAAGCGATACCCTGACTGATGATTCACCTCCATAAGCCCCGTTGCCGGTTCCAATAATGAAGGCAGCAAGTTAGGCCCTGAGAACGAGGCAGTTCATTTGAAGCAACTGCCCCGCAGTGATTTGAGGGTACTTTGTCCAGACTCCAAACGATTACTGCGGTGGAGAAAGGAATCCAAGAGCTTGCGGATTCTAGGAAAACGCCACCATCTAAAGAGCTTGCACGTTGCAGCACAAAAGTTGAGGCTATTCGCCCCAATGGTGTTCAGAGGATTGGAGCTACGCCTAGGGCCGCAAATTGAAGTGGTCTACAAAATATTTGGCTTTCATGATTCTTATTTGGATTGCCTGTGTGATCATGCATTCGACTGGTATTCAAACCCAGAGGTTCACGTCGAACTATAGTCACAAATTCACATTTCCAGACAAGCTCAGTACAAGCAGGGTTATTTTTTCGTCAGACGGGTCGTACTTTGTGTACCGTGTTTCTGATTTTCCCAGATTTGAGTTTCGTGTCACGGCCTCTGGGAAATTGATCCGACAGCTACACTTCGGTGTCTACGACAAAATTCTTTCCATGGCTCTTTCACCAGACGGGCAAATCATCGCACTGACCGTCTATAACAGAAAGAACAAGGCTTCCCAAATAATACTTTGCAATGTTGCTGATGGGAAAGAGCTGGAAGTCATACCCACTGTGGACACGAGCACGGTGCTTGCGTTTTCTCCTGACAGCCAATTACTTATAAGTGGCCATATCGAGGGATTTCGATCGTGGGGAAACGACGTGAACACAGATGTATCATCGGCCTCATGAATGGATGTGGGAAGGATACGTCAACTCGCAGGTTAAGTTTGATGGCTTTTCTCATAGTACATCAAGTATTTCCTCCTGCTAATATCATTCGATGACATCCTACATCTTTTGTTTTTGACACTAATTTAAATCGCGTGAAAAATGGCAAATGGCTGGACGAGGGCATTGACTTGCATATATACAAGGTTGCTGTTTAATCAAGATCGGAAACAAGGCAAATCATTGGCCGGACCGAGAGTGGAGGCGATTGCGCGGCATTCGGCTTCTGTGGAAGGGGAATAACAGTGTGTGGGTTTTCAGGACCTGCTTTTCGTAAAGAGTCAAGCCCAGCGTTATATTATTCCGTGCAGACGATCGCCAAGAAATCTCGGAATTATTGTCGATGCCAACTCCCGGTGCCCTCTCCATGCTCAGATTTCCTGATCATCGTAAAACAGCGAAGCTTGGATTAGCTTGGCGGGCTCCGCTTGCCGGTTATCACGGGCCGATTTCTTTCTTTACTGACGGAGTCCTTCTGGGCGCGTGGCCGCACCCCACAATGCCACAATGAGTGTTGACGACGCTAGCGCCGAGGATTACGCATGCTCCTGGCGCTATATTTAATTTTCTATGAGGTACAATGGAGTACTCTGATTATTTCTGTCGAATATCTAGGAGTCCCTTTTCTCCAAGTGTTGCCAGTCAATAATGGTCTTTGGAATCGATCATTGAGTGTGCATCTGGATCGAATCCAGCTAATCTTTCTATGAGCTATCTCCGCTTCTAGAAAGAAGACCCGCTCGACCTCTTTTCAAAGGTACATACATTATCAAAAGCCAAGATGTATTTGCCTGGTTTTGGGCGTGGGCTGAAGCGCCTGGCGCTCACGCTTCTCTTGTCTAATCCGACTGGTGCTATTGATTTGAGTATCAATGATGAACGTACGTCAATCTGTGTCGTATGACCATTGCAGAAAAGAATGATACTACGAATTGATGGGGTTGAACGATTGAGGCGTTGATTGCTGATAATATCTGAAATAGAATCCATCAAAGATGCCGCCAGCACGACCACATACGCTATGATGACCTATTATCACGGAAACGAGACCGGCCATATTCCTGGAGCATTCGCAAGCAAATGGTGGGAGGGTGCAGCTCTGTTCTTGGCCCTACTCCAGTATTGGCATTTCACAGGCGACACAACTTACAATGAGGAGCTACGGGTTGGATTACAATGGCAGTCTGGTGACGATGGTGACTATATGCCTAGCAACTATAGCAGTTACCTGGTAAACACTTGTCCTAGCTATCTCCCGGATCCGCTTATGCAGAACTGTGTTAACTCTAACCGGCGAATAGGGAAACGATGACCAGATGTTCTGGGGGCTTGCTGCCATGACGGCAGCCGAGCTACAGTTCGCAGACGTTTCGGATGGATTTTCGTGGCTCTCGCTGGCCCAAGGTGTATACAACACTCAGATCAAACGATGGGATACGACTGCATGCGATGGTGGAATGCGTTGGCAGATTTGGCCCTATGAATCGGGTTATACCATGAAAAATGCGATCTCCAATGGTGGTCTTTTCCAGCTTTCGGCTCGACTTGCTCGGTACACGAATGATGCGACATATGCGAAATGGGCCGAGAAGATCTGGAACTGGTCATTGTCTTCCCCACTACTCAGCAACTCGACTTGGAACGTTGCCGACTCCACAAATATGGATGATGATTGCGCAACTCAAGGAAACACCCAATGGTCATACAACTATGGCACATATATGATGGGCGCCGCCTATATGTATAATTATGTAAGACATGATGCCTGAATCTATCTATCTCGATAGAGTCCCCTTACTGACGGATGAAACATTAGACAAACGGGAGTTCCGAATGGCTCTCTGCCGTCAATGGACTCATGAACAAAACCTTTGATCACTTCTTCCCAACCAGCAATGGCGGTATTTTCGAGGAAGTCGTCTGCGAGCCTTCAGAAAGCTGTAACGACAATGAGATTCTTTTCAAGGGTCTCGTTTCTTCGTGGCTATCATTTACAGCTCTCTTGGTTCCATCGACATACAACACAATTCTGCCATACCTCCAAACCTCGGCCAAGGCTGCTGCCTTATCCTGCACGGGACACAATAACAACACATGTGGAGTACGGTGGTATCAATCGAAATACGACGGATGGATCGGCATGGAAGAGCAAATCAGTGCCACTAACCTCTTTGTCGCAAACATGATTCAATTCGACACCAGTGGCCCGGTCACGGCAACAACGGGTGGAGATAGTACGAGCAACCCTACACAGGGTGAGAATGATACGTCTTCATCAACAACTAAACAAAGTACCATTACGACGGGAGATAAAGCTGGTGCTGGAATTTTGACTGTTGTCTTTGTCATCGGCTGGGTCGGCTTGATGAGCTTTACAGTACTCGGAGGCTGAACATCGGGTACTGTGCTACATTTTGGTTTCGGAGTTGGATTGGTTTGATTATCGCTATTGAATGTTTTATACCTGTGTTTATTGTCCATATTATAGAGAGATTTGCCTACAAGGTGCTCCTTAACTGTGTATTATAAGCCATGGCAAAGCCCGGTAGAAGGACGGCGCCAACAAACTATCCTGATTCTTATTTGGTATTAAGCCGATATAGGAGCTTGACTTAAACACGGGGTAAAAAAATCCTCGGAAATTACATATCATCGGAAAATATTTCTGTCTACCCGGTTGAGAAGCACCACGGATGTCAAAATTCCATTGTAAGATATGTTGAAAGTTGGCCAGCCGGTGGCGGGGATAACGTTTGACCGAGAGCCGGTACACTCCAACAATTTCTATCAACAACCTTCCATAAAGAGGGTCATGGAGTGCCACTTCTGCCAGAACTAGCTTTTCAATCCGGCCACAAGCTTGTCGCCCAAAGCCTTGATGCTGTCCTCAAAAGTGTTGCGATCTCCAGCCTGCCAGTTTGCACTGCTACCTGGAACAGCATCCTTACCGATGAAGCCTAGGTATAGGACATCATCCGGTCCATGTCCGTTGTTACCATTGATACCATCGTTGGGATAGCACATTTGTGCAAGCGAAATAGAGGCTTCCCCGGTCGAGTCGAATCCATTTGTGTCACCCCAAATACCGTACAGCTATACTATGTGAGCATTTCATCCCCGAGAAGGGCAGAGAGTTCACATCAGCGAGTAGACTTACCACCTGGTTATTGCAAACAACAGCCATAACACTCAATGGCTCCATGCCGTATTGCTGAGGGTCAAAGTTGGTGTTTCCAAAAACGACGTAGGGGTGGACATTTGCATCCAAATCTTGGATACCATACTGGCTCAACTGATCCTTAAATGCAGTCTCGCCTTGTCCAGTCTCATCGCTACCACAATCACCACCCTTGTCATTTAGACCATCGCAGTCTACATCCATGTTGTCGTATTGGCCGCCATGGCCAGAACTGTGGAGATAGATGGCACCATTAATGTCGCCGCAGTATGCGAAGGTTTTGATGCCATCGATGCCATCAGTGAATCCCCCTGCAAGCTGCTTGTTGCATTTTCCAGTCTAGTTTTGTTAGAGTGGTGGATAGGCTATTGGAATGCCAAGTCTTTGTCTCACCTTGTGGTTGTTATAAATCTGCTTGAGGTTATCAGGCAGATCGTAGGCCGAAGTGAGACCAGCCGATAGAATACATGCGATATACAGAAACTGCATTGCGGGAGTCCTGAAAATGATCGTTTATCTCGTGGACAAATAGTTGGGCCAACGTTTCCCGCAACACGGGCATGTCGACGCGCATTTATATTCTCCAACCTCGCATTAGAATTCTGTCTATGGGCAGTGGATATTGGTTTGGGGCTAAGTGTGGGATATACTAAAAGAAAAGTCAAATTTGTAGTTGAAGAAACCTAAGGTTCACTCCTCGCGGTGAAGGTTCTAGATACGGTAACTCCTCGTGGAGTGAAACGAAGAACATAAGCCACTTCCAGCTAAGCTGATCTGCAAAGGGACCCAGAGGTGCTACGGTAGGACACCGATGTTCAATCGCAGGCATCAGTTCTTAAGTAGTCTTAATGCGCAGCCAGTGAGCGGATAAAACATCCGAGTTTCAGGGTCCAGGGTCCAGTTTCCCAAATGGGGAAATGGCTTAGTGTGAAACACAATACCTATGTCGATCCCATTCTTGCGTCAATGACGATCATGAGTTCTCTGAAAGATCTTCATTTATTAAAGACCTAGCTGTAGGAGTTGACGAACCGGGCGAAACGAAAGATTTGTTCGCGGAGCTCAACAGGAGTCGGGAAAGCAATACAGTAATAATTAGATCCATCGATGAGTCGGCCCCGAGATTGCCGATCTTTACTTGTTCGGTAAATGTCCAATGTAACCATGAATAAACATCAATGATTCTAACTAGTTAGCTACTATGAGAGCCTTGTAGTCATGATACATAGCTTGTCAGTATATCAATATACATGCCAAAATTGACATAATAGAGTTCGTTCACGAGCTAAGATGCACGAATGAAAACGCCGGGCATACAGTTTCATTTCCGAGAGGGCCCCAGAGGAGCTCATTGTCTTTTAATCTACCTCCGATGCGATAAAATATTCGGTTTGTAAGAAAATGAGACTCGCAATACGGATGCGATGTGACGGTACTAGTATATTGAAGAACGGGGGAAAGAGCAGAAGAAAAGACGCAAACGACAGCCAGCCTACCAGATACGAGAGGGTCTCGGCGGAAGTGACAACAAGCTTCAAAATAGATCCTTCTCGAGATAACCTTAGTCTCAAAGGCCGAAGTGTGGTGTCGATATCTTGATACTCGGCTGGGATTCGAAATGATACTCAGGATAGCCAGTTGTAGCCAGAGAGACCCTCTGTTTTGCCTCGAGTAGATCCCGATGTGTGGAATGTGGGCCCAAGGTGACTAATCTTCTCGGATATGCTTCGTACAGTATCTCCTCCTTTCTCCGGTTCTCCACCAATCTTACGAATGTCAAACGAGCCGGCAAAACCAGGCAAAAATTCCTTCTAAAACCCCCCCCCGAGACAAGGGCTCACTGCAAGCTGGTCTGTAGCCACTGGTGCAAACCATCCTAAAACCCAAGTATAACTTCTTTCGCCCGCAACGCCTATTTACGACAGACGTGGAACATTGCCACAAATGAGAGACGACGGAAGCGAGTGGAAACGGTTTTCCCATCCTGACCCGGATGACGAAGAGCTGACGCCCAGAAGGCTGTGCAACTTATGCAAGAAATCGAGCTACAAAATGGAGGGTTAAAATTGGGGGCTCGGGCTTAGCACAAAATTTCTGATTATAGACTAATTTTCGTTATCGATTCCGTTCTACTCAATGGGAACTCCATGCCAGGTGTCAATCGTCTGGGCCTTCTCATGTTTGTCGCCCACGATGTGGATATCAAGCTGAAGCCATGGATCTCCAATAACCCAACGATTATTCGGTCCATTAACCTTGAAGCGAATGGTCTGAAACATTCTCTAAATCGGGGGCATCGCTTTCCTCCCAAGGATGTTCCTTCTCCACTGTTAAGATCAAAGCTTCATGGGCTGGGCTTCGCGTTGTGACATTGAACTTCCAGGGAACTGGATGGCTAATAACACCTGCCTGAAATTCCGGCTTGACTTCGACTTCTTTACCATCCTCACACGCTTTATCAACATTAGACACTGCAAGAGACCGAGCAATGCTGAGATAAACTGTGTGACATCAGCGAGAAACTGACCGGGGCAAACACGACGCCCAAATCCAAAAACAACCGCATGTGGATCCATCTCGGGCTCTCGTCCGTCGATTCCCAGGAACCGCTCCGGTTTGAATACCATAGGGTCATGATAAACTTCGGAATCATGTGTCAATGCCCAAATATTAGGCATGATTAACGATCCTTTCGGGATATAGAAGCCATTTAACAGGTCATCCTCCACAGACACATGTGGGATTCCCATAGGTGCCACTGGATGCCATCGAAGTGCTTCTTTCACAATAGCATCGGCATATGGAAGCTTGCCTCGGTCGGCTACTGTAGGTAATCGGCCTCCCAATACTTGATCAATCTCCTCCTGAGCCTTGCGTTGCACTCCAGGGAAGAGGGTCATAGCCAAGAAGAAGGTTTCAATGGAGGAAACGGTCTAATAATTGTTAGTTATTTAGTCCAACTCTCCGTGGAATCAAAACATACTGTATCAGCACCGCCAGTATAAAGAGACCCCGCGGTCCACTTTGCTATAATCTCTTCCTCGGACCCAACTAGTGGATATCCTGACGCCTTGAATAGATTCGAAAGGTAAGACGGCTGGAACTTCCCACTATTCATACGTCGTTGAACAAAGGCGTATGGCTTATCCACGACATTTTCGAGCTGCTTCTTCCATTCCTGTGCAGTGCGTTTAAAGGCAGCCCCAGGGAACCAGGCTGGAACATACTTGACGGTAAAAATGAGAATCGATGTCCAGGTCTTCGTCGTAGGTAGAATGTAGGTAGAACTCACGAATTGGAACCATATCCACTAGCCACACAACTGGCGTCCCAGCTAAGGAAAAGCGCTCTAGGGCAAGGTTCGCCATATCGACCAGTGGGTCTCGCGTATGCTGCTCAATGCTATAGCCATATGCAATCTTCAAAATAACAGCCCCGGCTTCCCTAAACAGAAGGTGATGTTAGTCTCTATCATACTATTCTTCCTTATACCAATATTTGACCCGCACAGAATAACTTACGTCTGAACATGCTGGGAAAGCTTTGACGGGTCTTGAAGAAAACGTAATAGAACACGTAATAGGAAGCGATGGACCTCAATCTCTTGTAATGAGTTATACTGCGCTATAGCTGTCTCTGAACCGAGATAAGGTTGCATCGCTTTACGGTAAACACGAAACCGGTCAGAGTAGGTTTGCATCGCCAAAATGTGCTCCCAACCGACCCTAATAAAACCCATGTCAGTCCCAATCAATCTTTTTAGAGCTCAAAGTCTGACATTTGGGATGCGAAGACCAGATTAGGACGTGAGGAGTGCAATGCAGTTCGTTTGTTTAAGAGTTCCGCCGCGATTTGATTATCATTGATGATTACAATAGTTTGTCCCAAGACAGTGACTGAGCTGATTGGCCCTGTTCAATTTTCATGCGTTAATGCTCAACGCTATTCAGGATATCCCAAATGCCAGGGCTGGATCTCCCTTGAAGCTTACCATAGAGCTCTTTGTGCTTTAACCAATGCATCCAATCCTGGGCGCCCGGAGGCGGCAGATCCGAAATATTACCCACAATCGGTTTCCCTACGGGTCCTGGTGGCAAGGATCCAGCATATTTTCTGCGGGTCAATAAAGCCTTGACTACGTAGATCAAAACAGCCCCCAAGACCGCGTTCATGAGCACGAAGACATGACGACTACACGTGAGGCGACAGGGTGGGCCGGACAAGCTGTCGGACAAGGAGAAAATGAATGTCAGGTACCAAGGCCCAGGCCGAAGAAACTCTTTTTATATAATCCATCTATTATCATTGGTCATTGGTTGGAGCTTCCGTCCAGGAGGTTTTCCCTCGTTGGACACAGCATGGATGGCACCTGGATCTCCACATCCACATTCCCCGTGCGCCACCGCCGCAACGCGTCCCCACACCTTGATAGTTACTTTGGTGTTGATCGTTGACGGCCGAATTGATCAAGGCTGTGTAGGGAAGGGTCATTCCAATATACAGTATTGCATTGTGTTTTGAGATTTTGGAGGTTGATCGCTAGAAACTATCCGATCGGCATATCCATCGTGTTTGGTAGTACCCGGGGCTCAATGGAGTCATTTATACTACAGTGGGCGCTTTGTGGATTAGGATGACAGCTTTTGAAGTATCTGACTGTTGGAAGTTGATCAATCACAAATGTATTCCCTGATGTCCCCCCTCATTCGGAAGTCCGGAGCGGGACGGAATCCCACCCTCGGGTACAGCCGTTTTCTCCTTTCCAGGTGCGCCATATGTATCAGGTCCTGCCTAGCACGGTAGCACCAGGATCCTTCTAACAGGCGCGAACGAATTGACACGTAATCATCTGTAGATCGACTATTCTACTAAAGGTAACCCGAGATTGAGACTACTACTAGGGGCTGTTATTGCTACGGATTCCTTTGGCCCCGAAGCTATGGCCCCAAAGCTAGTGGCACTACACTAATTCTAGTATGGAGTAGTTGCATGTTCATTTCGCTTCGGCCCGCTTTATGACTTCCAGTATGTACCACTGGAGTGAGAAATGCCACGCAGCCAACGACCCAGCTTAGGGTTTGAATTGATATGTCCACGCTTCAGATCTCCTTGGACTGAGCCGTACGCGTGCCCGCCCTCTAACCAATGTTGTCTAAGTGAAATCACGGCGCCCCAATTTGGGTTTCGACTTTTCGTTCCCAATCACCCTAGCGGAAAAGGCGCCATGGCGTGCTTACGGCGATATGGCCCGTTTTCATGCTTGGCTTGCTTGGCTCTCTTTGTGCACACCATCTAATAAGTATACATAATGCCATTGAGCTCGGGCAGTAGCCCCAAATTAGTGGACAGGGCCTTTGAGCGCCACGGGTTGCGAATGGCGGATCCCAAAAGCCAAAAGTGCCACCGAGAGAATCAACCCAATAAAACAGTTCGGATCACGTTTTGCATGTCGAGGTGCGAACAATACCTTACCTGTCTTTAATGGACACCAAGCCATTCAATCCTCTTCCAATGAGGACTACAAAAAAACTCAGAAAACTCTAATAAAATGCAACTCGAGTTCTTTCCTTGGCCTTAGAAGTTAGAATTTCACTTTGGTGACCGCGATGTCAACGGGGACATTGGCGAATGGACCTTTTGGGAGTCTCTCATCTTGTGCGGTATGTACACTTGGTTCTCTAACGAAAAACATCCATTGAAACTGACTTCTCTCCCTCTCTTGTCAGCTCAAATGTTTCTCTACTGCCTTGAACCAAACGTCATGCGTCGCATCCAACTTGACATGTATTTGCCTGGATGCTTCTTTCATTACACAGGCGACGGGGTGCATCAGCTTACAATGTGGTGTGAAGTCAGGACTCTGTGAGTACCGAAAGAACTTACTCCAGCTATGCTCTGTGTTCTCATAGTTATCGGCGGCAACAAACATCACAATGTCCACCTGCCAGGTGCCAGAGGCCAGTCAGGCTAGGACTTGTCCCGTCTTAGCTGGAGTCCTAGGAATGCTAGCTCTAATAATGGTTTTGCTGCTTCAACCGACAATTCGGGTACGATGATGGCCTCATTCCTGCGGCTTTGGTTTGTGCCGCACCTTTGAATTGCGTGATGTTCCCAAGTGAGGATCAGACTGCCGTCCCCACATTGCTTGATTCTGACTTAATATAGTGCAACGGCTCGGACTAGGTAGGAATATCTGGACGATACCTTTTGATCATATCACGAAACAGTTGGAGGTAAAAGTGACGCTCGATGATGTTGTTCTTTGCTAATCAATTTCTCGTGTAGTTGCTCTACGTTGCCGAGATCTGCTATATGGCCGCCAAGGCCCTGACGCAGTTATCCTTCCTTACATTCTACCTTCGAATCTTCCCATCTGACGAGTTCCATCGGATCACATACTGTTTGATGGGTCTGTCGGCGTGCTTCGGAATATCCAATACATTCGTGACAATTTTCCAGTGCAACCCAGTGTTGTACTTTTGGTCTGGGGGGACCGGTGAATACACAGGCAACTGCATTGACATCAAAAGCTTTTCGTGGTACAAGGCAGCAATGCAAATTGCGATGGATATCTCGATCATTAGCCTTCCGATTTGGCCGCTTATTCATGTGTCCGTTAACATCAAACGAAAGATCCAGATGATCCTGATGTTCGGCACCGGCTTTCTGTAAGTCTGCGGTCTATTCAGCCCGCGCTGTTTCATACTAACTGGATTCAAGTATTACTGTCATAAGCTTCCTGCGATTACGATCTCTCGTCATATTCTCAAAGTCCTCCAATATCACATGTGAGTCCTTCACTTTCAGGTCAAACTTGATCATATCTCACAGCTTTACTATAGATGATAATACGCCAGGGATCTACTGGAGCGGTGTGGAGTGCGACGTTGCAATCATTTGCGCGTGTATGCCCTCCATACCGTCCCTCCTCAAGAACCTTTTTGCATCAGCGTTCGGCTCCCTTCGAAGAAATATTATAGCAACATATTTCTGCCTCAAAAAGTTCCAAGTGCCGGTAGTTCTGTTCCACTAGAGCAGATCAAGATTGATACCTCGTGTCAGGTTACCAGCTCAGAGATAAATCTTGTCAATGGATCGGGTACCCCTGGAAAAAAAATGAGTGGCTTCAAACATGCCTCATAGAGATGAATTCTTCTACTAGGCTCTGCCGCGCTATGCGTGTGTTTAATTACATACCTTGGGTAAGTTCAAATTCATGCTAAAATGCAATCTCCACTGCTGGCTACCTACATATCAGTGATCACCTAAACCGCTGCAATTGGATGAACACAAAGCCTGGCTATGGACAACCGCGATAAAATGACTGGTAGATCGAGTGCCCTGATCCCATTAATTGATTACCTACTTAGCCTATCCATCCACCAACACATTATCTCCAAACATTGACGACCACTCATCCGCCTCGGTCGCAAGCCCAAACGCACAACACGAATTTATTCAACCTGATGCTCTGCTCCAACACAGGTGGGGAGCCCGATAATACACCACCCATCTATTCGGCTGGCCGAGAGGCATCTCCCTTAAGTGCGGAGGCAGCCTCAGTCTCTCGGCTCGGACGACTGTCACTGAACGCAATACTCAACTTGCGGTAATCCCACCGGCGAGCAAGGATCAAGACGGCGAAGCTGAGCACCGGGACCATGAGGACGTCCAGCACTCCGAAGAAGATCGAAGTCCCCGTCACACCGATCTTGTTACCACCATCAGTCAAGCCCCAGGCAATCGGATAAATGATCCACAGGAAATTGGTCCAGCCCGACAGAATGATGTAGTCCTTGTCCACGCCAAGGAGCTGCGCAGCCTCGCGGCTCTCGTTGATAGTGCTCATGGCGAGAATGAGCCAGGCGAAAGTGCCAAAGGCAAAGAATCCCCATTTGTAGGAAGTGGTCACATATGCGCCGGCGAGGTAACTGACAACCCAGTACAGGGAGAGGGCGATGTTGCAAATGATGGTGGTCCAGGAGACGCCCGAGATGAGGCCTAACCCAAGGGCGAGTGATGGGAATGCAACCAGCCAGTGGACATATTTGACCCAAAACACTTGCCGGATGATTCCATTCCCAAGATTGTCAACTTGTGGCACCGCACTCCAGCCCAGATCTGAAGCTTGAGCAAAGTAGGTGATTGCGCCGACCATAAGGACGAAGGTGAACAGGTAGTGGAAGACTCGCTCGCTTTCCTTCGCGGCGAAAGACATGACAAGACAGCCAATCTACCGAATGCGATTAGCATCAGCTGGAAATACAACAGGTCGGGTCCAAAGGGAGCCTTACGAGAGCCAAGCAGAAAACAGCTGTAACTGCCCAGAGCCAGTCGGAGCCATGCACTGCCAGAGCCTCATCAACCCCCATGACGGGGTTGACCTTCAGGGCATCGTTTCCACGGGGGAAGAGATCCATTCTCAATGGAAGTCTAGGGATGTTGTTCGATGAAGTGAGTGCCCCTGTGGATCTCCAACAAACTGCCGGATGAGTTGATCAGGGCGATTAATGGAGCTTGACACCTCAACGACGACAGGGACACCCGCCTCTTATAAAGAGCAGTTAGCCAATTCGGCCCCTGCTTCGGAGATAAGATGAAAGGTCGGTTGCATTATTGAATAGATGCACCGTTCCCACTGAAATGGGACATACTAGCGCCCATCTATCAGGGTCGGCGATATTGGAAAGCTCCATTCTGCGGCCCTCTTCCAACGAAACAGCGGCGTGGGCTGCACTATGGGAGCTCGGAACAAAGTAGATGGAAATTGATCTACACGGGTGCTATTTGTTTCTTGCCACTAAACCGAACCAGCCCTGGAGCTCGATTTCAAATCCGCTGCTGCGGGAGCCCAAGCTTGCACCATGTACGATGCACCCCGTAGATCCCGAGACAAAGAAAACCAAAAGCAAATAACTTCAAACATTACCCCTCGATGGCCGGTTCGGTATATTATTTGTTGTTGAGGTGGGGCCATCGAATGGGGCTCCATTAGAAGGGAATGAAACTTTTCTCCGACTATTTCGCCGTCCATCACCCCCGTGCCGGCGACCAGCGGTGTGGCCCATAGTAACGACCAAGTAAGCGCTGGGGACAATTTTCAAAAAAATGCTCATATGTCACACAGAGGGAAAAACAAATCACAAAAGGTGATGGGAGGGGTTTACCGGCAAAACATTTCACCTGCGACCGTCCAGCCCTTTGCCTGGCTGAGAAGACCAAGTGACCAAGAGCATGCCCTCGAGCCCATGCACCCTTTGGAAGAGGCAGGTTACTCAAGGTTAAGTTCAAAGATTTTCGTGCATGGTGGAAATTATGAGAGGAATCTCAGGCGGGGTCAAAACTGGAGATTACGAAAAGGGCCCTAGAATGGAGAGATAGTCTCTTCATTTACAACTATAGACCTGCCAATGTTAGATATTTCATTTCATGTTATGTACATGTTGGTAGTGCATTTCATCCCATGCAGTAGTGTCAGTCACTTGCAGAAGGCAACAATAACATATCCCTTGGCCAAAAAGTAAGTCGTGCGTATGGTCTCAATTCCCAATAATATCTGGCAGGAGCGAGTGAGTATAGTTCCAAAGTATCCCAGAAGCCTGAGAGATAAATGCAGCACCCGTATACCAGGTATGGCGCTCGCCCTGAAGACTGTTCAGTCGATTGTAGAATCCGCTCTGAAGGGCTTGTTTTGACACCTCCAGCTTGAACGGGGTATGGCTGCGGAACTCGACAAACTCAGGAGACGGGCGAGGAGAGTAAATGGGTGCAGTAGCTTGGAGTCGCTTGATTATATTTGCCACGTCGGCTTGAATCTCCGCTTGCGTCAGGGGGCTGGGGCTCCCATACCATACGTACCACAGCCCAGGGATTCTCGATTCGGTGATTTGATAAGGTGCCGGCAATTCAGGGATATTGTGGGTGGCCGTGCTGGAATTGGCATTCATAAACCGATACCCGGAGGGGAGTCCGGTATTGTTCACCAGCATGGTGTAGTAACTGCTATACGTCCACTGAGAAAATATTGATTCCTCCTTCTCGTTTAGGTCGAATGACTGCATGTTCTCCAGAAGGGGAGGAATGCTGATGACAAGTTTCGACACTACGATGAGCTTGTTTCCCGTAGGCGTCTTAGCCACCAAGAGCACCTCAGTCTCATCAGTAGGCCGTTTAGCGGCAAGGATTGTGGAAGACAAAAGCACGTTGGAAGAACCTAGCCTGTCGAAGCCTTTCTCGAAGATCAATTTGTTGTTGTGGTTTGGAGGCACCACGTCGTGGCCGGCTAAGCCAGAGAGCAGCGTCGAGTCAAACATCTTGAACACATTGATGGTCAACTGTTGCAAGAAGTTTGTGAGGCCCTGACTGTAGAAGTAGGCGGTATATGCTAAGTTGGACAGATTGTATTTGGCAACGAAGGTCTGGAATGGCAAAACGAGGTCCTCAGGAACAGGATCTGGGAGATTCCAGCTGTACGCAAGATACGGATACTTGTCGAGCTGCTCTGCGTATGCGGTGAAGTTGTTTGCTGTTTTCACCATCAAGGGTGTGCCCGTCGCAAAGTCATAGAATGCGTTCGTCAAAGGGGCGATGGAATAAGGTTCCCCGGAAATGCCGAGCAGCTTGAAGTAATCCCATGTGGTTGTGCTGTTCCAGAACGCCTGCACCCCGTAGTCGACCGTCACTCCCGTAGTGGGATCGGTATATGTGTTGACATGGCCACCGAGAACAGCCTCCTTCTCGATAAGGACCACGCTGTGTCCTAGAGCTTGCAAATTGACAGCGGCATACGTCCCCGACGAGCCCCCTCCAATCACCGCGACATCTCGAGTTATGACATCTTGGGCATCATAATGTGTCGCATCAAAATTATAAACGGTGCTAGAGGCAACAATCGTGACTTCTGCAAAGGCCAGTAGCCGTACTGTTGCGACCATTGTATCTCACGAAATCAGCAGGCTGGCAGTTTTTGTTATTTCATTTACACCGCTGAATGGCCTTCAAGGCCTTTTTATCTTATACCCCTCCGGGAATGGCGGAAAGATCCCTAGATTACGGGGATTAAATTCGGAGTATTTATCGCTGAATACGAGATATTGCTCGTGTGCGTGCCGCTTCTCGAAGCTAAAGGTACACTACGCGTGTGAATTAATCCGAGCTTCCTTCTCAGCAAGGGGTATTTCAAGGGAAACTTAAGAGCCTAATCTCGAATCAGGATTGGATCTCGCTCCCTTCCAAGTCTTGAATACATTAAAAATAGGAAAGAAGGGAAATAGAATGATGGCAGGATTTTGGCTTATGGCTTAATATCTACGAGGCCATCATTGAAGCATGTTCGTGGGGCAGTGACTTAATGATTGAGTTGATATGTATCAGTAGAGAGTGGAAAATTAACCTGCTATAGGCGTCTATAGACGTCGAGTTTTAGATCTTGCTGTATTTAAGGGACTCGAATACTCAGGGGCATATTATGCATGCAAGTTCGTCTTGAGTGAAAGATCTTGCTTGATCATGTCTGCTCCTTTCTCTGCGGCGGCGTAAACCGTGGGCATGATTGCAGCACTCACTTGCATCGGTAGCACGCTGGCATCGACAATTCGCAGCCCTTCAACGCCTTTCACTCGGAGTCGCTCGTCCACGACTTGGCCCATAGCACATGTCCCTAGTGCGTGGTGATAACTCACAATTCGATTACGAGCGAACTGTTGTGCCTCGTCTTCATCCTCGAGATCAACCTGCGGCGGTGGATCCACTCGCTTGCCTACTTTCCCTTTGAGCAGCGATGACTTGAACACACGATCGGCAAAACGAATGCCAGCCGCCAGAACATGTGCATCCGCCGGGTGAGAATGGAAGCCAGGATCTATATCAGGCACCTCCAACGGATCTGAAGAGCGCACATGAACACTGCCACGGGATAGAGGGTACATATTGCTGACAATGAGAGCATAGCATGGTGTATCTCCGGGAGGTCCAGAAACCAGCTTGGCACAGTTTTCAAAGCCCGCTGTGATGTTGAAATTTGCGGGTGAGCCCACTAACTGTATGTTAGCTGACAAGGGCGAGTGCACACGGGCGGCGATTGCCTTGTTCTGCTTGTCCTGGAATTCGGTGTCTTGAGCAGGCAAAGCGGTTTCCGTGGTAATCATGGACAACACCTTATTGAGCTCGGTCTCGTTGACCTGGGAGGCGAATGGTACAAACCCCATAAGACTGGCTGCCCCAGACAAGGCACCAGTATGCTCCTCCCGATAAAGTCGAAATTGTTCCTTCGCAAAATTTGGATTGAGAAATACGGAGTCAACGGAAATTTCTCCATGCCCCAGCTCGTACACCACGGCAGACATCGTCTTCTCCTGGAGATTGTTTCCCACATGCGGGTTGGCGAGCACGCATGGGATGTGAGCTTTTTCGAGCACATTGGGGTGCCCAATTCCAGATAATTCGAGAAGTTGAGGGCTCTTGAAGGATCCTGCACTGAGAACGACCTCTCTTTCGGCAAATACCTTTTGCGCGACTCCGTCATGTATCAACTCGACTCCCTTGGCCGTAAGGCCGCCAGTCGTATTCTGTTCGAGAATCACACGAGTGACGGTTGCTTCAGGGATGATTCGTAGGTTTGGCCTTTCCATTACACTGGTCAGGTACCCGTTTGCCGCATAACTTCGAACCGGTTTTGCCGTCCTGTCGATGGAGAGAAAAGATTGGAAGAACCCCAAATGTTCGCCGTTGTTTGGCTCGTCTGGTCGCGCGAGGCCAGACTCTTGATCCAGTGCACCAAGAAGAGGCTTCTCAAAGGGAACATGCCAGGTTGGAAGAGACGTGTGAATCGGCCCGCTGGTTCCGTGGAGACTCATGTCTAGTGGGGAGATAGTGGCGTCGCGCTCCACAATGTTCTTCTCGTTCTTTTCCAGGTACTGATGACGCTGGAAGTAAGGCAATAACTCTGAAAATGACCAGCCATCAAGTTCTAGCTCTATCGCCCAGTCATCAAGGTCTTGAGCACATGGACGCGTATATGTCATAAAGTTAATTCCGCTGCTGCCACCGAGCATCTTCCCTCTTGGAAGATGGAAGACGTTATTGCCTGCGGCTTTCTACATATCAAACTGCGGTTAATCGCGGTTGCCTGTTGAGGTGACAGATAGATTATGTAGCAGAGAAAAGCCTACCTGTGGCAGGCTTTGGAAAGCCCAGTCATATTCTGGATTGTTCAACATCTTTCCAACCCCGGTCGGCATTTCCACATTTGCATCCCCAAGTCGCGACTGCCCGGCTTCGAGTATACATACTTGAATTTTGGGATCTTCCGATAGACGAGAAGCAACAACAAGGCCAGCAGTTCCTCCTCCAACAATGACAAAGTCAAACTTCTCCGTGGTAATAGTCATTCTCACAGGTCCTTTGTGATTGACAATTTCTTTTAGTTTAAAGATAATACAAAACCACGTTGGTGGACAAGGAAGCTCACAGTGAATATTCTTTAGAGGAGAGTCACTCTTCTGAGCTAGTTTTCTGGGGCATGATGACCAGCAAGGCGGGGGATAATTTTGGGCTGTCAGCAAGATAATTACTCCGGCTCTATCACGCGTGACATAAGCATTTGAAACACTGGACACTCCCACATTCCATTCTATTATTTCATTACCATAGCACATCGGACCTGTGAGCAGATGATAGTATAACTGAGGGTATGACGGCACGAATCGGCGCTACACTTGACCAGCATGTGTTATTACTTCCCATTTCCTCGCGTTAGCTCAATTTGAGAACTTAATCAAATGTATGACTCAGCTTTTATTGTAACTAGTTAACTAACCTAACTAACTAGTTAGTTTACTTAGATAACTAGTCAGTTAACTAATTGACTTACTCTCTAGGTATTAGAAAAGGGCCCCAAAATACTCTCAATAGACATGGGATATTCGACAGGCTGATTAGCTGCATGTTTCATCAAGCCAAAGTTCTCGGTAGCTCTGTCAAGTAATAGCTAGCTTGGTCAGTGGTGAAATATGCTTTCCATACATGTATCTATTTCTTTTTGCTACCTGATGGTCAATTCGAAGTAATGCCCGGGGATTCGGTTAGTGCCTACGCGTCTAAACCCGGGCTGTTGGTTATGTTTACACAATGTTTCTATGCCCCTGAATCATACATTTAGGGCCCCCTAGAAAGCCGGAGAAACAGAAGCTACATACCCTTGGCCAGAGGGAAAACTCCGAGCCGAAAATAGCCTCAATTCACGTAGAAAGTAGTCGTGGGTTTTCGTAGGGGTTTTCCCCAGGTGACACGCAATATATATTCCCGCCGCCAGCCCCAAGCACCTATATTGAAACCACACCACAGCAACTGAATCCAGCCTCCAAAGAATCCGGTTTTCAGATCATCAACATGCCTGTCCCTGCTATTGGAACCCCCGTGGGCCTTGAGATTCCCGTCAAGGACACGAAGCGTGGTATGGGTTATAGATTCTGATACCTACTCTGGTTGATCGATCGCTGACCCAGGGCTATGTGGTACCACCACAGCTTCCGAATTTTACAGCACTGTCTTCAACTGGAAGTTTTCCAAAGAAAACTTCGTTGGTGCCCCAGAGGAGTACCTCCTCGTGTTCAAAGTCGATGGCGAGATGTTTCCCGGGGGCGGCGTCATCAAGAAAGTTCCAGAGGGAGAGCTCGGTGTTGGTGGTGCTACCAAGGTATTCTTGTATGTTGACAACATCGAGAATGCCATCGAGGTAAGCGATTGAATTGCTTACAGCTGCTTTCTTTTGCATAAGCTAAAACGAGTGGTTTTAGAAAATCGAGGCCAATGGCGGCGAGACAACCAGTGAGAAAGAAGCCGAAGGTGATCGGGCATTCTACCAGTACTTCCAGGACACTGAAGGTAACACTCATGCCGTGTACACCTACAACAAATAGGCGCTGCAGGAAGGAGATGACTTCATGGGGATGCATTTAATTCGCCCAGATTTTACTCGAGATAGCTATCTCAACGCAATTAACATGGTGGCCCACTATATGCAAACCGGCCAGTTACTCCATACTGCAGTCTTAGCGCTAGGTGGGGGCTGCGGAGTATCTTTACAGGCACCGATTGATCCGGAGTATCATTCTCTTCATTTCTCCCCAGATGTCAGCGTAGCCTTGTAGCGATTGTTCTGTTTACCTGTAAAGTCATTCAACATAAGATTATCTTTGTCTCCGGGCCGTTACGTTTATTGAAGTCATGGCTGCTTAAATACACCCTTCTTAGTAGACTATCTTGAGACACCATCATCCTCTCCACCCATTCAACCACAGCATCCATAATACAGCGAAATGGCCGTCGCCCAGAGAGCAGCTGAGCTGCTATCCTCTTTCCCCGAGACTTCCGTCTACCGATGGTCATGCGATGACACCTCGCGTCGCTTCGCCGTAGAAAACCCAGCAACGGGAAAGACCATCACAACCATCCAAGCCGGCAACGTGGAAACGACCAATGCCGCCATCGAGGCATCCCAGGCAGCTTTTGTCAACTGGAAATCACGCGCACCGCAAGACCGATGTAGCTTCCTCCTGCGCGCATCCGACGAGGTTCAGAAGAATGCCCAGGAGCTGGCCCTCCTGCTGTGCCTCGAGAACGGAAAGCCATTCAAAGATGCGATTATCGACGTTTTCTTCTTGATTCAAGTCTTCAAATATTTTGGGTCAATTGCCGATAAATTGCCGTCGGAATTTTTCGATCAGGGCAATGTCTACTCCACCATCATCTACGAGCCGCTGGGTGTATGCGCTGGCATCATTCCGTTCAATTGGCCTCCCATCCACGTTGGTGGAAAGCTGGCACCATGTTTGGCCGCGGGAAATACGATGATTCTGAAGCCAGGTGAACAAGCTCCTCTGACTGCCATTCGCATCGTGGAAATCTTGCAGACCATTTTCCCACCGGACGTGGTTCAAGTCGTCCCAGGATTGGGACCAGACGTACCCCAGGCCTTGGTCAACCACCCGCTCGTGAAGATGGTTTCCTTCACAGGTTCTTCACCTGTTGGAGCAAAAGTCGCATCGGCTGCGGGGTCATCTCTGACGGCCACTGCGCTCGAGTTGGGTGGCAAGAACGCCTTTGTTGTGTTTGATGACGCGAATCTCGATACAGTGGTACGTGACGCTGTTGAGGGCGCATATTTCAACAAGGGTGAGGCCTGCACAGCCTCTTCCCGCATTCTTGTTCACCGGAGCCTCTACCAGCCCTTCGTCGACAAGATGACTGCCGCCGTATCGAAACTGCAAGCGGGAAATGGTCTTGACGACGCAACCCACGTTGGTCCAGTGGTCTCACAAGAGCGAAAGCAGCAGATTTTGGCCGCCATTGATCTTGCTAAAAGCCAGGGAGCCCGTCTGGCTGCTCAAGGCATCGTTTCCACTGACGCTGAAATCGCCGATGGCTTCTTCGTTCCGCCTACTCTATTCGCAGACGTGACGCCCGAGATGGCCGTCGCCGTAGAGGAGATTTTTGGCCCGGTCGCATGTGTCAGTGCGTTTGATACCGAAGACGAGGCCGTAGAGATTGTCAATGCCTCCCGGTATGGTCTCTTCGCGGGTGTTTACTCGACAGAGTTTAGTCGTGCTATGCGGGTCGCTCGACGCGTGGAAGCTGGTGTGGTCTTGGTCAACAACTACTTCCGTGGTGTTCTGGGGACACCATTTGGAGGCGTGAAAGATAGTGGACATGGCCGAGAGCACTGGATTGGAACGCTACGGGAATGGAGCCAGATTAAGAACATCCGCTATCCAAGTGGCTTAGGGGCCCCGTTGCCCCAGTGGAGGGCCATTCCCGAGATTTTCCAGTAGACGCATGAGCACAGCTCTCGTTTATAGAATCTTTGTTGCTGCCTACATTGTAGCAATTACTTAGTTCTTCCGAGCCGGGTATTATCTATAGAATGCGAGAAAGTTTCTTGAGGCACCTCAGTGTGTTTGCAAATGTTCATTTCAAAGCTCGAAATATAGACACATGAAATGGTTAAAGACCTATTTCAACACGCTTTGCAAAACTGAAACTGACGCATAAGCTGTAGGTATGGGACTAAATATAAGATATATCTAACGAGAAAATCTATGACCATAATAAAAACCCAAAGAAAGAAAGTCTAAACCTCCACCTCTAAACAGGAAACCAAAGGCTTCAAATCCAAAGCAACAGAGAAGCTGCTGGTCCAGCCGGCGTCTGTATCTTCCGCCAACTCCCGAATCTGCTGTACCAAAGGCAAGAGATCCTTTGTCTTAATCGGTACCCGATGATGTCCATCCCACTCAAGAAGTTTCGCAGTATCTCGCCGACATGACGCGTAAAGCTGTCGGTGGCGATGCAATCCCGAATCATGCAGGCCATGCATGTGGATAGTTGGTATGGATAGAACAGAACCCGGATATAAGTCACAGTCCGGATCGAGTGTTGCCAAAGGCGCACTCCCGGCAAGAAGAATACCGAATCGGAAGTTGGCTTTTGAAAGACTGCGACCTTGTTGTTGGCGATATAACAAGCTAGCAGCGAGTTTAGCCCCCTGACTGAAGCCCAGCACACCTATCCACTCGCCAGTGGCACCTTTCATCGTTTCGAGATTCATGACATTCTCGAGTACTCTGTCTAACTCGGTGACTGTTTCTTGTGACTCGGCATCGCCAGGAGAGGCCTGCAACCATCTCCAGAATGGGCCCCATTCTTTGTAGACGGATAAAACATCAGGGCCAGCTGCAGAGGGAAATGGGGCTTGTGCAAAGACGAAGCGAAATTCATGCTGCAGGTGCTTAAGGATGCCCCGGCATTGAGCGCGGAAGATGCGAGCGTTTGTGCCACCGCCGTGGAGGCACAGAATGCGTGGTAGGTGGAGATCAGATTCTTCTCGAGCCAGTATCGTTGGTTTGAACTTCATTGCCACCTAGTTTTGCGGATCTTGCCCCCTTGCTTCGTGGGTGGCCTATTGTATGTGGTGATTCCGATATCTCCGAGTGCTGTACTACCGGCGGAGGGCTGTGTGCGTTGACCGGTGCCTCGACTATACACAGAGAAATATATGACTATGATTTGATCACCTTCGAAAGAATTGTTTTGATCTCTTGAGATCAATGTGTTTAAAATCAGTCTTACTAGGCGGGCAAGATCACCCGGTAGTGATAAGGTTCCCTGCTTACTGGTAATGAACCGCCGGATAGAAAGTCCGCTGGCTGGTCGACGGACCAACAATACAGAAATATACGATGCATGGGATTATATAGGAAGAAATGAGACAGATAATCCCAGAATTGAGATTATTGCAAGCTCAGCTACACAAAATAAATCTACAGTCATAGAGGGAAAAAAAAGAGGAGTGAAAAGCATTTGAATTTGATCAACAGTCCAGCTCCCCGCCCGCCACCATGCCTTCATTCGTCCCCAAACAGTCAACATCGTCATCTTTCTATCTCCCATCTGTGGATATTGCACCTTTCCTCAAAGACCCCACTAGCCCAGCATCCCAGCAGGTCGTGGAAGATATCCGTGCAGCATGCATTTCGACAGGCTTCTTTCAAATGACCGGCCACGGAGTGCCTGCATCCCTCCAACAATCCGTCTTCGACGCAGCGGCCAAATTCTTCAAGCTGCCACGGGACGTTAAGACCAAACTCGACGCCCGCAGTAACCTTGGATTTCGAGGCTATGATGTGATGGGCACACAGTTGTACGAAGATGATGTGCTCCCTGACCTGAAGGAAGGATTCTTTCTGGGCCAGCATATTTCCGCTGATGACCCTCGTGCTCAGGCACGCCGGTTCTTTATGGGCCCTAATGTCTGGCCGCCTACCGAGCTGCTAGATTCCGAGGACTTCCAAGAGCCTATTGAGAAATACTACGAGGCTATGACCCGTTTATCTCATGTTGTGCTCGATCTCGTCGCTGCGACACTCCCCTACGGCCCACACGTCTTTGACGAGTTTAAAGCTAACGACCCGGCCTGCCCTATGAGACTCCTACATTACCCTCCAACTCGTCTATCGGGTGAAGCGCAGAAGAGGCAGTTAGGTAGCAGCGCTCACACGGATTTTGGCGCGGTGACGCTATTGCTGCAAGATGAGCACCCAGGACTGGAAGTGCAGGACCGCGAAACGGGAGAATGGATCGGTGTTCCACCCAACCCTGCGGCGTATGTTGTCAATATGGGGGATATGATCAGTCGCATCACTCGTGGGGTGTACAAGAGTAGTATCCACCGGGTGGTGAACAAGAACCCGACAGATCGATTCAGCGTGGTCTATTTCTTTGATGGGAACATTGACTTCAAGTTGTATCCTCTCGATGGTGTTGGCGAGGATGAGAAAACGCCCACTGTCGAGGAACATATGATTGAGCGAACTATGGCTTCCTACAACATGACCAAGAAGGAAGACTCATGATTGCATGGAGGAAGGAGGTTCAGGTACTTGGGCTGCGAACTTATCTGGATACCAGATGAGAAAGGTTCAAGAAGCTTTCAAATCGACTCTTTCTCAACAGCGACCGATAGTTTTGCCTTAAAGTTTAGAAATTGTATACAGGACTAACCTTGTTTGTGTGAATGATCTTATTTCACGTAAACATTTTCTTATTTATGACTTACGGAAGAGCCAAAAAGATTCATCTGATCCCTTGGGCGTATGCTTTCAAAAATAATCTATAGGATGACACATGATTTTATGCTTCCACTCGTCTGTGTGTTGAATACTCACTAAAGGCTATTTTTCTATTTGTTTTTTTCTATTTTTAATTTTTTTTTACAATTTATAACATTTTTCATCATCGTGGCAAGAGCGAATAAAACAAGGAGACATGAAAATTTAGTCAAAGATGGGCGATCCTGCCCGAAACAAAACGTGATTATTCTCAAGCTTATCAATGGGGTCTAATATGTACACAGTAACGAAGCCAATTTGCCAAATCTAAAATGTAACTTCCATAAATAAACCCCAAAACACCTTCATCAACTATTCGGACTACCCGTACCCACACTGTGATTAAACAGCTCTGCTGTTTTAGAGATGCATGAGCGTGGAAGCAGATCCAAATAACTCTGCTCGGGATTATTCACGTTTTTCAACTCGCGCAAAACATGGAAGAGCTCCTGTAGCCGCGGCTGAAAAGCCTCATTGTGCATCTCGTTATACAAGAATTCGGCACAGAGGAATAGAGGGATCGGTGTTAAGGGATGGACCTAGTGTGGAGAGTCAGCATTCTGGGAATTTTTATTCCCGTCTGATGTACACACCCTTGAAAATGGTAGATCTCGTAGGGTAGATGCAAAACTAATGATGTTGGTGGATGCCTCTAATGCCCGATATTGGTAGTGGGATCCATCCGGTCCTTCGGCTGTATCTGTCATCGCTTTGCAGAAGTAGATCACCGTCGCTTGGCCGAGAATATTGGCGAATAACAAAAGGGGGTCGTAGGATTCTGTGGGTGCTGGGTACTGCGACAAAACTTGGAGTCGGTTCATGAGCATGCTATCCAGCCACCGGCGTTGCTCTGTCAAATCCATGGTCATGTCTCCATATGCCTTTGATATGTGATAGCGTTGACTTTGCAGAAGACTGCGGCCACAGATGGTGGCTAGGATAAGACACTCGTTAAACGAAGATCGGACTTTCAGAGTCGGCTCTGTCATGGCCTCCGATAGGAATGGTCCTAGATCGTGGCTGCCACTTTGAAAATCCGCATCTGGAGCTGGAAGTCGGGTGCAGATCTTTGGATGGTTTAGCAAACTGATACGCGCGTTTAGAAATTTAATAATGAATCATCACCTACCACATGTTCATTTAGTGTAATCGGCCAGTCATCACGCATACTAATAATATGGTCGAGAAAATAAGTCATCCAAAATACTCGACGCCTCTCCTCAACCTCGACAAAGTCGCCACATTGTGGCGAGGAAGGGCCACGCTTGTCGATGGGATTGTCAATCTCATGATACCGCATGGCCTGCACCAAGCGAAATGCGCGGCCGGCACTCATCCACGCTTGACGGTGGTATGTTCGCATATACTCAAATGTAACAACCAGAACCCAGGCTTGGGCTAGTGCAGTCTCACTAGTTTCGACGCTTAGATTCTCTAGCGCTTGCTTAGTCTCCTGGTACAGTGGCTCGACTAGATGGCGGGAGTGAGCGGAGAGAAGTGATGCCAATGTCCACATGGCATACTGCAGGCATCGTTGGGAAGCCGACTTTGTGGTGGACTTGGACCATGATAGGTACCGTCTTTGGTGGAGAATTGGGATCGATTGATGCACGCGGTCCAAATACAGCTGGTCTCTGGTGGGGAATAATTAGCCGCGCTTAATTGACCAGGGATAGGGTAAGGAGGGAAAGCATACAATTCAGCCTGCATAACCTCTGACAGAGGCACTGCCGACGCAAAGGACGAGTCAGGTTCACTGGGCAGAGCCACCAGATTCGAGTCAATATGCAGCCCTTGCAGCCCATAGCCGCTTGAGATAAACGTCTCATGGTCGGAAGCCGAAGACACAGTTCTGCCATCATTATCATCATTGCTGTTTTGGGAATTGCCCAGCAGATCCGACCGTTGATGGGACTGATAGAGCTGATGGGGCTGGGGAGGCAAGCGGGTCTCCAGCATGGCCTCCAGGTGCACAATGCGGTTCTTCAGGGCCTTCAAGTGGCCCTTCTTGGGGCCTCGGGTACCACGTTGGGTGACTTCACAGACCACATCGGTCTCTCGACAGACGCCGCACTGGGGGTGTTGCCCGTCGCAGCGTAGCTTTCGCCGTCGGCACTCGTCACACGCAGCGCCTGGGCGTTGGCGCCCGCGTGGCACGGGCGGCGTATCTGATTCAGTATCCGGTAGTGGCATGGATAGGCGAGTGAGTATTGGAGTACTGGAGTATTGGAGCACTGTGGTACGGTCGGAGAATCTGACGGATATTCTTTTCCCGTTACATTTAGGAGTTAATGGGCGAGGATGTGAACGGGGGTGGGGTACAGAGGAACGGCAGTACAGAAGGGAGAATGTCAAGGGGCCCAAAAAGCAAAAGACTCGGTGACACAGATATGGGCATCAGGCCCCCTGTCTTCACTTTTTCTCTTCTTTGTCTGCAGTACAGTCGATCAGGGATCACCGATGCATCATTAATAAGCACTTCGTATTACCTCTCCGTATCTCCTTGGTCTAAATGGTCAATGGTAGACTGGAGGCCTAAGCGCATCATGCTCCCCTCTCCAATTTACCACCACCGTGTCCATTCTCGACTAATCTTTCACGATGGGACACCTTGTTTGGTCAATGCTCACCTCAGTCTTTCAGTCTTACGAAATCTATTAACCGCAGCAAACGGAGTTAGTAGGGGGCGGGCCAGAGGCAGATCGCCAGGCACTGCATTCTAGTGCTGACAGACAGAGTCCACACACCCCCAACTCAAACCACCAGATCCGGCTGATTCGAGTTTCTCGAGCTCCCCCCACTCATCACTCCATAATTTTGCCTTTACAATGTGTTCAGATCGGCCCGGTTCACCCGAACAAGTGGCCCCACTAGGCGGATGCTTGGTTGTGGAATTATGACGATCACCAATGGTAATCACCTATGGAGATCACGGACGGAGTATCGCTGTCCCGACTCCCGTCGTTGCGATGAAGAGTTCAAAATTGCAGTATGAATATGAAGGCATTGATAATGACAAAGAATAAAAGATTCTTACAAATACCATGATAGATGCCGAGTCTTGATTTCTCATCCAAATATCGGAGAGAACGGAGAAAACGGAGATGAACGGGTGCCGATGCTCAGTAACGGGACCGAGATGAATTAGTTTATCCGAGAATGAGAAATAGAAACTCCGAGGCCAAACAATACGTCCGAGATATACAGCGCAACAACAATAATAATAGAAAAGACCGGGCTCATTCAAGCTAGGCATCACTGAGTCCAGATAAGGACAAATGACATCGTAGAGTATGGTGTACCTAGTCTTCATATTAGGCGCTATTCTCGCCTATCTATTACAATGTAGACAATTTACATCGCAAAATGACCGTACAACCAGCAGAGTTCCTAGCAGGAAAGAGGATCGCCGTCGCCGGTGGAGGATTTGCCGGTCTCTCATTTGTACTTGCCCTTGACCAACTATGGCAAGGCTCAACCCTGGACCGTCCCGAAGTCCTCCTCTACGAGCAGTACAGCCGCCACGAGTCCCTTCAAAAGGACCCATATACACTATGTGTCAACGGAGCTAGCCAAGATGACGGACTGGTTGCGATTCAACAATTGGGATTACTAGATGCGGTTCGCGAACACTCAACCCTCAATGATGGCGACATCCGGGTCTGGTCGGACAATTGGAAATGGCTGTCATCGATCAACCCGACAGCGTATGGAAACCTCCCAGCAGCAACTGTGCGCATCACCCGCCAGAACCTCATGCGCATTTTGGTGGAGAAGGCTGAGCAGACAAAGACCGTCTTGAGATGGGGCTCAGCCTGTACATCGGCCGAACGTCTATCGAACGGCCAAATTCGAGTGTCAATCTCCGAAGATATTGGAAGCGCAAACAGTTCCACGCTGGACTGTGATCTTCTCGTCGCGGCCGATGGTGCCAACAGTCGCATCCGAGCCTCTTTCCGACCCAACGATATGACAACTCAGTACGCCGGTGCAACTCAAATCGGCGGCATTTCATATCTTCCCGGGGGACTCCCCAAGCCCATCGACCAGGACTTCGTCCTCCAGATGTCCTCGGGCGAAGGAGTCTGTTGTCTCTACCACCCGTTCGACAACAATACAATTGCCTGGGAACTGAGCACAGTGGGACCTGAACGCGAGGCGAAAACCAACTTCAATACCGAAGAACTGAACGCCCTAAAGCAGGAAGCCTTGAAAACCGCCTCAATGTTCCAAGATCCCTTCAAAACTGTCGTAGAGGCCACAATCCCCAACACTGCATTCATCCGTCCCGCGAAGGAGAAGCCCGCGTTCCAACACGATGCTCGTCTGCATGGGGTTATGTTCATCGGGGACGCAAACCATATTCTCAGTGCCTTTGAACCGCTCGGTGCCAATCTGGCACTGAAGGATGGTTGGGATTTGGCCGAACAGCTCTGTCGCAATATTTCCCTCGATGCGGCAGCGGCCTCGTACGACAGGCTGAGTATTCCGCGCTTTCAGCATAACTTCAACTTTTCGCATGAGCGGATTGGTTTTGGACACTGCACGGGGAGTAAGTGGATGTTTTACAAGTATGGTATGGCTGCACAGCGGGCGTTAAAGAAGGTTCATTGAGATCGAGTGGCGAGTTGATTGTGACCAGCTGTTCGGCTTTGGCGTTAAAAGTCACTTTCCTTTGCATGAACGAGATACTTAGATCCCAGAAAATTGACAATAGCAAATTTCATCTTCTCTGTAGGTCAGGTACAGCGAGGTTTCAACCTCAAGAAAGTCCACCTTCCAAGGTTTTGTAAATTTCGTTTCGTGTTACCACACTCGTCTGAAATTATCGTACTAAACAGGTCGTTAGCACCAGTAACCCCTTTTTTCTTCCTCTGCCGTACTTCAATTCTGTATGAGACTGACATTATACACGAGTTCAAGTGGGTCTTTCCATTCAGCCTTTATTAGCAGTTATAGTCTGTCGACAAATTACCCGTCGCACTGCTACCTACGTGCTATCCATGTATCACACGTTACTCGGAAGAGCTTGGAGAACAGGAAGCAATGCGCAGTCGCGATTGGACGCGACGGGCATTTTTCGGAGAACTCGAGGCGTTTATTTAGCCTCCTACACGTTAGAGAAGGAAAACTATCGACGGGTGCGGCTTGAAATCGGACAAGATCTTGAAATTTCAAACATTGTTGTTTTTCATGAAGAACCCAGCAATTGCCCGTCAGCTTCGCTATTTGGAAGTACATAGCAGTTAGGATTTAGGATTTGACCGTAATTTTGACTTCAATGTCCCACCCAAGGAGCCTCGACAGCTCGGTCACGATAATCTTGACAAACTCAAGATGACCATCGAGGGAGCTGGGTTTGCTGAAAGCGACGAGCAGCAAATGCTGTTATATATACCGCTACAAAACCCCTCTGGACGACCTGTGTACGTGATTCACCCTTAGCCACTATTTTTCGGGCTAGTAAGTGATTTGACTAACCGACCTGCTAGGTGTTAAGGCCTCGGCTTAGCTAATATAGCCTTTAATCAAGCTGTTGCAGCGCTCTTAATTTCTATTATACCTAACTTTAAGTCCCTCTCTGTCTTCCCTGTTAGTGCCTATAGGCGTAATATCAAAGAATATGCTTTATTCTTATTACTCCGTCGTGCAAACACGGCCCGAGGCGCACTTCCCTATCTCTAGAACCCTAAAGAGATCATTTTCCTTCCGAACAACTTCTCACCGGGTAATGATAGCTTTCATTACAATATATAAGGATTATTATGATCGATTAAATCTAGTCCGACGACTCCCCGCTAAGGAATTTGTTTCTTTCATAATCGCATCATAGAATAATAAGGCTAGAAACCCCCCCGCCGCGAAAATCGGTGAATTATAGCGATATTAGATTTACCCACTCCAATGTGAATAAGCGTGATTTATGTTATATTATTAATTCCTCTAAAGTATTGCGCAAACTTATATCCACTATTAGGGGGTGTGTATATCCAGAAGGAGGTAAGGCCACTGCTAACCTTTCAACGCTTATAAGATCTCTTTAGAGACACCGCTACAGTTTAGAAGAGCTTGATCTTGATATTGACGATAATCTCTTTCCGGGGGAGATTTATATTGTGAATAGTATGGAATGTCATAAGCAGATATACGAGGACGTGTACCTGCAGTATAAAGAATAATAGGAAGGTGAGATAGCCGAGCTCGGTGTTAGTCTAAAAACGGTACCGTCGGATATTTCTAGATTTCTCTGATAGATTTTCCTAAGTTGAAATGCCTGAGTCTGGGTGTTTATTCACTTTGCTTTCTAGTGCGGGACATAGGCCCTAATCGACTGGATGCGGGATCAGTCTCTCTCGTGGACCTAATACCTTACACTTTACAAAGTCTTCGGCTCTACGGGAAGGGAGAATAGGGTGATCTACTGCTTAATCAGGGAAAGCATCGGCCAGATTTGGATGTTGATGCTCTTTTGGAGATACTGGTAGCTGAGAAAGATTGAAAAACTGCCAGGATTGAAAATGATTGAGGGATTTGACCCTGTCATCCAACGAGCAAAGGAGGTTCCTGATAGTTCATAAGGGGAGTGGGATCATCCACTTCTTTGGAAACAGCCTGAGCACTGGCTAGGTTGTTAAATGAAGCTCAATGTATTAGGCGACAGCTACCCCTGGAGGACGCCCACGCCGATAGGTTTAGGGTTTATGTGCGGCGCCGAGTCTCAACAAGCCACAACACATGGGAAGGAATGAGAATCACCGAATAAAAATGTATTGAGCAATCTATTATTTTGATGAATAAAATGGCACGGCCGGAGAGAACAACCTAAAAGGGAAAGAGGTAAACAGAACAAACATGTGTCGTCAGTCACATGACCACCATCCCACCAATCTTTTTTCTATCTTGAAAAGGCAGCCAGATGTATTTTTGCATAATGAAAGAAAACTGAAGGAGACAAGGATCATGCCTTGAATCGATCCCACTGAACATGTGTACTCTTGGCAGCAACATCAGCCGCGAGGGCTGCCAAAGACGGGCTCTGCATGATACCGAAGATGGACACCTCGGCACCGGCATGTTGCAGCAGCATGTTGCGCAGCTCCACAGAAACCAACGAGTCGATACCGAAGTGGGCGGGCTTATTTGCCAGGTCAATGTCGGAGGCAGGGAGCATGAAGATATCCGATAGCTTCTCCGCGATCGCAACGCCGACAAGGTCAACCGCCTCAACCGATGAGGACGCGGCAGCCAGTCGACTGCCCAGCGAACCGGAACCGTCTGCAGCACCCGCATTCTTCTGGCCACCCTCAGCCGGCTGCAATGCTACGAATCGAGCATCGCGCCCCAGAGGAGAGTCACCGTCGATCTTCCAGTGCGAACCAGGTCCAGTGTGCAACCCGATCACGACCTGAGGCTCATATGGCGAGAGGATAGCACTGTCCAGAACGGCCAAGACCTGCTCCTCGTTAATGGGGATATGGCCAATACGCTGAAGACGAGACAGAACGCCAGCTGTCTCCTGAGCGACGCCAATTCCCTTGACAGCGCCGAGGTCAATTGCCACGGCTGGGAGACCTCGCGCAACACGCCAACGGGCAAGCGCGTCTTGATAAGATCCGGCTGCCGCATAGTTGGCCTGGCTGGCATTGCCGGTGACACCGACCACAGACGAGAGAATCACGAAGAAATCCAAACTTCCGGGGGTGTCAAATGCTTGATGCAGGTTCCATGTACCGTGGACCTTTGGCTGGACGGCCGCTTGCCAATTGGCCAGCGACATCTGCTCGAAAACAGTATCCTATAAAGGTAGAGATGTCAGCAAAAATATCGCCTTGGAGCTTTAAGGGGCTCACTCACTTGCAACACCATGGCTGCCTGGATCACACCACGAACGGGCGGGAGGCCAATTTCCTCACAACGGCGCAATGCGCGAATAAGATCGTCCTTGTCCGAGACGTTGCAACTCACAGCCCCGACCAGAGCGCCAGTCGCACGAAGATCATTGAGGAAGACCCGATTATGACCGCCACGACCAGCACTTCGCGACATGAAGATCAGATTCTTGGCTCCACGTGCTACCATCCAGTGCGCGATCGATCGACCAATTCCTCCCAGGCCACCTACTATGAGATAGGATACTTCAGGGGAGAACTTGGCCGTCGGAGTTCGCGGACGGACTGGCACCATCTCTTGTGGCCCTGTGGAAAGGACAACCTTACCCATATGCTTGCCGGTCTGAAGCAAACGGAAGGCCTTCGCAAAGTCGCCCATTGGGAAGGCCGTGACCGGGTGCACGGGAGCAATTGCCTGACTCTCCAGGAGCTGAGTTATCGCATTCAGCACGCGATGCACCTCGAGAGGGCTGTGCTGCATCGAGGCCAAGAGATAGAACGCTGAAAAGGAAACCTGGCGAGTAAATGGTCGCATCTCGAGATGACTGTTAATTTCCAGGTCTCGCTTGCCAATCTCCAAGAAGTGGCCGAACGGAGCCAGCACATTGAAGCTCTCCTGCAGCAGGGGCCCGGCAAGCGAATTGACAACGGCGTCAACACCACGGCCATGAGTAGCAGCCAGGACCCCGGCAGCAAAGGATGCATCGCGACTGCTGAAGATATGGTCATCTGGGATGCCGTACTTGGTTTTCACCAGGTCACGTTTCTCAGCAGATCCAACGGTCGCATAGATCTCGAGGCCCAAATGCTTTGCGATCATGATCGCGGCTTGCCCGACACCGCCAGCTGCGGCGTGAATCAAGACAGTCTGGCCACGTCGCAGACGAGCCATGTCAATCAGGCATATATACGCGGTGCAAAAGATGACGGGCAGCGAGGCAGCATCCTCGAAGCTGAGCCCTTCGGGCATATGCGCAACGTTGGTCCACTCGACACGAACACGACTGCCGAAGGGTCCACGTAGCAGACAGAATACTTTATCACCGACGGCGTAGCCATGGATGGCAGCCTCAGCCCCGACACGCTTTATGATTCCAGAGCACTCCAGGCCCATGACTCGTTCGTGGAGCTGGCCCATGGCCACCATCACGTCACGGAAGTTGACACCATAAGCGCGTGGCTCGACCTCAATTAGGTTGGAGGGGAGAGCAGACTTGTCATTGATGGCAGCCATCGCAGGGTCATCATCGAAAGCAATAGTGTCCATCAAACCAGGCATCCCAACGTGCATGCTCAGAGGGCGGTCCAGCTGGTACAACGGCTGACTGACTAGGGTCGACGGGCCCTGATCGGCAACATCATCGGGGGAGACCGCCTTGCTCCGGACCTGGTTCTTGAGAATCCTTGGGATCAGGATGACACCGTCGCGCACCGCGTACTCGAAGTCGCCAGGCTGAGGATCGACAGTATAGCTTTTCTCGGAGGCAGTGCTACCGAAGCTTGCCTGCAAGACTTGCAGGATTGCAGGCACGCTATCCACAGACCAAATTGGAGTAACGGGATCCAGATCCAAAGTCGCGAAGAGGCGAGTTGGATACTCGTTCCGCAGAGCCCGAAGGAATCCCTGAGCGAGTGCCAGCTCCGGGTCCTGGCAGTCGACTGCGGCGCCCCGTGTGACCCAGAGCAGACCTTTGGAGTTCATAACCATTGTTCTGATACCTTCCATGGTCTCCGTATCCAAGTCTCTGAGGAGAGATTTCTCGATCTCTGCCACAAAGACGCAGATCTTGCCTGCAAGTGAGGCTAGGGGCAGTGATTCAATAGCAAAGATATTGGGTCGCGAACCAGCACCGGAACCAGCCTCGGATATTTCGTGTTGCAAAGATGCCAGCCAGGTCGAATCGAGAGCAGGCTCCGCCTTGTTGCTGGTAATGAGCACAATATCTTGCGACGGGGGTGGCTGCGTCGGGGTAGCAAACGGCACAGTTGCAAGCATCGCACTTGTCGTGTACATTTCGATGGCTTCACAGTCAGGAATGTGGACATCCACTCCACTAAATCCTGAGGCTTTGAGTGAGTGTTCCCAAGACTGGAGACTGAGCGAAGGACAGTGCTCGCCAGCAAGCTCATCATTGTCCTGCCACCACTCAGAAAGCAGACCGAACACGAATTGCCGGTCAAGATCATCTTGGGTAGTTTCAACCAGAAGCAGCTTACCCCCTGGCTTGATGAGACTGTGTACATGGCCCAGGCAGTCAGTAATGGAGTTATTGGAGGACAAGGACCGGTCGGCAATGACAAGATCGTAAGCCTGCAACTCGAGGGCCTGGGTAGAGGGGTCCTTTTTGATGTCAAGGGTCTCAAGGGCCAGGATATCACTCCATGCGGCAAACTCTCCGAGAGCCGCGGTCTGAGATTCTTCATCCCATGACTTCTTGGCGATGTGGTAGGATGCAGCCAGTGGACCCCCAGACTCAGTCGTGCCTAAAGCCTGGAGCATGCCAAGTGTTGAATCGGAAGATAGAGCTTCAATCTCGAGGATGGATGCTCGGGGGTTCCTGTGTACGATCTGGCGCAGCAAAGCAGCGGCCTGTGATAGAGTCCTCGGGTGATCTTGCTGCTTGTACTGCTCCAGCAACCCGTCGTCCAGAATCAATTCCATGGCCTTTTCGCCACGAAGGATAGCATGCAGGTTCTGCCCCAGACGACAAACTATGCTGCCCTTAACGCTGGCTTTGGCAACAAGATCAGTCCGAATCTCGCGCTCAGCCTTGGTGTCGAGGAGCCAAGTTGCGCTGCCAGGACCGAGCTTTCCTTCCTTTGCCTTGGTTTCCTGATCCTGCATCCATGTGTAGAACTTTTCAAGTTCAGGACCAACTTGACGCACTTCATCTGCCGAGATTGTGGCCAATGCTTCCTGGATGAAGTAGAGACACACACGTCGGAGATCAGTTATGGATCGAATCTCATCTTGATCAAGCTCGTGTCTGAGGCTAGCGGTCTGGATCCCGAGGCTTGCATCAGGAGCCCAGTGGACTGTGGTACAGAGCTGTTTTTCCCATGGCTTGTCATCCCCCGTGGAGGCGCTTCTTCCCAAGGACGAGAAAATCAGATTCTTGATCTCGAGAACGGGCTTCGTGCCATCGCCCGCGTCTTTGTCGACCATGGTGATGTCGGCTTCAATACCCTGCGCATCCGCACGGTGCAGGAAAGTGTCGGCCTGGAAGGCATGGCCGATCTGGCTGCTGATCTTGCTCGAAATCCAAATGCGCTCAATTGACTGGAAGACTCTTGGCGAATCCTGGCGGGACTCTGCGCCTGGAAGAGCTGTGAAGGTGGCCTGGGCGGCTGCGTCTAGCAATGCCGGATGCACCACATGGTTATACGGCAGTTCCTTGGCCACTGAAGTATCAGGAACAACAATCTCGCTGATAGACCGCATCTCCTTTCCTGACTGGATAATGCTCTTGATGTTCCTGAAGGTCGGTCCGTACTGGAGCCCGAGCGCTGTCAAGACATTCCACATGTCATCAGGTTCGATCCGTTTGGCGTAGCCAGCCGTTGGGTCCAGCCGTTTCTTGTTCTTCTCGAGCCCGAGACCTGTCGCTTGCTGTGGATCGCCAAACTCGACCAAGATCAATCCGTGGGCATGTTGTGTCCACTCATTATCAGCGGTCACCGAGTATATCTCAAATTGCTTCCAGCCTCGCACGCCGATTGCCTTTTCATCGGCCGGTCGCAACACAGTCTGGATCTCGAGACCGTCTGTGGTGTCCGGAATCACGAGGGCCTGCAGGACATCCACATCCCTGATCTGGTAACCAGCAATCTCCCTGGGACTTGATTCGCCTTGTTCCTCTGCGATCAGGTCGATCTGTTGCCGAACTGCTTCAATAGCAAGAGAGATGAAACCACACCCGGGGTAAAGGATATTGGACTGGATCATATGATCCCGGACCCACAGCGATTCTGTGGGACGGAGGATGTGTCTCCACGATGGCACGTTGAGATTAGTACCAGGGACTAACTGGCCAAGAAGGTGATGAGGAGCTTGGGAGCGCTCTCTCAATGCCTTGTTAACTCTCGGCTCAATCCAGTGCCTCACTGAGTGGTTCCAAGGGTAAGGGGGGAGATTCGTGAGCACTCGAATCTCAGACCCCTTGCCATGAGGGAAGTTGATTGCCTCCATATCAACCGGGTAGCCCTCGCGGATCAAATTGGCTGCCAGGGCTTGAAGGCTGTCCATCGCATTGGTGTGTCGAACGAGGCAGCCGTAATACGGCAGCTTAATGCCTTCGAAGTCCGGAAGGCCTAGTACTTCCTGGATAGGTCCTCCAAGGGCAGTGTGCGGGCCAACCTCGACAACTAGGTCAATACTGGAAGGAGAGGCATCCGACTCAGGGTCAAAATCGCCCAACACCATCTCCGTAAACGCATCGACGAAGAGCACGGGTTTCAGCAAGCTAGCAACCCAGTGGTCTGCGTCTGCAACAGTTGTCGCATTGGTCACGCGGTAACCGGTTACTGGGGATGCGTAGACGATTGAATCCGTACGGTTCCCCATTTTGGCTCCACCATCTTGCATATTTCGGAGTGCCTTCCGGTAGTCCTCCGCAATAGGCGCCATGTGGTGAGAGTGGTAAGCAGTTTCCACTCGAAGTCGGCGGCCAAAGACTCCATCCTTCTGAAGCACTTCCTCCAGCTCCAGTACAGCGGGAAGATCACCGGCCACTGTTGTACTCGACGGGCTGTTAATGCAGGCAACGACGGCTTTCGTATCACTGGTGAGGTTTTTCAAGTAGCGCTCGGCTTCACGATGACCGAGACCTACCGCAATCATACCTCCTTTGGCAGTAGAGCGCTGGCTCAAATCAGCCGCCAGCTTGCTGCGGAAGTATGCGATTCCCATGGCCCTGCGGAGAGTGATTGCCCCAACTGCATAGGCTGCCGCAATCTCGCCACTGGAGTGACTGGTCACAGCGGTGGGCTTGATGCCCCAAGTATCCATCAGACGAACCAGGGAGATCTGCACGGCAACACATATGGGGATACTAAACCCGGTTCCGTTTACTCGAGTGCTTTCGGCATCGCGGTGAAGCTCTTCCATCAGAGACCAGTCCGCACCAAGGTCCTTGAGAATAGCATCGGCCTCCTTGATCGACGCCCCAAAGACCGGGTAGGCTGTAATCAATTCCCTCCCCATGGCATACCATTGAGCACCCTGTCCAGTAAACACCATGCCAATTCTCGGCTGCAGTGAAGCAACCTTGGACGCCCGGAAGTTACGGGACTCGAGTGCTGTAGCAGCTGCAGCAATACCCTGGGTAATAGAAAGAGGGTACGTAGCAATCCAAGGGAAGACAGTACGACGTTGTCCCAGGGTGTAAGAAAGTTGCTGTAGGAGTGCCTTGGCATCTGATTCGCTAAGACCCTTCTTCTCCTGCTCGTCGAGGAATTTCTTCAGGTTAGAGACGATAGCTTTAGTAGTCAGTTCGTCTTTGCCGCTGAGGATGAATAGGTTTGTCTCGTAGCTTGGCGATGGTAGTGAGTCAATGCCGTTTTGAGCACCATTGCTCTTGCTGAATGCCCCAGTGCCCAGACTCTGGAGCCAATATTCTCCGTCTTCCATGATGACATGTGAATTGCTTCCACCGTAGCCAAAGTTGTTGACAGAAGCACGGCGAACAGTCCCTGGAAGAGCAGGCCAATCTTCCAATTCTCTGGCAACCTTGATGCCCCATTCCTCCAGCGAGAGCTTCGGGTTGGGATTCTTAAAGTTGATAGATGGCGGAATCATGCCGTGTTCCATGGCCAGAGTGACTTTGATGACACTGGCGAGTCCACTAGTCGCCTCAGTGTGGCCGATGTTCGTCTTCACAGATCCAATACGCAGAGGCTCGATCGCGGAGCGTTTCTTGCCTTGGAAGACTGAAGCAATCGACCCGACTTCAATTGGGTCACCCGTTGGTGTGCCAGTTCCGTGTGCCTCGAAGTACTGAGTGCCGAGAGGGTCAATGCATGCCCGAGCGTAGCAGTCGCGCATCAAGCTTTGCTGGGCGTCTTTGCTCGGTGAGGTGATGGTCTCGGTCTTGCCATCCTGGTTCAGCAAAGTTTCACGAATAACGGAGCGAATTGGGTCGCCATTTGCAATGGCGTCTCGGAGACGCTTGATAACAATTGTGGCCACGCCCTCGCCACGACCATACCCATTGGCACGAGAATCAAATGCAAAGCATCGACCATCAGGCGATAGGAACCTACAGGTCGAATCCGAATGTTAGTCATGATCCTTATAACTTCTATGGCATTACGTACCCTAAAGATCCCATTGCCTTGAAGTTATCTGGGTTGATCAAGATGTTGGTACCGCCAACAACGCTCATGTCACTCTCCTTGCTCCGCAGACTCTGAACAGCCTGGTGCAGAGCGACGAGGGCAGTCGAGCAGCCAGTGTCAATGGTCATACTTGCGCCACGGAAATCGAAGAAATGAGAGATGCGATTAGAGGCCATCGCCGTTCCTGAACCAGTCAGGAGATATCGTGGAAGGTTATCTTCATCGCGGATCAAAGAATCTCTATAATCATGAACAAATGTGCCGGCAAATACAGACGTGTTTGTGCCCGCGACTTGCGCGAGTGGGAGACCGGCTGTTTCTCAGGTAAGCTCTCTATCACAGAAGAGTTGTAGCGGGTGACTCAACTTACCATTCTCCAAGGCTTCGTAAACCGACTCTAGTTGCAGCCGGAATTGAGGATCTAACGTCTATCGGTGCATCATATCAGCCATCTCCCTTCGTAGCACGCCGCGTGGATCAAACTTACCGCGGCAGTTTCGGCGGAATAATTAAAAAATGCAGCGTCGAATAGTCCAACATCCTCTTTCATGAAGTGAGCACCTTTGACATGCATCTAATTGCGCCCATTAATACCTGTCTTCAATCCACATCAGAGGCAGACAACCTACTGTGCTCAGTTTCTCGTTGTTGGGATGATAGGCGCCCTTGGGATTGAAACGAGAGGCTGAAATCTCGCTCCAGGCACTTTTCCCTTCGGCCAGCAAGTCCCACAAGCCTGAGGGGTTGGATGCTTCACCAGCAAACTTGCATCCTATGCCAATGATGGCGATGGGCTCACTAGCCCAAGCTGGCCCGGCGCTTCCCATGGTCGTGTGGAAGAAATGATTACAAAAAAACCGTGGGTGGGAAAGCAACCGAGAGAAGAGAGTCCAGAGAGGATGCTATAGGATGATTTCAGGTCGAGTAGTCTATAAGTCTAAAGGATGGATGGAAGGTGGTTTGGTAGAAACTAGCTGGTCAAGATGGCTGCTTCGCGGTTTAACTGCCCAGTATAAGGGCCTTGTTCCCGACCATGGTGGACACGCTGCAGGAACCGGGCTAGAACATGCAAAGCGTGTAATTGACACATCTGGAACGACTTTCCGGCGTTTTTTGGTCTGTATTATGAGGTGAGATACGGTCGGGGCGCGCCTTGTTGAAGATGTGCCGGAATAAAGAGACGCGTCTCCCTCCGGACTTGCAAAAAGTCCGCCTAAAACTGCGGCCCGCCCAGGGGTACTTTCAGCGTCAAACGAGTACCTACGGCTGTGAGACCCTGTCCCGCCTTTAAGGACGGTCTTTTAGATATAGACGTAAACTCTCAAAATAAAAGGCCTAAATCGTACCAACATACATGGACCGAGTGTTCACAAAAATGAGTAAGTAACTTCCATGGACGTTGATAATAGATGCAGATAACACAACAGTGATGGAAAATATATATCCAGTGAGATCGACAAGATTCCCTATGAAATTTTCTCTACATTCTAAGTAATAAGACAGCAAGACGTTATTCCAATGAGCTACGAGCTACTCATCTCTTTTAAAATAGAAGACGGTAACGAGAAAGCTAGAAGGAGTATTGAGATTGGGAGCTAGAGTATAGTAGTTGTCTGGAGTATTCCCCGTAGTCTGTCGCTCTCCTTGTAGTTTTCGGCATCTCATGTTTGTTTGCACTGTTTGTTTCCTAGCCAAAGAACCTGATGGCTTCAGAACAAATCAGTTTTCAGGCACACAATAAACACGTTCTACCAACTACAGTTGGCTCAATTGATTTTCGAGATGGAGATGACTCAGTTTCAAGAGGCAAATAAACCTTTGGGCCTGGTTTGAGAGCCGTCACTCACTCTTACGTCTGATGCGACCGTGGAGAATTGATATGATTTGTGGTGCTTCGCCCTGCAAGCCTGGAATTATTTACTATCTATTCTTTGAACAAAGATAAGGTAAGGTGAAGTAACTGTACGACCGAGTGGGATCTTTTAATTAGAAAACATATAGTAAATGACTATGGAAGAGATATTGAAAGGGAATCAAAGAGAGATCAAAAGAAATACCGAAACCTAGCCATAAGGATTTGGATCTACTTACTCATAAACACCCGTAGCAAAAACACAAGAATTAGAAATGCACAGCAATATATTCCACGGAAGATCAAATCTAGTATCAACAAAGCAAAACTGCTGAAAACATCAAATTACGATGAAAGAAATCCCATCTCCTTCCAAGTTCTGACATATCCCTCGACAACCTCCGAACTCAGCGGCCCCAGAGAAGCCATGGTCTTCGAATGCTCCTTGGTCTTGGTCGTATCCAAAATCAGCCCACCACAAGACATGCGCTCGTAGTCATCCTCCAAGAAGTACACAATGCGGGAAGCTGGGTTCTCCGACTCTTGCAGTGGTGAACGGGTAATCCGTCGAAGCCAGTTGCGGTATGTGACGATCGCGTTGGTGGGGATGCCAAGAGCACGCGCCAGAACGGGAGACATCTCCTTCCATGACTGACCAACTGGATTGTCAATGTGATAGACGGGGTATGCCTCGGGTGCATTTTCTTCATTGCCAATATGCAACAATTCCGAAATGGAAGCTGCAGCTGCGTCGACAGGGACCCATTGCATCGTCCCGTCCAGGTCGGGCCATGCGCGCAAGGACTGGGCAGACTTCACCATGAACGGAAAGTGTTCAACGGGATTCCAGACACCACTGGTCGTGGAACCTGCGATCTGACCTGGGCGGACGACCATCGGTCGGAAGAGAGCAGGATATTTGTGCAGTGTTTCATCCAGCATGCGCTCGCAGACCCATTTACCTTCACAGTAGCCCGTAGGCAGAACGGCAGAGATGGGCACCCGCTCCTCGGGAATGCGCCCTCGGCCTGCATGGCCAACAACACCGATAGAGGTAACAAGCTGGAATCCAATGCGGCGGAAGCCATCATCGGACTGCGAACAGCAAGCGGCGTCGCGTGCCAGATCCAAGAGATGACGCATGGTCTGGAACTGAGGGAGGAAGCCTGGAAGAGGCCGGGTGCCACTCATGGGCCAGGCGTTGTGCACGATGTGCGTGACATTCTGCACTAACCATTGATATTCAGACGCCTCGATGCCGAGTTGCGACTGGGAGGTGTCCGTTTCAAGAATTCGGAGCTTGGAAGTAGCAGCGGAAGAAAGGGAGATACCGCGACTGGAAAAAGCATCAGCTTGTCGGGTCTCAACTGCCGTGAAGCCCCTGCGACGGTTCACGCAAACAACGCTTTTGACGTCGGGATTTTCAGCAAACGCAGCAGCCAGATGCGAGCCCAGACTGCCAGTGGCTCCGGTGACTAACACAACAGCATCATGTAGGTTCTGACACGATTTGCCATCTCTCTTTGCGCTGGCCTCGTCCAGACTGGGTGTGGCCCAGGCTGCCGTGTGCTCAGCGACGTACTTCGCGGCTTCCGCTTCTCGTGTCGCTAGATCGCGCGTTGGCTGCTCAGGCAACTTGGCCGGTGATGGTGAGATCGGCAAAGGGTTCATGACAGGACCGCTCGCCAACGCAACCACAACTCGCTGAATGTTGTTCTCGGGTAAGTGTCCATCAGTCCAATCGACATGACCAAAGCCGGCGCTCTGGAGATCGCGTGTCCATCGTTCAGTAGGAACAACCGCATGGGTGCGTCCATCGTCGAACATCCACCAACCTTCGAAGAGACCAAAGATCAGGTTAGACAGTGGAGTATCTTCGGTCTGTTCGAGCATCATGAGCATGCCGTCCGGCCTCAGGGCCTTGTGAACGTTCTTCGCAGATTCGACCAGGTTGTGCGTTGCATGAACGGCGTTACTGGCGATGATGATATGTTGGCCACAGATATCCTCCGCAGGGACCTTCTCAATGTCGTGGACAGCAAAGCGCATGAATGGGTATTGCTTGCCCATTGTTCGTCTCGCTGCGGCAACCATAGATGGGGACAGATCAGTGAAGGTATACTCCACTTGGATATTCAAGGATGCCAGCAATGGCACGAGAATCTGCGTCGTGCCACCCGTTCCGGCACCCATCTCCAATATCTTGAGTGTTCCTTGCTGACTCCTTGAATTTACATGATTGGCAAGAAGGGCGAGGAAATCGCCCATCTGCTCTCCAAGCAGGGCGGCGAAAGGGTTGTGCCGATAGTGTCCTGCCATAAGTTCACGACCCTCGCTCGAACCGAAGAGAATCTTGATACCGTCGGTCTCGCCTTTGAGAATCTTGGCCAGGGGCTTTCCAGCATGGTATATCAGTTTCGCTGTCACTGCCCAGTCCGGGAATTCGTTGATGAAGTCCTCCATCAGGGCCTCGCTGGGCTTGGACGGCACTGCGACACCAGTCCTTGTCACCTGGCCGCTGGTAGGATCAACATCGAACAGACGAGCGTCATCCCCCAAAAAGCTGTATAGCCATTCCACAAGGCGGTTGTATTCTGGCTGGTAGGGAATGCGGGGGAGATTGTCGCCCTTGGTCGCAGATTGCAGAGAACAGTCTAGCTGCTCAAAGGCCTCCACGATCAAAGCAACACACAGTCGGCTGGTGCCAGCAATGATGTGACTGTCCACATTGTCCACATGATGTTGCCGAAGCTTCTGATCGGTGCTAATTTTGACCTTGCCGAAGCACTCCAAGATATCTGTGGACGTGAGCTCGAGGCTCTGATTGACAACGGCAGACTTGACTGGATCAGGTGTAGGGATCCTGGTGTCTTCACCGGACGGGGGAGTGGCCAATGTATCACCTTCACTGCTTGACCAGTCATCTTCGTCCGAGGAGGACTCGCTGCTGGCGGCGTCTGCTCCAGCATCACCAGCGGCAGCATTGCCGCCCTCGCCGAACAAGACACCAGAGATGACAGTGACAAGTTGACGAACACTTGTGGCCTGCAGCAGAGTATCCTGATCCATCGCCTGTTTGAAGACCACCTGGACTTCGCGAGCAAGCTCCATGCCCATGAGCGAGTCGATACCAATGTCGGCGACCTCGGTATCTAGAGTGATCTCGCTGACATCCATACCAGCAACTGTCGCGACAAGCTTTCGAATCTCATCACTGATATCAGGTCGTCCTGAGCTTGCGGGCTTCTTCTCCTTCTTCTTCTTTGGCTGCTTCTTCGAGTGATTGGCCTCACTGCGAATGATATCCCGCTGTTGCGTGGTGAAGCCGGGAGCAATAGACACGTCATCATTGCCTGCAGCTGGCACTGGTGTCGAAGCGCCTGCCACTGCGCTTGTCGAAGTGCGCAAGACTGACTTGTCTTTGGTAAGTTTGGTGAGCATTCTGCTCATGGAAGCCTTGGAGATGCGTGAGTACTGAATTCCCAGCATCACCTCGGCCAGTTCGCTGGTTGCAGCATCAAACACAAAGACGTCACTCAAGTAAGTCGTCTCAGATTGGCGAGTATTGCGGACATATACGTGCCAGTTCTCTTGGGACCGATGAGTGCTAATAATCTGCCGAGGGGACCGCATTGACAAATCAATACCCGTGGCGATATACATGTCACCGTGCGCCAGATCCGTCATGCAGTTGACCCAGATGCCAGCAACCTGACTGAAGCTGTCATCGAGCAGGGTGTCTAGCAGAGTATTGCCGGCATATCGACCCACCACGCGACCGGCACACTCACTCGCAAGACCAATGACCGAGCGAACACCGCGATACATGTCGGCATAGTCAACGAATTCGCCGAAAGTCCGGTAGACATTACGACCTTGCAGAACCTCAACATCCTCATTATCGCCAGCTGAAGCAAGCAACTCAAGAGCGCGAGTGTGTGGGAAGAGACGCTCGAAACGCGCGAACTCGCCCGCGTAAGATGGGTCTTCTGCGGAGCGTACACGAATACGTCCCTGGACATACATCTGCTCATCACGCTCGGACATGACGGAGGTGCTCGAAATGCTCCAGTCCCATTGTGTCAAGTCACCTTCAGCAGACTTGAAGTCCAGCCAGACAATGCGCGAAGGATCGACGCAAAGAGGCGAGTGGTTCACCATGTCATGAACGGTGGGCTGCAACCCATCTTGCTTCCATTGGGGATGAAGACTGAACAAGGCCTCGATTGCCATGTCGACCTGGAGTGTACCCGGGCAAATGGGCGCCGTCAGGGCGATGATGTGGCCTGAGACAAACTTCTTGTACTCTTCCGAGCCCGTGTTGATCCGGAAGCGGGCCCGCTTGGGTGTGCGCTTGCTGCTGGTCTTTTCCTTCTCATCAAGGTAGCCGATGAATGACCAAAGGCCAAGACCCCTCTGGTCATCCTCTTTGCCTTCGGCTGGCCTCTCAATAGGACCCAGAAGCGCTGCAGCCTCCTGGATGGCCTTGACTGGAGACTTGAGATCCAGCCAATGTCGAGACTTCTCGAATTGATACGGTGGGAGGACAAGACTGGCGTATTCGTTGGTCTGGGACGCGTGGTGTGGCCAGAAAGAGACCCGGAGGCCTTGTTTCCAAAGAGAGACCGTCGCATCTGTCAAGCCGTCAAGACCATTGCAGTTTGTGATCTTCACTGGCTGGAAGCCGTGCGAGCTTCCTCCAGTGTGTAGCGCACGGCTTGCCATGACTGTGATTCCGGAGCTGGACCCGGCCTCCAGGAAGATGGCCGAGGGGTGCTTCTCCGCGAGGCGCTGAACTGCCTGACAGAAGAAGACAGGCTTGCGCATGTGTTTCGGCACGTACTGGGCTGTCATCTCAGGGCTTGAGGATCTCGTCTCGGTTGCAAGCTCAAGTGGGATCGAGGGCTGGTTGAACGTCAAGTCCCGGCCAATTTCTTCGAGTTGCTCCACAAGAGGGTCAACAAGGGACGAGTGGAAGGCATTGGTGACATTGAGTCGCTTGCTCTTGATGGCTGAGAACTTTTCCTCCTGTGCAATGGTGTCTGCAATCGCGTCAATGGCCTCCGTGGGACCTGCCAAGGTGAAGCTTCTCACTCCATTGTAACAAGCGATGGCAGCCGGGGCGACCTCAGTATTCCGCTTGCTAAGACGACGGCTAGTGTCGTCTACGAGTTCCTGAGCGAGTGCTGCGTCCGTCTCGATTGCCATCATAGCACCCTTGTCCGTGCCCCAAGACTCCCGAATCACGCGAGCACGTCCTGCCACCAATCGAACGGCGTCAGAGAGGCTCAGAACCCCCGAGATACAGAGTGCAACGAGTTCCCCAAAACTGTGGCCGACAACGGCGGCAATCTTTCCAAATAGGCCGCAATCAATCCACGAGCGAGCACACGAGTACTGCATGGCAAAGAGCATTGTTTGTACGCGGACAGGGTCTTCTTCTGGTGAGCTTGAGAAGATGCCGGGGAAAATGCTGTCGAGGCCGAAGGACTGCATCACAACATCGCACTCGTCAAGGTGGTGTCTGAGGATAGCCACACTGTCATAAAGATGCTTATCTAGGCCAATATAGGTCGAAACTTGGCCACCGAAGCAGAGAATAACAGGACGCTCCGCCTTGGTTGGCTCGATGGACAATGGGGACTCGGTGGAATCCCCAACCGCGATCTGAGAGAGCGCATCTTGCAACTGCTTGACCGAATTTGCGGCGAACGAGATCTTATGGCCCAGTGATGGGTTACAGATCCGGTCAACATTGAAAGAGATGTCGGCTAGGCTCAAAGACCCATGGACCACGGATGGATTCTGCAGGTAGGACGCCAGCTTTCCGGCATACCTCTGAATGCTGCGTGCGTCAAGACCAGAAATCGAAAAAGGGAACCGACGCTGTTGCTCTGCAGTTGCAGCACGCAGCCCCCTTATGGAAGCATCTTCAGCTCCAAAATTGTGGTGTTGAGACTGAGTGACCACCATCGCAGCATTTGAGCCACAGGCGCCATAGTTGTTCAGCAATGCCTTCTTGCTGGTGCTATTGCTCCAAGGACGAAGAGACGTGACGACCTCTAACATATCAGAGGGCGAAGCTTTGATCCCTGGATTCATGTGTGTGAAGCTAGCCTGTGGAGGGATGAAGTTTTTATTCATCATCATCAGGACCTTGATCAAGGAAACGGCGCCTGATGCGCCTTCGGCGTGTCCAATATGACCCTTAACGGATCCTATCGGCAAAGGAGTTGAGCGAACACCAGGTCCGCCCACGGCATTCTTGATGCTCTCATACTCAGCTGGATCTCCAACCGCAGTTCCTGTACCATGAGCTTCGACCAGAGAGATGTCACTTGGAGCAACCTTGGACTCGCGGATGACATCTTGAAACAGTTCCGTGAGAGATGGTGAGTTTGGCACAAACATCGGGGTGCAGTTCTGGTTTTGATACACAGCCGAGCTTGCAATGCAGCCTAGGATTGGGTTTCCGTCGGCGATAGCATCTGACATTCGCTTGAGAAAGACGCAGCCAATTCCCTCGGCTCGACAGAAACCATCTGCCTGCGCATCAAATGGCTTGCATTGACCAGTTGGACTCAGGAAACTGGCCCCAGCCAGGTTCTGAAACCACAGGGGGTTTGTACAGAGAGCAACACCACCTGCAAGGGCCGCATTGCATTCTCCCGTGAGAAGATTGCGGCAGGCCATGTGAATGGCCACTGCAGATGATGAACAGGCTGTGTCGATGGTAATTGCAGGGCCCGTCCATCCGAACCAGTGAGCAACCCTGCCGGCCAGGAAGCTCTGCAGATTTCCCGTGGCTGTGAAGGCATTGGGGCTATGGCATGCCACATTATGCTCATAGTCAACTGCAGGCGAGCCGACAAAAACTCCGACATGGCCTCTGGACCTTTCTTCTTTCCGTGGACTCCGAGTCGCCTCGGTGAAGTAGCCAGACTGCTCGACTGCCTGATATGCCGCCTGGAGCAGGAGGCGTTGTTGTGGGTCAGTCGAGGCAGACTCACGAGGGCTGCGCTTGAAGAACTTGTGGTCGAAAGCGTCAGAGTCCCGGATAAAGTTGGCATACCACTTGCGGGACGGATCTTTATCACCCTCGCGGAACAAAGTGTCAAATGCGATGCGGTCCGGAGTAATGAGTTCGTGCTGTGACTGGCCGGTCTTGAGCATTTCGGCGAATTCATCAAGATCACCGGCCCCAGCAACATTGATCGCCATTCCTACCACGGCAATATCCGAATCATTGAAAGAAACATCACTGCATGGCTGTGCTGGCGGTCCCAGAACTTTGATGGCAGGGCTCGCCTTAGTGCTGCCAGAAAATGGCTGCACTCGTACCTCTGCAGGCAGATCGGCAAAATGGACAAGCCTCAGCCCTAGAGAACGCACTAAAGTTGGTGGAACACATCGATCCGGGCCAAAAGTTGCGATAGTTGCTTCCGAGACGGGGTCGAGGAGAGCCCTCTTGACCGACGCAAAGGTGTCATACCACTTGCATTGTTGCATGAACACGGCACTCAAGGCGACCTCGTGCATAGGACCGGCATCGGTACCGACAGGCTTACCATCTCCAGCATTCGTGTAGGTTGGCAGAGCGAGATGGGAAGCATCTGGAAGCTGCAGGCCAGGGGTGGAACTCAAAAAGCGGAGGAATGCCTCTGTCTTCTCCTTGGTATCGGGTTTCGGGCTGTGGATGTTTCCCTTGAGGCCAACCTCAGCAGTGGTGATTCCAGCTGCTCGCAATCGCCGTATTAGCCGTGGCGCAGCCCTTTCCGTCGTCGTCACCGTGCCCCGTGCTTCGTCGTAGAAGACAGAGGTGTATGCCTCGGGGAAAAGGTCGTCGATCACCCGCTCCATTTCCTGCTTCTGCGCGGCAGTCCGCCATGCCGTTGCAAAGGACTTGGAAGGGCCTTGTCCCTCCTTCTTGCTCCATTCATCTTGGGCATCGATCAGGGCGCCACCCACCATGGCAAGACGGATGGCCACGGCTCCATATTCGTCGACCTCGTTGGCGGTATGGGCACATGCGATTGCGAACGCGCCCAGGAGCCCCATGCAGAACCCCAAAGTTGACGTCTTCTTTTGACCAACCAGCTTCGCGTGGATATCTGTTTCTGCTAGGGCATTGCTGGCCTTTCGCTGCAGTTCCAAATATTGGCGGTATTGCGTCAACTGGGTGAGGACCACTAAAGGTGAGAGCACCACGCTCGGCAAGGCCTCCAGTTCGCGCATAAAGTCACCTCCTTCATTGCCGCTGGTAATTTGTTGGACCCAGGCGTGAAGGTGTGCAATAAGAGGTTTCCCTTTGGCGCCGAGTGCATCGGTGATCTCAGGGATCTGTTTGGCTAGGGTGTCCCAGTAGTCCGGAAGCTCTGCTATAGTCTTGAGGATCCATTCCCGAGCAGGCCCGTCTTGTAGTGTGCTTTGAATCTCGTCCAGGGAATCTTTGTTTAATTTCTCGATTTGTGATCCGAATAAGAGAATAGTTGTTGACTCGCTGGGCTCGGTAAATTTGTTCATCTTTTCGACAGGTGTCTAAGTCTATGGATTGTTGAATCTGAGTTTACAACGTTAGAACTCACTCAATCACTGACTCGCACCACCTTGAAGGGCCAACGGTCTTGCATACCGTACAAATAGTGTATAATGACTGTGATAGGTGATATGAGATAGATCCAAGGGGTCAAATTCGCTTCTCTGTATTAACAACCATAGGTATAGCTATCTTTTTATGGGAGTCTTTTCCTACTTTACGGCGGCGAAATGATGACGGATTTCCCTTAGTGAAGAGTACAAACAAGGCGGACATATTTGGTGCTCCTATTCTCCTGATAAATTCCAATCTTACTCTCAAGTGCTGTAAAATGCTTCCGGGGTGACAGCCGGAAGTACTTTGTAGAGAAGAAATAGTCCGTACGTTACTGCGAAGGATAAGGCAAATAGGTAGACGAATAACTAACAAGGTAGCTAGGTAACTAGTTACCTAGAGTTCCTTAAGATGACTAAACCGGCGAAGCACCCAACCTTCCATCAGCCTTCTTCGTATCGACAGATCGCCCTGCTTACGGTCATCTCTCACAGCATAGACGGTATCTCCGATGCTGATGTTGATCCAGATTGAAACAGGGGCCTGTCACGCTACAGTATCTAACCGGTTCGGAGACGGGGAATTTCAAACTTGTTTTAGCCAGACAGACGGGTGGGGATGGAGAACACTTCTAAGCGCCCATGTCTGCTTCACATGATGTGCATTTCGGAGAAATAGATCCATGATCTTGATGGCGCAGCACTTGCCGAGAACGCGGCAAACTAAAGGAGAAATTAAAAGTCCGAGTGTCGATCCTTCGTTATGCAGGGATCGACCTCGTATCTAGTACTCTACGACAGTATTTAGGCGAAAAGCTTATCAATCGGTGTCCCCTTGCATGATTACATTACAATGGGAACGCAGCATGGGTAACACGGACCATATCGAGCACTGTTCATCCCCTGGCAGATACGATGTCGATCACCTCGACTAAGCCAAAAGTACGAAAATCCGTAAGTTCCGAAGATGCCGTCCTGACTCCTGTGGGATCCACCGGCATGCATTGGTTTTCTCTGACTGTTCTTTTGACTTTTGCTTTCTTTTCTCCTTGACATTTCACAATTTAGCTACAGTGTAATAAACTGAAACTCCGATGAGAGGTTGGAAGGCTTTTGATCTGTGAGAGTATATTTTTATTTTTTTCGCTCGCGTGGATGCCTACTACTTTCTTTCATGTAGACGTCAAGGATGCGGCCGGGTAGCTGGCAAAGGTCAGTAAAAAAGTAGAAAACCCATTGCGGACGCACTTCGAGGTTCTTCATGGCTCGCTTTCAATCCTGGAATATCGAATGGTATAGAGTAAATTGACGAGTATGTCAACCACCAGAAGAAAAGGGCGAAATCGGTCTAGCCAAGACAGCTCGGGTGAAGATACAGAGAAGGCGTCACCGTCAGCACCACCGGCCCCCATCCCGAAGGATCCCAACCTAGTCGAACGGAACGGCCCCAACGATCCTGAGAATCCACAGAACTTTGCGCCAGCCAAGAAATGGCTCATCACGGTGTTATTCAGTTCGATGACAATGTGGGTGACATTTTCCAGTAGCATTTTCAGCGCTGCCGTTGAAGTCATCGCGAAGGAATACAATGTTTCCAATGAGGTGACGACGTTGGGAACAAGCTTGACCCTTTTGGTAGACGCCTCCCTGCAGTCTTACCAACATCCGAAGATCGTCCGAGGACATGCCTTAATGTGCACTTCACTCTGTAGGGATTTGCTCTAGGTCCCTTGATTTGAGGTCCCATGTCCGAGCTTTACGGACGCCTCAAGCCACTTTATCTCGGGTATGCCGTTTTTGTGATTTTCCAGATCCAAGCGGGCGTGGCCCAGAATCTTCAGGCTACCCTGATATGTCGTTTCATCATCGGACTTTTTGGCACTTCTGCATTGGCGGTCGTTGGTGGCGCATTTGTCGACTTTTGGGGCCCTATGGATCGAGCTATGGCCGTCTGCTTGTACGCCGCTGCTACCTTCGTTGGACCCATATTCGGGCCAATCATGTAAGTCAACTGGACTGATATCAGCATTCCTTCTACAAGGATTTTGCTGACACCCTAGTGACCCTATAGTGGTGGCTTTCTGGTCGAATCTCATCTTGGGTGGCGTTGGTCGGCGTGGATCACCATGATTGCGTCCTCATTCTGCGGTGTCATAGCGTTCTTCATTACACCAGAAACCAACCACCCGGTTCTCTTGCAGCGGCGTGCAGCACAGTTGCGAAAGAAAAACAACAACACGGCCTACTACTCCGTACTTGACAAGAGTGCATCATGTTTCGAGACATCCTGACCAAATACCGCTTTCGACCATTCCAAATGCTGGCAATGGAGCCAATCCTCGTTTGTTTCACGATCTATATCTCCCTTATCTACGGGATTCTGTATCTATTCTTCACTGCATAACCAATCTCGTTTGCTGGAAATCGCCACTGGCAGTCAGCTGGTGTCGCTGCTCTGCCTTTTCTGGGTGTTATGGTGGGGATTTTCCTTGGGGGTATCTTCATCACGATCACTACCAAGACTTACTACGCCACGAAATTACGCAGTGGTACGGTTCGGCCCGAAGATCGTCTTCCACCTGTGATGCCCATGGCGGTACTTTTTCCTGCCGGCCTGTTCTGGTTTGGCTGGAGCTCGAATCCTTCAGTACCCTGGACGGCACAAGTCGTCGCCGGGGTCCCCATTGGTGCGGGCATCCTCGTCATTTGGCTACAAGGGCTGAATTATCTGATCGATGTCTATCTAATGTTTGCTAACTCGGCACTTTCGGCTAACACCTTGATTCAGAGTACCGTGGGTGGAGCTTTTCCCCTCTTTGCTACATGTACGACACACTGGGAGTGGCCTGGGCCGCATCGCTGCTCGGATTCCTCAGCATAGCAATGATCCCGATTCCGTTTGTATTTTACTTTTACGGGCCCAGGATCCGCGCTCTAAGCCAGTACACGCCCAAGTTGTAAAGAATCGGCTCCTCTCCCATGGGATCTATTTCAAATTCATAGCTAATTTAGTAGACAATGTACATAAAGTGGCAGAACAGGCTATCTAATACATATAATTGGCTCTCTTATAGCCTCGGCAAGTGCCTTCCTGGTCTAGTTCATCTAGAAGCTCCCGGGCAAGATTGTTGATATCTTTCAAGTTGTCAAGTGCGTTAAACAATGCGGCCAAACCATCTGCTGTATCTTCCCCACCTGATGTGACCATACATGGCGAGTTAGTGTGAGAAGTGAGAAATTCCACGGCCTGTGAGAGTGCACTCGGCACAAACGGGTGGACCTGGAATGTTGGTTAACGACTTTCCTAAAATGGACCATAAGCATGGATTACTGTCAGACATACCTTGAACCGCCCGATTCTTGGAATGACTTTGGCCAGATGTACCAGCTCAACCGCCGCCCGGAATGCTCTCTGCTGATAGGTCGATGCCCTAACCTGATGTTCGACAGACTGCCAATTGGCAGTCTCGGTTGTCGTGCTTAGATAGATTATGGCACCCTGAGCTAGTACGTAGGTGAAGGTAAGCATTGGATCGATGTCGAGATTTGATGCAGGCGCAGGAACCGATGGGCCATTCCACTTGCCACTACTACTGGAGCAGTGGAAGCTTTGGGCAATTGACTGACGACGTTTCTCCACGGCTGCTGCCAGAGAGTCGTGTCTGGACCAGAACTCGCGTGGCTCACATCCCCCCTTGGACAAGGTCACTACTGATGCGAGGCGCCGGTGGGACATGCATCTGCCACATAGTGTCGCGAGGAGGATGCATTCAGCAAAAGGGGTTGCTACTGGCGCTTGTCCATTGCCGTCCAAGACATCAAGTAAGAAATCAGTCTGAATCGGTTGATTATGTTGGAAGTTGGTCTCGGGTGCTGGGAGACGGGTGTGTATCTGATAATCGTGAGCCAAATCAGTTAACTCGAAATGAATCCCTCGGCTGATGGAATCGTAAACTTACTGTTTCTTCGTCAAGAGTCAATGGCCACTCATTGCGCCAGTTCAGAAATCTATCCAAACAGTATGCCATCCAAAACACTCTTCTTTTCTCCTCCCTTCTAGCGAAAGGCTCCTGGGTTGACTGAAGCCCAGTATGCTCATTGCCATAACCAACGCCTTCTCCACCCTCTGTAGTAAATCCTGTCACAGCAGATGATGAACTTGGAGAGTCAACGTCAAACAACCTCGCCAGCTGGACAAGCCGAAAAGCTCTGCCAGCCGTGATCATTGCTTGGTCTTCGTTTTTGCGTAGAAACTCATATTGCGCGAGAAGGAGCCATGCCTGGATTTGCTCCAATGGCATGTTGTTGCTGGCAGACCGAGGTCGATATTTCCTACTTCCACCAACACATCTGCTTTCCAGCGCGCTAAGCATCTCGCGCGTGTCCAGATAAAGGGCATCCTCGATCTCCCGAAACTGCGAAGACGCGGCTGCAGCTGCGGTATGCATCGCGCGCTGAAGACACGCTTGGGCAGGAGTGGGAGAGTGGCTCGGGTCTAACGCCCATTCAAAATATTTCTGCTTGTGCACGATAGGGGAGACAAGGTGGACACGTTCGAAGTACAGTTGATCCCTGAGACGTGCATTGTTAGGATGGCCACATCCACTATCCAGGGTAAATGGAAACCTACAAATCTGCTCGAACCAAGGCAGGGAGGCACAGATTATCTCTAATGTGTGTTGGGATTGCTTCGTATTGCTTCACAGGCGTCGTTGTTCCTATATTGGACATAATGATGCCACCAGCCGTATGCCAATCCATGCAGGTAGCAGATATAGCGTCCACATTGGTGAAATCAGGCGATAGCTCAGGGAGTTCTTGGAAGTCGGACAAATATGTAAGATCCGGTGATCTACCATCTGTCTGGGTGAAGAAGTTTCCGATGTCAAAAGAGTCTTGATTCAGTATAGTAGTGTCTCTCTCCCGAATGGGGACGGGGATTTCTTCAAATGGAGGTGTTGATACTGGTGTGGTTCGTTGCTTCGTCGCTTCCCCATCAAAGCCATCAAGCTGGCCAACAAGTTGACGTTCGAGCATTGCTAAGGAAGGGCATCGTGTTAGGCATTTTGGTTATTCTTTCCAAACAAAACGATACTTACCGACTCGGCTTCGCAATGCTTGAAGCTGCCCTTTCTTTGGACCTCGTTGTGGGCGTTTCTCATTCACTATACACGCCGTCCCATTCTCTATACAACTTCCACATATTGGCCGGGCACGATCACATCGTGCTTTTCGCCTTCGGCACTCCTCACAGGCCAAACCCGGCCGCTGCCGGATACTGGCTGCCATTATCAGCGTTTCCTTTGTTGAGAGTAGTTACTGCCACAAGGATACCCTGCTTCGCTGGGTCTAACCGATTATGTGTGAATAGCTATGTTTTTTTGCGAGCACAGGCTGAAGATTATATTTAAAAAACGTGGCGTGATTAGATTCCACTGCCCCTCGTATTTACGGCCCTCGATACCACATAAATGATACTATGATATTTGGACCGTCAGAACCCTACCCAGGGGGGCGAATGGTTCGCCTCTGATATCCGATGTACGTAAGAAATTAGTTCGTCTGGGATATTGGACGTTTAATCAACTTGCAAGGGTACCTAAACGGTAATACCAACCGGGTCAGATGTAGTGAGTGGAATCCGTATCAGAATCTTGGTCAGCCGCTAGAGCCAAAGCAGGCATACGAACTCGCGTGGTCTGGAGCAATTGAGGGGGTTGTGGGCGGCACCGAGACAGGCAGACGGTTATTGAGGTCGAATCAGCGAGTCTGACACGCATACACGGAGTAGCAGTACATTGCCTGATGAGCTCAGCTAGCGCGCCTAAAGCGCTGGCCATGGATGCAGACAGTATACTCATCTGCCCGATATGACTTAGATGGTGTAATGGACATGCAATCTCACTAGCACGACTCCATACATAGGCCCATGGGCCATAAGCAACCGCCTAACCAGGATTTAATTCAACCGGTGCCTAGATCTGCAACCCTGCTTTGGATAGACTTCGTGCTTGGAATGCATTCTCGTGTTGAGATACGATGGTCGGGCGCAACTACTGATGACAAAGTCAGCCACGAAGCCGGCTGATCTGCCTTCTCCGCTGTGCCTATTGGTTGGACAAAAATAAGTGGGAATCTGGTTTTCTGTGGGCGAGTTTGCTCACAATACCTACTTTTTATTCGATACGAGCGCGATACTAATGGAAGAATCAAGCTTTGAACAATAGTAAATAGGCCTATTGTTCAAACCCCCCCCTTCCCGTAGAGTCTAGCGTTGTCAATGGCACGGCTCGCTCTCTGGCCGCCCATTCCCAATCCGGAGCGGGGTGCGACGGCGCCGATAGCGGACCCTGCATCCGCCCATATAGATCTATGCTTCTAATGTTTGTGAAGAAAGTATATGGTACACTCCCTGCCATAATTAAACCGATTGCATAGATTGCCTTAGCGCGGCGCTGTCATATTTTGGCGACATAATGGTACCCACGGTCGCTGATAAATCTCAGTCCCTAGCCTGCTCCCGCCCCCTCCCCTCTCGGCCATTGTTCATTCCATGACTCTTTCCCACATGTCCACTGCCCATTCTTTAGTTGTTGTCTTAAATCCCATCACACCTTTTGGTACTATAAGCCCAACATAGGCCCCGACGCTTTTTATAGTAGTCATTCTAGAAACACAATGTCTGATTCGATGGTTCCAAACAGCTACTCACAACGACTGGATGGAAGATGTACTTTGCCACGTATTAAACAACTTTTCTAGCGACCAGTGTACTGGATAGAATTAAGCGTAAGGGCTGTCCATATTTACCAGAAAACCTAGCCAATATTATTTTCAGGGAGGCTGATACAGCGGCCTATACAATAGTTAGTTTGTGTCCCGGTAAATCTCTACCTAGCCAGATGGATATACGATTATTAGAAAACTTACGGTATGACTCGATCTGATGTTTCATAAGATCAGCCTAGTAGAACTAAGATGTCTATAAGAATCAACGGAACTGATCTAGGGGCCTGATTTTTTCCGGTATAATATAGTAGTGCTCGATCCCTGCATAAAGTTGCTTATAGGAGTCTAAATTCAGTGGCAGAAATTAAGTGATCATCAGAAATACTCACACCTATCATCGTCATCAAATTGAACCACTAACTTCTATCATAACAGCATTTAATCGGTTTGGCCGAATCTTATCATCCTTAAAAATGGTTTGATAGGACTGGAGAGAGTGGTAGCTCCTGTTAAAGATGATATTTTGTCAGTACCTAAGTCACTATGCCAGGACCGACTTATAGGCTCCTCATGTGGCACCAAATTCAACCGTGAATCGGCCTGCTGGAATATCTGCCTGGTTAAAAACTTAGCCCAGGCCCACGTTATAGTCCTCGATAGCACCATAGTAAGCGTTTCCAATTCCATTGCGATCCACCCAGTTGCTGGTCGCCGAGTTGTAGCTGAGGTAACCTTGGAAGTTGCTACTTGTGAGCCAAGACAGAATAGTGTTTGATCCTCCAGAATTGTAATTCGCATTCATCACGTTGCCGTAGATTTTGAAAGGAAAGTGATTACTTTCGCGATCCGTGTATGGTGAAAGGTCGGGAACAATGGTAAGCTTTTTCGGTGTATGTCGTTCTGTTTTTGATTTTCTTGGAATTGAATGTGGACAGGGAAATTATAGCATCGTATAGGATTAGCTTCCCTCAAGGTATACTGTACTAGCCCGGCTCTCCGTTCTCCAACGGCAAGCACAGCGCGAATCCAAAAGTTTGTGATATTTACCAGCGGAATGGTAAGTCTATGTGCGCCACCGGGCTTTCTGGTAACACATTTGCACGATTGCTAATTGACTCATAGTTTTGCATGGCACACAGGAGTATTATCACACGTTCGACCGTATTGGAGGCAGGTTCAACAGCGAGATTGGCATGGAAGCATTCCCGGCTTTGTCGACAATTTGTCATTTTGTCACCAAGATCTCCGAACTGAATTCCCACTCACGAACGCTCGACTTCCATAAAAAGGCTGATGGTCATGCCTGTCGTATTGCGCTTGATTTGGCAGAGAATTTTCCCGCGACAGCCGGATTGAAGGTGAGCATCCCTAACTGAGTCAAATCATTTCGCCGTACTTCGCTAACCCATCACGTCATTCGCACAGTCACAAATTCACTTGATGCAATTGCTCCAATTGCTATCTGACGGAACAGAAGCAACAGTGGATCCCGGAAGAAGGGATAGTTATAACGTAATTCCCGGTCACCCTGGCCACCCCATCAGAAAACGCGTCAATCCACCAACCTACCAATTTCAACCATCTACCATGCCACCAATTCGCACTGAATCCTTCCAGAAATCGGCGAATAAAGAGGGCAAGATATTATTAGCCCTTGACGATATTCAAAATGACCGCATCAAATCTATTCGTGCAGCAGCAAAGCTATACGAAGTTGTTATTAAACCCGCATGTATTAGTCATTATTATGCCCACATAAATTGCCAGATAGGGGCTTTATAGCAATTCAGACTTGTTGATATCCAGTTGGTGCGCACCATTATTTACTAAACAGTATTTCCGACTCTATCGCTTAACGAGGATGGCGCCGGCAGTGGGGCGATGAACGGCGCTGGCGGCGCCCTCGTGTGGCAGCTCAAGGACTGCTGGCCGGCACATCATGGGCCATTGTTGATTGCTTGTTTCGCAAAAAGCCCGCATTCTACGCTGTTTCGCAGGCAATGCGACCTTTCGCCATTTCTGTGCAACGTGTGCAGAACAATATGACTATCTGCCACGCAAGGCCGAGCAAGTCCTCTTCATATACCCTTTGAGTTGCTAACGGCATGGTGCAAGATGCCTGCGCCAAAATCGAGATGCGCTTCATGCCCGTGGCCACTGGCCAGGTTATTCGTGCTCCTATTGTTAAAGGTGGCCGCGTCCTTACAGCGAAGGTAACGACAGAGATCTTGTCTGGCATTATCGACAAGATTCACGAAGAGCCTTTCGTCCTCGCCGCGCGGCTCCTCGTTGACGAGGAGTGCATCTCGCGAGACGTCAACTGGCCGCAGCCGCTCAGGTATCTCTCGTTTGAAAAACGTGGGGTCCTTGTAGGTGCCATGGAGCCGGGGATTTACAAGGTCATTGATGAGAGTCTGACGAAACGACTCATGGTCTATAAGAGGGACGGGATTGAACTGAGTTATAACTGCATTGATATTGTCCCCAGATATCCTGGAATCACCAGAGGCATGAGATTGGAGAAGGAGAACGGAACTTATGTGCCAAATTATCGATATCTTCGTTCTGACGATCATCAGCCAGCACGGTATGAAGGGAGATCTGGTGTTCAATTAAGGAGATCCACAGGCAAAAGTCTGAGTAGCACGTAGAATAGGTGACAAGGTGGGGAAATACCCCGGCAGCAGGCATAAACCAAGCATCAATACCAGGTACTAGTAATGACAGATGTGAAAAGTCACGATTAGCAGCAAAGCTTAGACTTCATGGAGTCAGTGACAACACGAGACATGATGCAGTCGGTCCAGCAATATGACCGTTGCCTTGTGACTTAGGCCAGGGATCGCGGGGGCATAGACACTGGTGAGGATTTAACCAAGTTGTTATCAGGCGTATCGCTGCTCCTACGTTGAGCATTACGGTCCTAGTCCAGGAGTGCTCTTTGTCCGGACTGGACCCCAGAACCCCTGCATCTTATTAGCCTGAGGCAGCAATTGTTCGATATATCATGGGGGCCGAAACGAAAAAGTCGGCGCCAAGCTCAGTGGATGAACGTGACAACCAGTCTTCCGTACTCGTTTCCCTTGTTTCGCGTTCTGAATGAATCTCACTTTCGTTGATTTTGCACGATCTGCACGACCCGTGGACAGTACATGCACGGCGCCTCCCCACAGTTTCTCCACAGGTTACTACCCGCCAGCTCGTCTATTATTTGTCCCTTGACGACTAGCACACTCAGGGTGATGACTCGATCCCTTTGACCTCGAGGGTTTGTAGGGTTTGTTGTCCTCTTTGGCCCTGCATGAAGCAGGCCGGGGTTTTCCTGTCAGGGCCAGGCCTTGTTCCTTTCCTTTGTGCATCAGGGCCTTATAGACCCTGTTGTGTTCCCTTCTGCTTCTTCTTCCCTTTCCTAGTCGTCTTCGTCTTCATGTTCTAGATAGACCAATTGACTCAGTCTCCCTCTCTCTCTCTCTCTCTCTCTCTCTCTCTCTCTCTCTCTTCGCTTCCTGTGCCAGCAGTGCCGTGGGCGCTGTCACAGGGGTATTGCCCAAAATGCTGCCAAAGATGAGTCTGAACCATAAAATACTATGGACCATCCCAAACAGAGTGCTCAACATCTTGATCAGTCCCGGGGCTGTGGACAGCTAGCCCGAGGTCCACCTGGTACCACCGATGATCTTCCAAGTTTGGAAGGGATCAAGCCCCCACTGTTCTTTGTTTTTATGATTCTGGTCTACTTGGGTCTGCCGCCCCTGGTATGTTTTCCACTTTCTTTTGATCCCTTGTTCTCCACTTGTCACCCGTAGGTAACTAATCATTCCGAACCAGCTTCGCTACATCATCGGTCACGTCACGCCGACGCTGTTGATTCTCCAGCTATCTCAGCAGGATGAGGCTGCACCGGAAAAATCAGAGAAAGTGATTAAACAGCGAGCCAATTTCAGAAACGTTGGAGACATTTTTCGCCTCATTTATCGGGCTCAGGATCTATACACCTTCGTGCGCGCACTGGTCATCGGCTCCATCTACGGGCTGGCGACTAGTGCCGTCACCGGCACGCTAAAATGGATTCTGTTTCGACATGAGTTATTCACACCCTTAGCTTATGCATGTTCCTGTGCAATTCTATGTCAGCTTCATCTTGTTTTCACTTGTGCTACTGTCTCGGCCAAGCACATCCCATTTCGGTCCTTATGGAGAAACACTGGCCAGAACCGGTGGAAGCACCTGGTCATCCCAGCCTTGCTGTACGGTCTTTCACGGGCCTCAATGGAACAGCTCTATGATATCGTGACGATGGCTATCACACTTAGTCTAGCGGAGGCCCAATTTTGCCCCCTGAAATGGAAACTGTGATTCCCTCTTCGACCAAGGAGCGAGGTATGAAGATATCGGAACTGACTGGCGATTGGAAACTACCATCCGGTCTTGAGGCATTCACTAGTTTATTCAAAACCCTTGCAACAGCAGGTATATACAGCTCATTGAACTGCACCTTAAGAAGTGTCTTGCACAGATAGTCCTTGAGTTTATTGTCATTGCGTTCATGATGGGGGCAACTCTTGTGTACCCATTTGAAGATGAAAGAATTGCTTAATTCTCCGGCGACATGGTTTGTACCTGCTGTCCTATTCCCCTGCATTGATTTAAATCCTAACCCCTCTGTATATAGATCTCTCTGGTGGATATAGCATGCGCACTTTCACCCACTCCTCATCTTACAAGCGATATTTGGAACGGGCCATCTAGCCTCTAATACGATCCGCTGCTGTGACCAAGTGTTCGATCCAAGAATCTAGCTAGCAACAAGTTTTCTAGATACCCACAAAAAAATGCATAGTTGAGCACCCGAACTAGCAATCGAAATATGGTGATAGATCTACCTGAGTGAATGAGTCTCTTAGGTCGGCGCATCCTATCTTACGGCGGTCGGTAATATCCGGCTAGATTCGTGGCGTTGATCTCTCTCAACTATAGAGGGTAGAAGAATTTGTACTTGGCTCGTCAAAAGCTCTGTCGCTGAGATCATGCCCTCTCCAATTCCTGCTTCACTGCATCAGTAATATATTCTCAGAAATACGGTCGCAATTTCACAATGAACAATATTAATGTAAAAGTATGTACGAAGAACTCCCAACCTCTTTAGCATCATGAACAGTCCCTTTTTCGATCTACAATTGGTATTTGCGTACTCAGTTATAAAAAGACCTTAACATCTTTGCACCGCATCAGCAATGTTCCACCGCTACCCTCGAACCGGAGCAAAAGCAAAGTCCCCGCCCACAGGCACCACACCGGCCTCAACAATGGGTCCATTGTAGATCTTTCTTCCCCACACGGTGTACCAAATCAGGCCAAGGAGGAGTTCACCCAGGAATACCACGGCTGACCAATTCATATTCTCCAGAGTAACAGGCAAAGTTGACGGGAAGAAGGAGAAGAATATCGTGATAGTCAGGAAAGAAATCGAGGAAATGTTAATGACGATACCGAATCGACCGAGAGTCCAGGGTCCGTATGGAATGTTTTCGTTCTTGATCTTTTTTATCACCATCAGAATGATGGCGATTTCATATGATGCAAAAAGACCGGCCGTGTTAAGCGAGATAATCGCGTTAAACGCAGCTGTTGATCCCACATTGATGACGCAAATTCAAGCCCGTGATAAGCGTACAAAGAAGGACAGCGCGAACAGGCAGTCCTGAGCCTGGATTGACCTATTGAATAATAAGAATCAGTTCAAGTAACACAGAGTGACAAAGTGAACGAAGAAATGGAAAGAAAAGGGGATGGTTACGTAGACAAGAGAATCCGCAAATGGTAAGCCCTTATCTCTTGCGAACGCCCAGGTAAGGCGCGATGCAGAAGCTAGAAATCCAAAACTTGCACAAATGACAAGCACAATTGGAATAGTGGTCATGACAGATGTTCCTGCGTGGGATTTTATGGCATTGAAAAAAACCTCAATGAAGTCGTACCCAGTAGGGCTTTCCAGGACCGACATGTCACCCATGCAGAAAGAAATGCAAGGATAATAGCGAATCCGAGGGAACCGTTGAGTAATATTGTGCTAATCATACACCATGGTACGATTGTTCAGGCATTAACAACCTCCTCCGCTATAGTAGGTGAGCCAAGATGTCAAAAGGAGAAGGAGAACGTCTGCTTACCCATATGACAAGGACCGTCATAACCTGCGGGAATGTTTGTTAGATAGTTGTTCCCAACATTCGGGTGATATTTTCATACCGATGAAGGGAAGATTTGTTCCAATTAACCCAATCAACCAGGTAAGTCCCGGATTTAACTTTTGAAATATCTCAGGAACCACGCCAGTTGGCAACTTCTCGTAAACGGCAAATTCAATTTAACTCCCTGCGTTACATTTTGATATCGGTCTCGAGTCTGTTCGACCAGTATTGCGATGTTGCGCGCGTCAAAGGGTGTTGGGCCGGCCCCAGGGGCTTCCGGCGGCCCATTGAAAAATCTGCCATCGAACAGAGAGCGCGTATTGAACGCCAACCACGCGGCGCACGACCTTCTGAAAGAGCTTGGAAGGGGTCAGAATACAACTAGACCAGCCCCCAAAGTCGTCAGCTTCCTCCGCCAGGTGGAAGACCTGACGAAGGACCTCCTGTCGACGCCCCTGACCGATTGGCAGCAGGAGCTCGAAGCGCTGCGCCGAGACCTTAAGCAGGAGATTACCCTTGCTGTTAAGGCCGCAGCGGAGCCGCCAGCACGGCAGACGGTTCGATCGTTCGCCGAAATAGTCCGCACAATGCCTACGCCGGCGCACTATCTCTCCTCGAGCAGCTTATCGAGCTCGCCGACGCGCCCGGCGGAGGTAGCACGTAACCGCGAAGTAGTGGTCTGTCTTAGCGATCGTTCGCAGGTTAGCGTGTTCCGCTGTCTAACGAGCGCCGAACTCACTAAGCGTACGAATCAGGCCCGGGCGAAAGCAGCTAGAACCACAGACACGGCGCCCCTCGCATCGGTAATAGTGCTCGTATTACGTTAACTGAAGTCTGGTGATCTCCGCTTCACGATGCGCGATACGAGAGAGGCCGAGGTTATGAGGATCTATCGAGAGAAATAGGTGAAGGGCCTTTGCAGGACCGTATTCGTCTATATACCGACCTAGGGTGTGATTGTATACGACGTGAATGTGCGATCGCTTAGCATCAACAAGGCCTCGGAGGCACTACTACAGGAGAGGATTATCAAGGATCTTCTAGCAGCGAATAACTATAACTAGGGGGAAGCGGAGATCGCGAAAGTTAGCTGGCTGCGTATACTAAGTAGGAAATCGGGCTCGCTTATCGTTAAGTTCACCTCTCTAGAGCCGGCTAACGTAGCGATCGATAAGGGGGTCCTCTAGGATTGCGACAGTCTGACGGCTGTCTTGTATAACAGGGCGGCTCGTGTGCGGTAGTGCTTTAACTGTCAACAATATAGATATATAGGACCTACCTGTGCCAACAACGGTAGATATGTGTACTGCGCTAAGGGCTATCAGTCTCGGGACTGCCCACAGAAGGACAGCAACGCACTAAAGAACAAGTGCGCTAATTGCGAGGGCGTATATACTGCGTAGAGCACAGAGTGTGAGGCTCGTTAGCGCGAGGTTGAGCGTGTAGGGGAATTATCGAAATACCGTAGGAGATATTATTATATCCCGGCTCTATACAGCATCAACCGACCGCCGCCGACCTTGCACTCGTTGTCTGCTAGCTCGTGGGGTACACCGAGGGATTCGTTATCGAGCGAGGAGCTCACTAGCGGCGTCGAGAGTAGCGGTCTCGCGCCGGCCGCACGCCCTAGCAACGGGGGTAAGGGCACCGGCCCTACACTAGTAAGCAGAACAGGCACTAGCCTTCAGGCTAGTTAGTATATAACTAATAAGAGCGATAGATCGGTGATAACAGCGTTATCCGGTAGGAAGAGAGGGAGACTACGAAAGACACAGAGGCCTGACCGTTAGCCGATGGAGACTAAGCGACGATGAAGCCTTACCGATAGAGGGCCGCCCCTAGGAGCAACCGATCGTCCTCGACTAACCGATATTCCAATTTTCGACCGAACCGAGCGCGTTTCAATTCTCTGCAGGAAGCACCTTCGCCCTACTACTAGCCGGTGCGATTAACTTCTAACTAGAAGGGCCTAGCTCGCAGGCGACTAGCACCTAATCAAGGGCGAAAAGGCTAGGGCCCGCACCGCGAAGGCACGCGAGGCTAGGGCAAGGAAGGCTGCTGAGAGAAAGACTAGTAACAACACCGATAGTATAAGGAAGTCAGCACGTATAACAGAGCTAGCGGAGGAGGCGAATCAGGAACGTATCGAATCAGAACTTAGCTCCGAGCTCGATAAGGTCAACATACGAGACCTAGAACGCCAGCTAGAAACCCACAAAAACGATCAAGACTACTAGCTATCGTCACCGCCAGCGCGGGCAGGGGATAGGAAGCGTAAGCAGCCCTACAGTGAGGATCTATCTCTTAGTATTAGATTGTCTGGGAAGCGTAAGATATACAACAGGAAATCTTCTATATCTCGCCACTAATGAATCGTCACGACCGATAACAACACACACTAAGGGACCTTAAAATATACTAGTACAACGTGCACAGATCGAAGGATATGGTGATAGCGTAGTTCCTGCGTGAGGAAGAGGTTATCAGCGCCGATATTATTGTAATCCAGGAGCCGTGGGAGAATCCCTTCTAAGACAATACTCACTACCCGTTGAAGCAGACGCATAAACTGCTCTATCTAGCGGCTAGCGAAACAGGCGACAGGGCGAGGGTGTGTATATTCGTTTCGAAAAGGGTAGAGTATACCCACTTAGCCCACTCTCGCGACTATTAGGAGATTCGTGTTAAATATAAACTAGGGGAGCTTCGAATTGTTAACGTGTATAACGACTAGCAGCAAGGAGCAGCTCTCTGTCTACTACAGGAGAAGCTGCTGCCTATCCGCGAGCAGAAGGGGGCTTCCTACCTAGTGCTAGGAGATTTTAACCTATACTATCCGACCTAGGGTGGCGATGATACCTTACGTGATGCAGACGCTAAGGATCTCCTAGATCTTATAGAAACAGCCGGCCTAGATAACTAGTTAACACCCGGCACTATCACACGCGACTAAGTAGGCTATTAATTAACAATAGACCTCGTCCTGGCGTTATACTCGCTACGAGAGCAGATAATAGCGTGCGAGGTTGATGATAGCGTGCACGCTAATTCCGATTACCTTCTAATACTCACCCTGCTCGAAATTAATGTACTAGAGGCAGCAGATCCTGTTAAACAGCGGGACTAGAAAGCAATAGACGTAGAGAAGTTCCTTACCTTCGCTTT